GAATCAATAAAGAATAGTTTATTATCCTAACGCAGTGACGTACAAAATTTTTTTGAAAATGGAGCAATTTTTAAAAGGAATCACCGAAATGCAAATTACTATTTTTTTAAGCTTATTAACAAATAACATGGATATTTAGCATCAATTCAACTAAAATACAGTCCTTGTGACATTTTCAAGAAATATTTATTGGTGGTTTAATAATATTTACAAATTAACAAAAATTGTAAAAGCTATCCTTTACTAAATACATGTGTACTAATAATGTGCGAAAGCTGTCTCCACCTTGTCCCGGGCGGGGCTATTTGCACTTAAACCAAGGTCTTTTTGTTACCATTTTGTAAACAACTTGTTTTTAAAAATACAGTGACAGTTTGAAAAATTAGGCTACAGGTTTGAAGAAAAAAATAAAATGTAATAAACATAGATAAAAGAAAATAATCTACTATTAAGATAGATATGAAACTTAATAGTAAAATTTTGGGTCAAAGCGCCCCTCCGTGTTTTTAGTGGAGACTACGTTTAACCCAGCGCCTTCGCCTTTTCTGCTCTAAATGTTTTTTATGTATATATTTGAATTCAAAGGATTTATTTTTAAAGTTACACTGATATATTAATATATCAGAGTAACTTTAATAAAACATAAGAATATATATATTTTACAATTTATTTTTTTATTTATTTTACAGAGTTTCATGTAAATGATCGTAAGTCGACTGCCTGTTTAATGAATAGACCGAGATTTATAGATTTCATCTAATCATTTCATAAAATCAACAACGAATACATACCATATATTTTTCTTTTATATAAGATACATACCTTATCGTCTTTTGGAAACACGTACATTTTTGCAGTTTTGTTAGTTTCTTTGCAAGATGCAACACAACAAGAAAACACCATTTTTACAGTTAATAAATAATAAAACTATGATATTTAAAATTTAGATAGATAGAAAATTAAAAAACAAACGAGTATTTGCAAACGCAGGCCCAAATTCAATAAAAATCAAAAAATATTCCTGCGAAAATCAGGCTTTTTTCACTGAAAAGGTATTTTTTGATTTATCAGCAGTCATTGTCAAGTTGACAATATACAGGATGTTTTCGGATTAGTCTAAAAAAGTTATGGGGTGATTCCTCATGTGTTCTTAAAACAATTTTTATATAACCATTAGGTCTAAAGTACCTACTTCCTTTCTGATCTACAGGGTGTTAAAAATTTAAAAAAATCGATTTTTTGCTTAACATAAATGGTACACCACTGCCTTTTTAAAAAGAAAATATATTTTTTCTTGACTGGTCATCCTTTTTCAACAAAATTGATCTTTTGAGTTTTTCTTGTTCATCAAACGGTTGTCGAGAAAAAAAATAAATATGCTTATTAAGAGCCCGCCTTAATTCGTTTTCTAACGATTTTTTATTTTTTAGATTAATTAGGAAACACCCTGTATATGCATATCACAGGCAACCAAATAAACTAGTAACCTCTAAAAATGATTTTTCCTACCACTAGCGACATACCGTGTTTTTAGTGTGTAGTAAATTATTTTATCAAAATTTCACCATATAAGTTTCCAGGCAATGGTAATAAACCACTTGCGAATGTCTTTTTGACATAAATATCATCTACGATCTTAACCTAATATCTTAACACTTTTTCATTATGATAAATACATTATAAACATACCCCTACAAATCGAATAACAATAATTCAAATTATGACCATTTTAATAAAAATGAGTTACCAACTTGTAACCTAACTTTTCAAACTGTCATCTCTAGAAAAAAAATGAAATTTACAATTTTATTCGATTTGTTCTTCATCGACCGATATTTGTTTGTTCTCGCAAGAAATACCATTACAGTTACCACACAAGCATGAACATGGCATATTGGATTTTAAACATGTACCATTGCGATTAAAAAAAATAGCACAACAAAATATGATTTAATCTGCTGGTCTATATTCTTGTGTCAATGTCACGTAATTTTTAAAAAATGCCTTGTTTAACTTCAGAGCAAAAATCGATTATATTTACGCGATTAAAGGATGGGGTTCCCATAAGGGACATTGCAGATGCATTAGGGATAAACAAAAAAAGAGTGTTGCTAAATCCAAAAAAAAATTCAATATAATTCAAATATCCTTATAGACCAGGAGTTCCATCTGGGACTACTAATTCTTGTACTACTTTTTTTTTTATCGCAGTGGTACATAGTTTATTACATCCAGATTTGCAATTACAGTAAATAATTTTCAATACGAATTCTGGTGCCACTGCGTTTGACATTGTTGTTGGAACTAAGGTATCCGTTTTTTTACTCCATCCACATTCTTTTGCCTCTTCTCTATTATTTAGCCAATACTGCATTTATAAATAGGTCCTATAATAATGATTTTCAGCTGCGTTAGTTGTTGGAGGTAAGGTAGCCAAATCAATTTTTTTACTATAAGTACCTGACGAGATGTAAGGGCTTTATATTTAAAATACCTCAACTGATCTAAATCTTTTGCTAGCCTATGTCGACCATATAATGAAAATAAGAATGTATTTCCAGCTTCGATTAGCTCAGATTTTTGTGCTGCAGGATCTAAAAAAAAACGGATGTAATTTGTCGCAGATGAGGATCTTTTTGCAACGTTTTGAAAGTCGCCAGTTTACATTACAATTTATTTTTTTCTTCCAACCTGTAGCCTAATTTTTCAAACTGTCACTATATTTTTAAAAACAAGTTGTTTACAAAATGGTAACAATAAGACCTTGGTTTAAGTGCAAATAGCCCCGCCCGGGACAAGGTGGAGACAGCTTTCGCACATTATTAGTACACATGTATTTAGTAAAGGATAGCTTTTACAATTTTTGTTAATTTTGAAATATTATTAACCCACCAATCAAAAATATTTCTTGAAAATGTCACAAGGATTGTATTGCAGTTGAATTGATGCTAAATATCCATGTTATTTGTTAATAAGCTTAAAAAATTAGTAATTTGCATTTCGGTGATTCCTTTTAAAAATTGCTCGATTTTCAAAATTTTTTTGTACGTCATTGCGTTAGGATAATAAACTATTTTTTATTGATTCTAATAGAGTTTTTTATTCTCTTTAATTTTTACCTCTTGAAGTTTTTCGCTATAACAAACCGTTTTCGAGTTATTTACATTTTTTCCCAAAAAGTACCAATATTCAAGATGGCGGCCGATTTTTTTTGATGACGCATACATCGGACAAATGGGGACTTTTAGTATGTTAACCCTTAACTGGTCCGGTAAAAGATTTGTATCATAAACGGTCCGGCGTAGTCTGTAGGACTACGCCTTCTAAAAACTTTAAAAAACACACAAAAACTAAAAAATAACAAATTTTTATTTCATTATATATTTTATTATGTATTATTGAACTAATCTAGACAAAAATGGGTTCAATTAATATAAACTGTAAGAAAATATAGTACAAAATAAAATAACATACATATAAATTTGAAAAAAAAACAATTAGGTTTTTACTAAGCTCTAAAAAATAAAACCAAATTATTAACAGTCGTTACAATATAGAAATAAGTTTTTAAAACTATATATAAACAAAAATAAATTATAAAACTGGAGTTAAAGAAAAAGTTTTTAGTTACAGCATGAGGCAAAGTTCATTGTTTTCCTGAACATGTTTTATAAAATGGATTCGTACATTCTAGGCATTAAAAATAATTAACTAGGACATAACATTTTCTTTAACTAGGATAAGAACTCTAGGATAAGAATATCTCCGTAGGGGTGATCTGGTTGTACAGGAATTGCAAGTATTCTACCAGTTATAAAGTATATTTCTCCTGGAATATTTGACATTGTCAAACGCATTTGTCTGGCAGATTGTCATATTGTCTTTGTCACAGTCCTCATCATATCATTTTAATAGAGTTTCTTCATAACTAGAATGTCCTAAACGCACTCTTTTCGAAGGCCCGACCATATTTTACAAGTTTGTCGCACACAAAATGTTACACAAACGGTCCGGCGTCGTCTGAGAAACTACGGCTTAAGTAACTTCTGCCAGAACTTCTAAAAAACTAATCTAGTTTGAGCATAAATCAGGCTATCAGTCGTTGACCGAGAGGGGTAGGATTAGCTGGAACGCCAATCCTGTAGGCGGTCCTAGTAACTAATGAGAATGAGTTAATTATTTGGCGTAGTCTGTCAGACGACGCCGGACCAGTTAAGGGTTAATAAGGGTTACTAAGGCTAACTATTTTCAATGGTCGCAGCTTTCTAAAAATTTTGGCAATTTCAACATGGTGAATGTCATAACTGCACTGGGGTATTTTATATGAGTATATTATTAAACTCTTCGAGAAACTAATGTTTATGTAATATTTCAGGTTAAAACTATGTTGGATGTTCCTTCTTGCAAGAATTTCAAGATGGGAGGCAGTTGTGAAGCGATGGACTTACAAAAAATAGGTAAGCATTTCGTTAACTTATCTTGTATCTCCTAAACTCTCTGGTTTTTTAATATATTATTTACTGATACTTTTCTTTTCATTTTAGATAATTTTTTTTGGAAATGTACATTAAAACAGAGAAAAATCAAAGATATAGAGTTGATAATGGACGACACAAAAGTAGCAGACTATTGTAAACTCTGGTATCACAGGAAATATACAGTAAGTTGCGATGTTAATGTGGTATTATTTAAATGATGTTGATAAATATATTTAAATAACAATACATCTTAAATTTACTTTTTAAATATAAGTGTATGTCCTAAAATACTTAGTTTCGGAGATACAGGGTGTATAGAAGTTTCATTTTTATTTCGATTTTTTCTAAATAGTTTCTAAACTACTGAATGAAAAAATATACATTAAAATGTTATATCCATATGAGGTTTAGACGGAATAAGACCATTTAGACAACTACTGTCGGTTCTCTAGAGTCTGGACTGTCCAGTTTTAACTGCCAGGTAAAACGGTGTGTGTAGGCAAAATATTTATTTAACGATTAACAACGATACATAAAGAACATATAAACGTATAAACTAAATAACGCTACAACTACAGCGTCCAACAATACAATATTCTAATATTAAGAATAGGAACATAAAGTTTAATGAATAAAAAGAACATAACAATAGCATTAACAAAACATTATAGGACATATAAATGTCAATAAACTGAAGAACAATATAAAAAATTAAATCTGAATAATACTGAGAATATTATTAAAACACTTATCAAAATAATAAAAACTTATAAATATGGATATAATAAAGCTTTTATTTCGGTACTGCATTTTTGCAAGAACCCCAAAGTATTCTTGATAGGTATCTGGTTGGATAACACAGATCTAATATTAAGAATAGGAACAAAAAGAACATGATAACAAAACAAATAAATGTCAAAAAAATAAAAACTAAATAATACTGAGAATATTAAAAAAACTTATTAATGTAATAAAAACTTATAAATATGGATATAATAAAGGTTTTATTTCAGTACTGCATTTTTGCAAGAACTCCAAAGTATACCTTAAAGGTATCTGCTTGGATAAGACAGATTTTGTTAAACTTTCCAGTTCCCGCAGTACTTTAACCTCCTTGATCGTCTTGCCTTTGCGTTTTTGTTCTTTCACGACTTTTTCCAGTAATTTTTCAGTTTCTTTCGTCCAGTCGTTTGTAGTTTCACTTGTGTTTATATTACCAGTTTCGTGTTTATTGATGTTTTCAGTTGTTTTTCCGTTTATATTATTTGTTAGAGTTGTTGTTGGTAGTTTTTGTTCAGCTTTAACGTTTTCATTTTTATTGGTGCTTTCATTTATATTTGTCTTTATATTATTTGTTGGTAGTTTTTGATTAGCTTTAACAGAAATTTCATTTTTATCAAAAATTGTTTCTGTAATAGGTTGGACTTTCTTGGTACTATCAAGTTTAATGTTTTCTTCTTTTCTATCAACAATCTCACTTGCTATTGTTCTGTTTTTTTCACACTTCATTCTTTCCAGGATGGATTCGACTTGTTTGTTAAATTTTTGAAGTCGCTTCAGACCGATTTCGTACGGCACCACTTTTCGCTCATACAAATTAAACGCCAACTTTGACAGTTCTTCGTGTATGGCCTTTTCTAATGACTCCTGTTCAACGGGTGTTAAGTTTTCTTCAGCTTCATGGTGAGTCTCATTGACAAAATGGATGGCAAATGATTGTTTGGCTCGCCTAGTAAAACGGAGGTATTTACATAAAAGAATACACGCAGGGTAGCCCAATAAAAAACCGAAAAACCTCTACAGGGTGAGTCTTATTGCAAATATTTTTAGGCGTGGTAGATTTTTTCGCAAAAAAAAATTTCTTGTATACTAAATATAAAAATAATATCGGATAGTCCTAATGAAGTGGCTATGAGAATGTGCAATTAGTCTTTTGATTTTCTAAAAAGTAACGCCAAAAAAAAATAAAATTTATTTTCAAAAAAATACTTCTTTTTCAAAAGACTCAGCAATCCTTGAAATTTTTAAAACTTTTTTGATGGGATCTTCGTGAACATCCCAAGGCGCAACTTTGTCCCAATTTAACCATGTTCATATCTATTACGGTTTCCGAGATACCAATGCTCGTACCCTGAATTTGTAACAGCCTGTATAGGAATATAAAATTTTTCAGGTCATGAAATTGAGCGATTAAAAAATTATGATAAATCACTTAAAAAATTATTAAAATTATTAAAAATACAAGAACTATCCTGAAATCAAAACTATATTAGGTATCTGCTTTATATAGTCTGTACCTCCATCTTTTTTTATAACTATAATACTTAATTATTGAATTTTTAATAATTTTTTAAGAAAGGCTGAAAAATATTTTTTATTTATTTATTAATATCTCTGAAACTATCGAAATATATTATTTACTCATATCTTTGGATCGTGTAAAAAGATCTGAAAGGAAGCCAAAAATGCAATAATATACAGGGTGTTCTATTTAAAAAAAAATAATCCCGATAAACTCACACTTTTTTGAGCCACCCTATAGAAGTGAAAATATTTTCCTGAAATACATCCTAGTAGGTACTTTAGATTTGCTCTTAAACAAAATTCCCAAGTTTTTTATTTTACGACCTACAAATGCCCGACACACTATTGCCGGACCCGCGGTGAACCGATTGGTTATTTACCCACCACCCATCACTCTGGAACTGGAACTGATGATAAGTAGATTTTCGAAATACTGGGCCACCCCGTATACTAACAAAGTTAAAAAAACTTACTTTTTGTGGCTGCGCTTTTTCTCGTGGGCTTCCTTGCTTTCGTCCATGGGGTAATATGTGTCACAAATCGAACAATACTTCTCTAAATTCGCTGGTGCTGATGGTTCAGAGCTTTCAGAGGTTCTACGATTTCGTCGATTTCTAAGGTGATCCAGATTATCGCTATCGCTTAGTAGAATAGGAATAGGTGGTAAAATATGCGATAAGAACGGTGGCGGTACCAAAAGTATTGCTCTGAGCGACATGATTCCAGGTACAAAAATGTGATTCGCTCGACAAATATGCTTCACTGATAAGTTATCAGAAATAACGGAAAATGAAAATACTGAAACCTAACCTACACAGAAAACAGAAACTACAAGTAGGAATGGTGGAAATCTATCGATATTTCGAATATATCGATACTTGACAGTTCATAATGAAAGTATTATTTATGTACGTTTATATAAATTTTGGTAAAGGTGTGGATCCGGTGGCTGATCTTGAAGCCTGTATTTGCTGCATTTGATCATCGGTACTACGCAAGCGCACATCGTCGATGTTGCCAAATGGCAGTTTATTTTCGAATTATTTACAGTAGAAAACAAATGATTTTTTGAGTGTTAATCAGTAATAATACAAATTCTATAATTCACTTTATAATTTTAGATTTATCTTTGATAGAATTAGTTAGATAGTAGTGTGTTTGTTTCATAATTTCTTAAAAATATCAAGTTAGTTGGTTAATAGCAATTGCTTAGGCACATATTTTATCGCAGAATGCTGATACGATTAAAATAATTTCTTGTTTCCTGTAATGCCAAAATTAAAATTATTATTTATTATCTTGATAATATGGTGAAGGTTTATTTTTGATCTCATTAAATTTATATACATACCAACTTAAGACTTAAGCAAAACTTAAGTTAGTTTGTGATTGATATTAAGATATTTCTAATAATTTTTTTATGTCTTAATACAACGCACATTATGCTTTGTGGTGTGGAGAATAAATGTTAAGATATCTTAATACTTGCACATCCTTCCATTACGAAAAATATGATTTATAAATCATATATATGCTAAGAAAATCACATAAATTAGGTGTAAGAATAGAAAAATCGTAAGGTAGCAGAAAAATTAATGCAATATATGTATAAGCAGAATTAAACAAGGTACCTTTATTTAATTCTGCTGATTCTACAGTTATAGTTACGGAAACTAAAAGGCCTACGTACAATTCAAAAAAAGAGGAAACTTGTACACACCCCTTTTAATTTAACGAATTTTTAACATAGCAATTTTTAAACGTAGCATAATAATCTAGAATAATTAGATTAATTATAGCAATCTAGAGTTTTATTTCTATTTAATTTTATTGGCTATAAAAATACATAATTATCATTCACGTGTTGTGCAAAATATTAAAATAATAATATAAATAATAGATACAATTGACAGCACTGAAAAAAACATTATTTGTTTTCTACTGAAAATAATTCCAAAATAACCTGCTATCTGGCAACATTAACGATGCGCGCATGCGTAGTATCTGTGGCTAAATGCAGCAAGAACTCGTTTCAATGTCAGCCACCGGATCCACACCTTTACCAAATGCAGGAATCCCCTTCAACAGTCTTTACAGACATTTTAGATTTTGAATCGCTGATAAAAATTCTCAACTAAATAAAAACTCGTAGCTGAAAGCTGAAAAATTACAAACTGTACTATATAAAAAGTACTGAAACCTAACCTAATCTCCAGAAAATTAAATAGTAGAGTTGTGTCCAAAATGAAAGATGTGGTACAGAGGAACTATTCTATAAAAGCTGTCATTTATTGCAAAATGCCTACTTCTATAAAAGATCGATTTTGTCCATCCCGAATAAAAAAATCCTTGAAAATCGTATAGTTATACGCTGCCATCTGTTGGATAACTACGACACTGTGACTAAAATCTTATCTAGCGCCATATTATATGTATTTAAATTAATAATTATAAATCGACCATGCTAAACATAATTTACACATTATTGTTGTTTGTTCATAATAAAAGTATTTATGTAGTTTTTCAATATAAACTTTTATTTGGAATAGTTATTAAAGGGTAAACTTATCTCTACTAACATAATAAAGTACAAACTTATAACAAGTTAACTGTACAAATAATAAAAAAGCAATATAAAATCAAAGTCGAAAATCAGAATATCAAACTAAAATAATGAAAACTTTTTTCTTCGTATATTCTACTACCAGAAAACCAAAATTATATGATAACGCACTTTTCAACGAAGTTGAAGGAAGATATAGTGTATCTATCACAATACTTAATAGAATTACTACAATTAGAAGAAAAACAAAAAGAAAAAATACCCAAATACCTTCACCTACTACTCATCTACAAAATAAACTAATATAATCTCTTATAAAAACACTACACAACTACTTCTTCACTACTTCAACCACTTCTACACTGAAAAAATTATCAAACTTACTAATTAATCAAACAAAAAGAAAAAATAACAAAATTCTCCTTTCACCTACTACTTAACTGCAAAATAATAAACTATAAAAACACTACTAAACTGTTTCTGGTATTCTACACTAAACATTATAATTAAACTTAATAAAATTAATCTAATTTTACACTACAACCACTACAACTACAAAGAAATAAGAACATTTTTTAAAACTAGAAGAAACAGAACCTCGATACGTGCAACCAGTATAATAGATCAAGTCGAAAATCAGAATATCAAACTAAAATAATGAAATGAAGCATTACAAACTTACGGTTTAACTAAACAAATAATAAGTCAAAAATAAAATTAGAAAAAAATATGAGCAAACGAGCGAAACAAAAATATTGAATAATTATGTTAATAGTTTTTGAATAGTATTAATCAAGGTTATTACGTCTGCCAAATTTGTCGTAAAAGTCTATAATCCAATTCTGTACAAATTTGGTTAAGAGGTGCAAATTATCCTTAACAATGTTCTCCGAAATTACAATAATTGCATTTAATAAACCTTCCAGTTTCTTCAAAACTTGAATCCTAGTGGAATTGGCTTCCTCATCGCGGTTTAACAAGATCATTTGGTCTTGTCTGAGAATCGACTCTAAGGGACTCGCAATGTATACGTCTTTCATTGAAAACTGGAAGTCTTTATTGGATTTGATTTTTTCACTATAATATTCTATATATTCCAAATTAATATAGTAAGGATATGCATTGGAATAGTAAAGATAGTAAACTAAATTCTTTAGTGCTTGATCTAGTTCTTCTTGGGGGTTCTCAGGTCTGGGATTAAATAGAGGATGATTGCACCTTTGCATAGATTTTTTATCGTGATCTTCTAACTCCCTGTGTTGCCTGCGCTCAGAATCGGAGAAGAACTGAAGATTACAAAAGTGGCAAAACAGTCTCTTAGCAGTTCTAAAAAGAAAAAAAAAAACACCTAAAATTCCTTTTCCTAACTTGTCTAAATTAAGCAAAAAATAAGTAATCCAATAAGACAAGGGCGTTGTCACTAAATATTTACAATAATTTACCTGTTATGACTCTGGGTTTGAATGTGTATCTCCAGAGTGGAATCATATTTGCCGCAAAAAATGCAAGAACCCTCTTCATCAGTCTTTACAGACATTTTAGATTTTGGATCCTTGATAGAAATCCTCAAGCTTAAAGCTGAAAGCTGAAAAAAATACAAACTATAACCACGGCACATAAAACAATATCTATATCGCTGAAAAGCTTAAAAAATGGCGCTTTTTATGAAGTCATGGCCAACTATGGTTTCCATTTAAAAAAAACATAATGTTTGTGTCATATGTCAAAAATGACAGACTTTAGAAAAAAAAACAGAAAACACAAACTCATTAGGTATGTGATTATCTACAACTTTTATCTGAAAAGTTTTTGTCTAAAATACCGTATGATCGAATAAAAACAACTTCAGCGATGGCTATGAAATGACGATCGATGATATTTCCCATATAATTTTACATAGGCACAAACATAGATATAAAATGACAGCGATCTTCATTTCATAGCCATCGTTGACGCCGTTTTTATTCGATCATACGGTAGATTATAATGGAATTAGAGAATTTTTTTTTCGAAATATCTAGTAAGCCTTGAATTTCTCCGAAAAATCCGAAAAGCGCATATTTATGACCCCACAAAACTGCAATTTTTTCCCCATTTAACCGACTCTATCTCCAGTAGTTTCCGAGAGTACCCATAGAGAACATCGTAGGAAACTCACCCTGTTTAGTATTTAGAAACTAACTATTATTATTTGGCTAGATTAGTTTGATTAATAAAACTCGATTAATTTAATTTAAAATAAATTTGATCAGATTTTTTCTTCGTATATTCTACTACCAGAAAACCAAAATTATATGATAACGCACTTTTCAACGAAGTTGAAGGAAGATATAGTGTATCTATCACAATACTTAATAGAATTACTACAATTAGAAGAAAAACAAAAGAAAAAAATACCCAAATACCTTCACCTACTACTCATCTACAAAATAAACTAATATAATCTCTTATAAAACACTACACAACTACTTCTTCACTACTTCAACCACTTCTACACTGAAAAAATTATCAAACTTACTAATTAATCAAACAAAAAGAAAAAATAACCAAATTATCCTTTCACCTACTACTTAACTGCAAAATAATAAACTATAAAAACACTACTAAACTGTTTCTGGTATTCTACACTAAACATTATAATTAAACTTAATAAAATTAATCTAATTTTACACTACAACCACTACAACTACAAAGAAATAAGAACATTTTTTAAAACTAGAGGAAACAGAACCTCGATACGTGCAACCAGTATATTAGATCAAGCGGACAAAGAATATAAAATACTTTAAAAATGTGCATTCAGAAAGAAAAAATATCTCGAAAATTATCTAAACAAACATTTTTTTTTCTTATCAGTGAAAAGCATCGGCCTCGTCGGCCTTGCGAAATTTGTCGGGTATTTACAATGGTCGAATTGTAAATACCCGACCAGCTTTTATAGCATATCTAATAGACAAAAAGTATCTGGTCTATTAGTAACCAATTGGCACAGTACGAAAATTATCGATTTTTATTTTCTCTGTTTTTATTGGTCGCTTCAAAATTCAAAGTAACAAAAAATATTTTTCTGTAGTAAAAGACTGTGAAATACGCCCCGCCATCTGGTGCTTTACATCCATAAACGTCTTAGGTTGAGCTACTTTAAAAATTCATATACAAGGCTATTACCGATAAACCTCCTTTTTTAAGCCCTCCATAATTTCTCTCAACTGAGTTGTCATGATTAAAGTGGGGTTGCAACCTGTTATATTAATTATGGAAATGGGAGAAATTTCCAAAAGTTCAGTTCGATTGAGATTTCTGGTAAGGATTCGAGGGCCCCTTGAGCTTGAGGGCCCCGGGGCACTGCCCCGCCTAGCCCCTAGGTAGCTACGCCACTGGGTGTCCCAGGCTGAGTGTGCATTATACGTTTCTAAAGAACTACGACATCTAAATCGGACATTTTTTGCACATTACTGTTTCACAACGAGATCTATCGATTAAAAATATTACTATAAATACTATAACTACTAATAACTACTATAAATGGGTACGCCCGGTACGCCCCATGAATTCTCTGTACAATTTTCTGAATTTTGATATCATACACTCTATAGCTAACATTAATCGTTTTTGAGAAAAAAAAATTAACATTTTTGGAGGAAAAAGACTACCTGTCAAAAAATCTGTATGGCCTAAACGACAAATTTAGTCATTACCACAACCACATGTGGCTATCTATTTCAAAAATTAAATTCTTCGAATGTCATATATAATATTGGCCGTATAGCTGTCATGAAATTGAGCGATTAAAAAATTACCATAAATCATTTTTTTTTCAAATGGAAACCCACTCTTTTTATTTCACTAGTGAAAAGGTTTTTGCCCTTTATAACTAAATAAAGATTACCGTTTATAACTAAATCTTAACTAACTTAAAAGCGATTTATTTTAGGTATACGAATATGTATAATGAAAAAGTAACGAATTAAAAAACCTTTTTATTAATGAAATAAAAAAAGTGGGCTATGATAATTTTTCAATAACTCAATTCCATGACAGCTCTACGTCTGTAAAAGCTCTCCGATTTTTTGCAACATTCCTGATAAAAAAGTCCTTAAAAATCGTATAATTTTTTGCTGCCACCTATCGGATAACTACGACACTATAACTAAAAACTTATCAAGAGCCATATTATATTTAAATTAATAATTATAAATTGACTATGCTAAACAGAAATATTTTACACATTATTGTTTGTTCATATTATAATAAAAGTATTTATGTAGTTTTTCATAATTAACCTTTTTTTGGAATTAATACTTATTGATTCCTCATCAAAAAATACAAAAAAAGTTTCAATAAACATGGGTATGGAAATGCATAGTTTTCCAGTTACAAGGTATTAACACTTTAAAATCAGGTTTTTTGAAAAAAAAAGATGAAATGAAGCATTACAAACTTACTTGAATGATTAATATAGAGTAGAAAATTAAAGTCTAAAGTAAAATAATAAAATTATAAACAAACAAGTGAAACAAGAAAACATTTGATATTTTTACTTTACTAGAGTTTTCTTTTTGATAACGCTAAATAAAACCTCATTCCGTTTTGATACAAATATAACTATATGCTGCCAACTATGGGAAAACTATGACAATATGACTAAAAACTTATCAAATGCCTAAAAATGATTAAATAGACATATTTTACACATTATTGTTGTTTGTTCAAAATAAAATAAGTAAATAAAAGCATTTATGTAGTTCTTCAAAATATAACTTTTTATTTGGAATAATTATTAAAGAATAAACTTATATACTAACATAATGTAGTATAAACTTATAACAAGTTAACTGAACGAATAATAAACGCAATATAAAATCAAAGTCGAAAATCAGAATATCAAACTAAAATAATGAAATGAAGCATTACAAACTTAATTGAATTAATAATATAAAGTAGAAAATTAAAGTCTAAAGTAAAATGATAAAAAATATAAACAAGTGAAACAAGAAAACATTGGATATTTTTACCAATTTTCGGTTTTATTTTTGGTAACGCTAAATAAAACCTCATTCCATTTTGATACAAGAGGCAGGCGCGTTCTATGTAAATCAACTCTAAGTTCCATAAAAAGTTTTACTAAACATTGTATTTCCTGCAAAACTTTAATCCTAGTTGAGTTGGCTTTCTTATCGCATTTTAATAAGATATGTTGTTCTGCAATGATGTTCGCTAAACCATTCTTAAAAATTTCTGATGAATTTGTTGGCGTATCAAAAATCGAATGTTTGGATCTGACTTTCTGTTGATAATACCTTAAATATTCCAAAGTGACATTGTAAGGTAATGCATTTGAATAGTATAGATAGTAAACTAGTTTCTGTAGTGCTTCATCTAGTTGTTCATCGGAATCTTCAGGTAAGATTTTAAATAGAGGATGGTTTGCGACTCTTGTTATAGTTTTTGTTTCATGATCTTCAGATTCGTTCCTGTGTTTATTACGCTCAGAATCGGAGAAGAACTGAATACCACAAAAGTGGCAAAACAGTCTCTTAGCAGCTCTAAAAAGAAACACACCTAAAATTCCTTTCCCTAACATATCTAATATTAAATTCTTTGGAAATTATAATAAATTACGTAATCCAATAAGAGAAGGACGTTGCCACTAAATATGTACAATACAACTAACATTACAATGGATTACCTCTTATGAGTCATGGTTTCTATATGTTCCTCCAGAGTGGAATCATATTTGTCGCAAAAAGTACAAGAACCCCCTTGAACAGCCTTTTCGGGAATTTTAGATGACATATCCAACAACCACAGTTTGAATCGCTGATAAAAATTCTCAAACTTAGGTCACAATAAACAATAACTAATACAATCTATACTATAAAAAGTACTGAAACCTAACCTGTATCTCCAGAAAATTAAATAGTAGAGCTGTGTTCAATACGAATGATCTGCTACAGAGGAACTATTCTGTAAAAGCTGCTGATTTTGATCAATCGAAAATCATATAATTATATGCTGCCATCTATTGGATAACTACGACACTATGACTAAAATTTTAACCGTTTAGGCAAGGGTTTAGGTCTTTGAATAATAAATGTGTAAAATTGAGACACAAATTATTACATAAATTTTAAACAACGATTTTTTTGAAAATTTGCGGAAATTACTACCACCTTTGATTTTTAAATGGCACCCTCGGTATTTTTTACTTTATTCGATAGAAAATGACACTCTGAATAGAATGACATATCATATGTCAACTTTTGACATTTTCACAAATGCCCCACATATGGTTTATTTCTTAGACAAGGAAAGAGAGAGGACAGCTAACACGCTTATTCTCCAGTGAAAAATTTTTGAGGCCAAAATTTGATCGGCGGCCATACTTTGGTGACAAGATTTCGAGGTGACACCAAGAGAATTTTTATGTTTTTTGTGAATACTGTTTTGTTTTAAATTTATAAACTGTGTTGTTTAGTATGGTGAGATGTTCGGCGTATGGCTGCAAAGGCTGAAGCGAGAAAAAAATGACTGGAATTACATTTTACAGGTAAAAGTTGATGCACAACTTGTGCTATGTAGCCATAAAATGTACATTTTTTTCATTATAGCAGTAAAAATATGTAAAATGCTATTAATATGTCTTGTACCACATCCAAAACAAACTATTTTTATTAATTCCAAGTAGTATTTTCAATATCCTATATTATAATTAATGTTTGAAACTATAAATAATGCTACTCAGACAGGATTTCTCCAGTGGCGTAGTTCTGCAATAAACATTTTTTTATATATTTTACATGTAAAAAAATGTATAAAGTATTCAGTATCAAGTTATATATTCGGTATCAAATATGTAAAATAATAATTGTAGACTATAAAAAAAACATGAAAAATTTTGGTTATAAAAAATCTATATGTATAGTTGTTACATAAAACTTAAATTTACCTGTCAAGATGGGGAATGTCATCGATCGTCATTTCCAAACAAACAGGATGCCGTTGTTTTTCGATCATTCGGTATATATGTATATACACGTTTAGAACATATATATTTACATTATTTTTTATTTAATTATACATTATACACACGTTAATAAATAAATAATTGTCTTGATGGTCAGTTCACTGTGACTGTTAAATAAATTTTGCATTATCGGCTTAGATATTCTAATATTATAAAGGTGAGACTATAAAGCACAAAATTGTATATGCATTACTCAAAAATAAACGATATATTAGTTAACGTTTTAATAAATATTTTTTATCATCTAGGTACAAGCTATAATTTCTGATGCTACGCCATTGGAGAATTTCGAGTGGTGACAAGTGGCCTCACTCTCAGCTGCCGTGTTACCTGTCCCCTCTCTTTCCTTGTCTAAGTCAATTCCGGTGAAACCGGAAGTGACCGAAAACATACCAAATCTTGTTGTTTTATCTAAAAAATAAAAAAAAGTTATAGGGGTGAGCCACTTTTGAGACGCACCCGGTATATTCTGAAAGTATCTAGGTCTAGAACCAACTAGAATCTTCGAAGTCTCGTTGAATATGTCTCTAGAGGTGCCAGACGTCCGGGATTTACGGGAAAATCCTGAATTTCGGTATGTTGTCCATTTTTTTTGGAAAAATCGAAATAAAATTGAAACTTCTACACTCTGTATCTCCGAAACTAATCATTTTTTTTAACTTACGAATTTTTTTACTTATTTTTACCTGCAGAATATGCTGCTAAAATTTCTGGAATACAGTTCTGAGTTCTGACCACCCTGTATATGTTTACTTAAATGTTTTAGCTTAAAACATTAACAATATTTTATTTAATTCTCCTTGATATAATGTATTGTTTTCTATTCTTTTAGAGTCACATAGCAGAAAATAAGGACGAAATTCCCATAGTCTAAGAGACTTACAACAAACCCTACGCTAGAGTCTATGACGAGGCCAAACTTCTAACTGATAAGGTACACACCTTAGGCCCACACTACTATAAAAAATACAAAATTTACTGACTTGGTTTTACGTTAGATCTGACAACTTTTTTTATTGTTTATTTATTGGATTATTAATAACTCTAATCATTTTAATTTCTAGATACTTCTGGCACACGGGATCTACCTGACCGACGAAGACTTAGATCTGATTGCTGAGAGAAATACGGGAATCTCCCAAATAAAAAATTGCTGAGAGAAATACGGGAATGTCCAGATTCCAACACATGTGTCAAATCTGGACTGTGCGACGTCAAAAGACTGTTAGAACGAGACATCAAAGTTGGCCTGGGTTCAGGTTAGTTATACTCGCTTGTTCCTTGTTATAGTCTGTATACAGGGTGACCCATTGTGTTTTTTTCTTCGCAGACGTATCAGGAGGGCCTGTCCCATCAATAAGACAAGCGATGAAGTCAGCTTTGGATACGTCAGTCCATCTGTCGTTTATTAAAAATAATTATGACCCTCTAACGTACGATCAAGTATTTTGTTTGGCTAATTTAGGCGGCGCTTGTGGTATTTTTTCTTTTATTTATTTTAAAACGCCCTTTTTTAATTAATTATTTTTTATTTCGTTTACAGTACGTCACTTGCAGGACCAAATTGGAAATTTTGCTGTTAACAAAGCTTTCGATGCTCTGATCGTTGACGTTGATGTTGAGACCTGTCAGGTTGATGACGTTATTAGACCGCACGCCACTGGAAATACTTCAAAAGTTTGTTTATTGCGGAGATGACAGGAATGTGGTCACTCTTGTAGTCTTTATGTGGCTGGTCACATGGTAAAATAAGAATGTTTTTTTTGTAATTTAATTTGTTCTTAAGTTTTGTAATAAAATAATATATCTACATATATAAAATGCTAATGTTTATCTGTGTCGTCTCTACTGAAGTAACGACTTGCTCTAGAAAGTTGCTTTTTTTACTAAAAGATAGCTAATTAGCTCTTCTAAAAACTGTCGTCGCCGGATTTTTTGTTTTTCATTTAATTAAAAAAAATAAAAAGTTTTTTTTTCTGATGCCTTGGCGGATGCGCCAGACTTCAACTAGTAGAAATATATGTTTTATTTGTTTTATTTTGAGGGTCCAAGTTTAAAACAAGGATTCGAAATATATACAGGATGTGTCTTAAATAAAGTGCCAATATTAGTAAATTAATATAATAAATTATAAAAAATGTTGGAGTATTTGGATCTCTTTTAGTGTCGTAACTATAGAGTAAAGCTGTAACCATGTGGTAATACCGTATGAAAAAAAAACGGCGTCCAGTTGGCTTGGAAATGAATATCAATGACATTCCCCGTTTATAATTTCACATGTAAAATGACAGTGATTTTCATTTCATAGCCATCGCTGACGCCGTTTTTTTTTCGATCCTATGGTATATCAGAAATTAAGAAATTATACAGTGGGAAAATTTGCGGTGACCGTGCAGTTCTAAAAATTTTTCTAAAATATACAGGAAAATTTAAAAGAAAATGAACGATTCTCAACAACTTTTTTTGCGCAAAAAGCCTCATAGACGTGTTCCTGGGGTCGACATATACCACCCCTAAAAATATTTACACTTATTTAAGGCTCACCCTGTATAGGACTGTATTTTCTAACTATTTATTAAAAAAAAACTGTTGAAAATTTTTAAAAAATACCCTGTATATTTCTTATTCATTCCATCATGCCTAGTATGAGGTTTTTTTTAATTAATCACTACTTTTATTGTGACTCCCCCTGATTTATAGCACAGATAACATTGTGTTTTATCACAGAATAGAGAATTATTCTTTATACTGTGGTTTTACTATGTTATCTGTGATTGTAGTAATTTTTTTGGAAGTAATCATAAACAGTAGTCAATATAAAACTAAAACAATGGAAGTAACTAAGTTATTGAGTTTTTAGCGAAATACCAACTTTTTATATGAATATCTCTATTTCTCAAAATAATTTTTACCTTGTTGGTTATCTTAATGTTTTAAAGAATCTTTAAGAATCGCAGAATATATTAACAATTAATTTATTCAAATATTTACTTTATTTAACTCTAAAATAAGAATATTTAGCAGCTTTTTCAACCAAACTTTTAAATTAATGCTTTAATTTTACGTTCATAGATGGCGCACTTTAAATATTTACCGACAAACAGATTTCTATATTTTATATCTCGAGCGCCACCTATGTTGTGATAGTGGTACTAAAAAATATTGTAGCGACATCTGTTTATTACTTTCTGAACTAACGCAAAGTCTGGTGCCCTCTATATATCAAAAGCAAAACTAATTCTGCGTTTGCGCCATCTATGAGAATTTCTGGGAACTTATTTTCCGTCTCTGTCTAAGTTTTCTCTTTCGCACTCGTTGCATCCTTTTTTAGTGTTTTCTCTGTCTCTCTCACACTCATTAAAAAATTCTTGCTTGTCGTTTTGGGACATAAACAGAACAAAGTTGATATAAAAAATTAACATTTATTTTTATAGAGTTAAAAAATGTTAATACATAGGCAGACAAAGGATAAATATATAGTTATATAATACACAAGCACATCTACAGTACTTGAGAATAACTCAGTTAGTTGAAAATGGGTATTTACATTTACATATTTACACAATAATAAGAAAAGAATCATCCCTTTGAATTTGAATGTTTATCTCATGTAAGAGTTCACTTCCTCCTCATTTTTTAATAAAGTTGACTCAAAATTTAACACTCGCGTAGTACACACTATAAAATATAAAACATAACACTATTCATTACAATGTGGTAATTGTCTTATAAAAGATTTGAACTGTAGAGGTACATAAGTTTAATATAAAGTAATTTAAAGGTTTAATACACATTTATTACAGCATATCTATATCTTTTATTGTTTTATAGGGATCATTCTAATACTTACAAAGGATTCTGGTCTATAATAGAATGCAATTTTCGTAGAAGAAAGCAACCATATCTTTCAAGGATGAATGAAGTTACGTAGGAAGTCTGTTGTAGTTTAATAGAACTTTGTTGGGATCAGTCAATCATTGCTTCCGTTTAAGGTAAGTAAAAGAATATATAACCATAGTTGAAGCAATTTATTTTGAGTAAAAGCATTATTTATTTCAGTCGTAGTGAAGTTGTTAATTAAAATCAATTCTAGTATCTTGGCAGTATCATTTATTCAAGCTAATTACTGACTTATTATAATATTTTCTTACTTAATTGACTACCTTTATGTATTTGCTTGAATGCTGTAATTATAAATATATATATAATGCTTTTTTCTTTAAAATTTCTTTTTAAATTTGTTTATGTCTAGTATGACGATCTTAATACATATTAATATTTTTTTATTTCACAGGATACATATAAAATTAGAGTCATTTTCTATGGACACAAGGAAGAAGGCGAAATGCTACATAATATCTTCATGAAATTCACTGAAATCATACCGGAATTATTTGTATTTGCAAATCGAATGATGGACCATCAAACAGGTAAAGATTTCTTACTTTTATTCCAATTTAAATAAACAGTTCCTTTGTGTAAATGTTGAAAAAATGCATCATAAATCTATGATAATTTTTTAGTGATAAAAATAACATATTTAGTATTGCATTACTTGTAAATTTGTATTTGAAAGCACACTTAAATACAAATACATCCAATTTGCTTTAAATATAACGTGTATTGTTGGTTGCATGTACAGTCAGGGGTTTAATAAAATTATTTCCAGAAAGTATCATTTATTAAATATTTCTTTAATTATTTATGATTTAATCTTTTTCTTTAAAAGTTAGATATCACAAGCCAACTGTGTATTATATATCTATTTTATTACATAAAAGCAACATGAATTATCTAAGTTAAATATCCAAACTTACAGACCAGATCAACTACCTATTTCATAGTATGTTGAAGAGTAATATATGAAAAATTATTAAATATTATTTATCCGTCCCTCCATTGCCCATAATAAAATAATACTCTTATGTTATTATTTAGATATTATAGTCTCTTTATTTGTAGGACTCCATAATTATTCAAGGTTGTCTAAATAATTTGTTTATGGAATAAGAAACAGACAAAGGACAATGACTGGCTAAGGATATTTATTCAAACAGCAGAAGATATAAGCAGTCATAGTTGAACAACTAACTAAAGGTAAATATTCTGAGAATATTACTGCAAAAAGCAAATACTCAAAAATAAAAATAAATGCGTTTTCTTTAATGGCATATATACTATAATTCGCCATTGCTCCAATATTTTGATTACTTAGCATTATTATTTTAGATATTATTGACCAAAATATGAATTTGAATAGAATATTGTGCTGATTGAAGCAAAAAAAAATGGTGTTATCGCCCGTCATTTCAAGGCTAATTTTTTCCTCTAATGGACGAGGTGTGCGAACACTCTGTATATCATATACCGTTAATGAGAGTCTCGTTTTTTCTGAATAAGGCTTCTAAACTAAATATTTTTTATCAGCATTAGAAAACTAAGAGTCTCTTCTTGACGAAATGGTGAATGCGCTTATTAAAAAATGTTTTAAATTTCTTGAAATTAACAGACTTTTATTTGCTTAGCTAAAAACAATAGAGCAACTACCTATTTCAATGTTTATTGAAGAATGATATAAGAAAAAATATTAAATATTATTTATCCTTATCCTCACTGCCTATAACAAAATAATAAATAATACTCTTATTTTATTATTTAGATATTATAGTATCTTTATTTGTAGGACTCCATAATTATTCAAGGTTGTCTAATGAATTTGTTTATGGAATAAGAAACAGACAAAGGACAATGACTGGCTAAGGATATTTATTCAAACAGCAGAAGATATAAGCAGTCATAGTTGAACAACTAACTAAAGGTAAATATTCTGTGAATATTACTGCAAAAAGCAAATACTCAAAAATAAAAATAAATGCGTTTTCTTTAATGGCATATATACTATAATTCGCCATTGCTCCAATATTTTGATTACTTAGCATTATTATTTTAGATATTATTGGCCAAAATATGAATTTGAATAGAAAGATATGTTGATTGAAGCAAAAAAATTGGTGTTATCGCCCGTCATTTCAAGGCTAATTTTTTCCTCTAATGGACGAGGTGTGCGAACACTCTGTATATCATATACCCTTAATGAGACTCTCGTTTTTTTTCTGAATAAGGCTTCTAAACTAAATATTTTTTATCAGCAAAAAAAACGAAGCGTCTCTTCTTGACGAAATGGTGAATGCGCTTATTAAAAAATGTTTTAAATTTCTTGAAATTAACAGACTTTTATTTGCTTAGCTAACAACAATAGAGCAACTACCTATTTCAATGTTTATTGAAGATTGATATAAGAAAAAATATTAAATATTATTTATCCTTGTCCTCATTGCCTATAACAAAATAATAAATAATACTCTTATTTTATTATTTAGATATTATAGTATCTTTATTTGTAGGACTCCATAATTATTCAAGGTTGTCTAATGAATTTGTTTATGGAATAAGAAACAGACAAAGGACAATGACTGGCTAAGGATATTTATTCAAACAGCAGAAGATATAAGCAGTCATAGTTGAACAACTAACTAAAGGTAAATATTCTGTGATTATTACTGCAAAAAACAAACACAAAAACAAAAATAAAAAATGTGTTTTCGATGACATAATATACAATACTACAATTCGCCAATGATCCAATATTTTGGTTACTTACTATACTTAGCAAACTTATTTTAGATATTATTGAAATCAAAATATGAATTTGAATAGAATATTGTGCTGATTGAAGACAAAAATGGGAGTTATCTTTCGTAATTTCCCAGCCAAATTTTGTTCCTACTGGACGAGTTGTGTTAACACTCTGTATATCATATATCGTTTTATAAGAGTCTCACTTTCCCTGAATAAAGGTTCTAAATATTAGTATTATCCTTGTAAGCAAGGGTATTATAAAACCGAGGGTTTCTACTTGACGAAATGGTGAATGCGCCTATATAAATATTTTTATAAAACTCGTGAAATTAACAGACGTAAAAAATGTAAAGAGATAGCATAAATTCTGTAATTTAAATAGTAATTTCCTACAAATGCATGTGTTTTATATATTTTAACTTATAATTCGATTGATATAATACCGTATTATCGAAAAAAAAACGGCGTCAGCGATGGTTATGAAATGAAGATCGCTGTCATTTTATATGGGAAATGTCATCTATCGTCATTTCATTAGGTCATTTCACAGCCATCGCTGACGCCGTTTTTTTTTCTTCGGTCATACGATATATGTACCTATACCTGGAGTTTTTCAAAGTTATGTATAACAATAATAAATATTATTTATTGTTAAACAGATTGGTGTTCAACTTAGAACAGCTGAGAGTTTCGGCTCTGTTGGATTTTAAATCAGTGATGTTTTACTACATAATTTAAAGCTAGTTATTTTTTTTATTACAGGTTTGGATCTCTGGAACACATCATCTCGTAAGCTGATTAAATGGACCCGTTCCTACATTCCAACGACACTGCAAGATACCCATAACTACCAAGGCTGGCTTTTATTTACTTTAATATAATTTCTTATAAAATATTTAGTATTTTTAGATGACATTATATTTAGCATAATTACATTTAAATAAATAAAACTTACAGACCTTTTAAATTGATTTTTATTTATTGTATAGGACCTCTTCGCTCTTATATGATCCTGGTAGAAATCGAAAATATTCTTTGACTTTTGGCAAAACTTGCATAAAATTATTTAATTCTCTTCAAAATATTAAGTTTCTATCAGGAAAACATAAAGAGCAAGGAGGTATATATGGGATCCCAAGAACCAAATATATTCCTCTTCACATTGAACAAAAACTTTTAATCCTTGTCGAAAATCACTGACTTCTATCAGGAGCACATAAGTGTGAAGAGGTGAGGAGTAAATTGAGTGCCAATATTTACCTTGTCGCTCTTATGTGCTCCTGATACATATCCGAGAAAATTCAATTTTTGTGAAAGACCGCACGAAAATGTGTAAACCGGGTCAAAAATCGCCGATTTCTATCAAGAACGCATAAGAGTAAAGAGGTAAGCAGTAAATTTTGTACCACACGTAAATATATCATTAATTAACGATTTTTCTACTGGCTCTAGCACTTCGACCTCGTTTCCAAACTTCAACCCTTAATATCTCGGAAACTATCAGGGTTAGAGAGGAACGGAACTCGGCTTTCAATAGGCATTTCAACCCTCTATAAGGGCTCAAGACGAGTGCGCGATCGGAGACAAAAAAAATTTTTGGCGAAAATTTTTTTTTGTCTCCGATCGCGCCCTATTTATGCACCCTTATAGAGGGTTGAAAGGCGAATCGAATGCCGTCTTCCCTTCCTCGATATCTCTTATAGTTATGGCCGTTTTTCGAAAAAATCTAACTCGTTCGAGCTCGTTGGTCAAGTCCTCTGATTTTTACCAAGTGGAATTTATTTTGACTACCTTTTATTCAAAACTGACGCTTGGATTTTCGATCAGGAGCGGGTTCGTACAGCCTTTGACAAAAATTGAATTTTCTCCCATATGTATCAGGAATACGAGCGAGGGTGTAATATTAAGATTGAAGCTGTGGTGTAATGGTAGATATTATTTTTATATAAAATACTGCCTATTTCTGAACAACTTGTTTATTATTAGAATATATATTATTTTTGTGATAAATAACTTTTTCTTTTTGTTCAGGATTAGACAGTTTTTAGGTTCAATTAAACTCATTTATTTTTAATTATTATTTATTAACATAATTATTATATTTTATTAACAAGAGTAACATAAAAAGTACATTAAAATCCAAGGTGTTGATGGACATGCTGATGTCTATGTGGACGTAAATAAATCTTCTGGGTACCCTTCGGGAAAGTCTTGGTTCTGTAAGGAAAATATAAAGAAATAATTAATTGTTTGTTCACTAAAGTGGGCCTCACACGATCAGTATTATTGATTGTATTGGATATTGTCACTATCCCAAAATACTTTCAAGATTGCCAAAGTATATCGGTATACTGACAATCACATCAGTAAGTTTTCCCTCACACAGTCCATATTACTGACAGGACAGTTATGGAAATACTGTCAATAATCCTGGTCGTGTGAGGCCCGCTTAACATGCTTGATTAAAATCACAATTAAAATCTATTACTTCTATGACATTGCATTTTCAGTAAATTAATAGAGCAGTAGGTATTATATAGCATTTTTTCGTAACATAGAAATCTTTTTTATAGCAAATAACAATAACTCAATACAAGAAAAAACACGACTAAGTTGACTGCATTTGTGTAACTGTGATTCTTAATTAAGGAATATTTTAATTATGACATTTAAAACGTTAAAAAACTACAAATTAAAAAAATAAACACTAATACAGGCAACTCTACATACACGTAATTGTATTTTTAGTTGCCTATACACCAATAAAAAGTGCGCCAAAATGCTATATTTAAATTTAATCATTTATACTAAAATATTTTATAAAATACAATAAAATTGGGTGTTTATTTAACATAATCGATTTAAAAAAAGACACCATGTAGTTTAATTTACCTAATAGCTTCAACTTCAGTGATGAATTTCATTCTCAATTGATGCCACCAACCTAGTGGCATCTTCAAGAGGGACTCTTCAGTGAAAATGCAGCTTTCCCAAAAAATTCTTGTTCCAAAGCAGTACTCCATTAAAGAACTCAATTTAAAAAAAAACGAGAGAAAGAAATAGAAGATTTCACAGAATCAAGATAAATAAAATGAGATAGAAATAAAGAGCTAGAGGTATGTAGAGTTGAAAAAAATTGCATAAAATGTGTGATGAATTTAGAAAAGTCTCAGAAGAATGACACAAAAAAATAAAATTATATACATATAAGACCTTAACTTTCAATGGAAGAGTTTTTAGAATTGCTGAATGATGCCATTCCCACAAGGAAGAAAATATGGGGGACAAAAAGTAACTTAGAGATATGATGCATTGAAAAAGAATAAAAAAATATAATACAGGGAATAGATATGTTGAAAGTTGAAATACTATGTCTTAGGAGGATAACAGAATAATGAATAAGACAAACAAATAGAAGAGTAAATGATGATATTCCAATAATAAAGAAACTATGAGTGAAAAATAATAAAATAAATAAAAGGGATGAGTGGGAAAATATGCCACGAAAATGAGGGATGGTTTTAGAAGAATAGGATGAAAATTGATAAAAAAAACAATAATTCTATGCAGACAATATAAATGTGTTAAATCATTTTCTAGGTATGCAAATATATAAGACAATAACTGGGAAGAGTTTATAGAATTGACGAATGATGATATCCCAAAAATAAAGAAAATATGACAGACAAAAATAGTGAAATAGAAATAGGCCAAAAGCAAAAAAAAAAGAAGTATGTGGTCAATAAGAACTGGAAATTTGATCAAAGACTATGCTTAGCCTCCTCTAACGAAGATCTAGTCAAAATATGACATCAAGCACATGAAATAAATCCTCCAGAGCACCAAGTTCGCCCCCCCTCATCCGATTTAACCCTTGTCCGACGATTAAGCCTCACCAGTCAGTTCCCATCCCAGCTAAGCAGCCTCGTCTCGGGTCGCCCTCGTCACCCATCGAGCGGACATCCACCGGGACCCCCTACAGGCGGACCCCCCTCATCATCTTCAATGTGTCCGATATCCCGCCCCCTGCCTCTTCGAGGGTCACGGAATACGTGCACGAAGAAGTCTCGGAGCTTGGGTGCCAGGTCGTATCCGGCCGAAGCCTCTAGCGTTAGAACACCTAGCTCGTAAACCAGAGGGTGGTGACTCCCTTGGGTACCTCTGCATGCTACACAGGTCATCGATGCCCGAACATCAGGGTTAGGGGGCGACCCGGGTCTCCTCTTTTGCAGGGAGGCTAGCTGTGATGCTCTGGAGTCGATGTTACTCAGGAAAATTCATTGGAAAATGGACTAGCAAAAACACAAGTGACATCGCCCGACTCAGATTTTTTTGAATAAATGGCGAATGCGCCAGGAATTTATTGGAAAATAGTCATCATTGTGAGATTTTTAAGTATGTTATTGTGTTTTTAAGTTATATTTAAACACAGGCAAACTAAAGAGACAGAATCCATAAAATTATAGCAATTCATGACATATGACCTCAGAAAAACGACATGAAAATAAATCCATCAAAACTAAAATTTTGTACAAGGAATTACACAAGCAAAACAGTATTAGAAGAATGACACCATAAGAAAAATAATAGAATTAAAAGAGACTTATTGAAATACAGGCAATAAAATATTTTAAAGAATTAATGAATGACGTTATTATTCCCACAATGGAGAAAATATGGGGCTATTATAGAGAAATGAAAGTAATCAAAAACGACTTGAAGTAAAATTCTAAATAGATAGCATAATATTTTACCAGTCACATAAGACTTATAGAAATACAGTCAAACGGATGCTGTATAGAATTGCTACAAACAATCATATATACAGGTCTAGCTATTATAGAGAAACGAAAGTAAATCAAAAACAACTTGAAATAGAATTCAAAGTAGCAAATGAAGTGGCAAAAAGATGAAATCCACTGATGAGAGTATTAGATACCAGTTAAAATATATTTACACAAAGGAATTAAATTTTAGATATGCATGTCTAAGTTCAGAGGCATTGTAATATTCATCAAAAAGATAAATGTACTGCTATGGAATTGTCTACATCCATCGATTTGTGGTGGGAAATCTGTAACAAAAGAAATCAATATTATTAGATTTTATTATAATTTATACCTAAATATTTTACAAAATATCTACAATAATATGAGGCGTTTGTCAAATATACTTGATTTAAAAAAAATATTTTAGTATAATTTACCTAAAATTATTCTATTCCTCTTCAATGATGAATTTCATCCTATTCCACTGTTGAATGTTGAATATAATCAACCTAATGTCATCTTGATGAGGGTAGTTGAACTGAAGTGCAGCTGTCCTTGTCCAAAAATCCTTGTTCCAAGGCAGTACAATATCCCATTCATGAATCGAAAACTATACAATGGCATCAACAGAAATGAAATCAAAGACTTGGAGTCTTAGAAGAATTACAGTAAAATAAGAAATAATACACATAAAGAAGAGGTTAAGAAATAAAATTAGAAGAAAAACAATAAAGAGAAAGACCGTTAGCCTCGTTTGATAGCTTCATACCTCTTAAAGAAAAGTGAAACTTTGTGAAATGGATCATATGGAGAGGAGATCCTAGGATTGTCTGACTGAAAAGATTTGCTAGTTCATTTAGCGTTACCCAGGGTGCACCACGTGGAGGCGAACTAGCTTTGCACCCCCCAGAATGAAGAAAAATAGATGAACTTGAAAAAGTTCCAGAAAAAAATGTATATACCTAAAAAATGTACATATAAAAAGATTAGTCAGACAATCAATGGAAAAATTTATAGAACTGATGTATGATGACACTCCCATAAGGAAGAAAATATGGAAGACAAATAATAAAATTGAGATATGATTTGGTTGCAGAAATTAAAAAAAATGGAATGAAAATAAATTCAAAATGAACTATAATTCTAGACAGGTGATGATGACGAAATATGTCTTAGAAGAGTCTCAGAAGAATAACACAAAAAAGGTATACATACATATACAAAAAACTTATAGAATTTATAAAATTGATGAATGATGTTGAATGACATTCCCATAATGAAGAAAATACAGGAGAAAAATAGTGAAAAGGATATATGATGAATTGAAAAAATATACAAATGTACAGGAGAGTCATTGGAAGGGTATATACAGAATTGATGAATGATATTCTAGTAGTAAAAAAATATGGCAGACAAAAATAGAGAGGTAGGACAAAAGCAAGACGAAGCAAAAAATATAAATAAGTACAGGCGAATTGACAAAAAGTTATGCTTAGCCTACTCTAACGAATATCTCGTCAAAATAGGACTCAATTACATGAAGAAAGATCCTCCAGAGCATCAAGTTCGCCTCCCCCCTCGTCCGATTTAACCCTTGTCCGACGATTAAGCCTCACCAGTCAGTTCCCATCCCAGCTAAGCAGCCTCGTCTCGGGTCGCCCTCGTCACCCATCGAGCGGACATCCACCGGGACCCCCTACAGGCGGACCCCCCTCATCATCTTCAATGTGTCCGATATCCCGCCCCCTGCCCCTTCGAGGGTCACGGAATACGTGCACGAAGAAGTCTCGGAGCTCGGGTGCCAGGTCGTATCCGGCCGAAGCCTCTAGCGTTAGAACACCTAGCTCGTAAACCAGAGGGTGGTGACTCCCTTGGGTACCTCTGCATGCTACACAGGTCATCGATGCCCGAACATCAGGGTTAGGGGACGACCCGGGTCTCCTCTTTTGCGGGGAGGCTAGCTGTGATGCCCTGGAGTCGATGTTACTTAGGAAAATTCATTGGAAAAATGCAAAGACAAAGAGAAGTGACATCGTCTGTGGACGAGTGATTTTTTGAATAAATGGCGAATGCGCCAGGAATTAATTGGAAAATAGTCCTAATAATTATTGTGAGATTTTTAAGTGTGTATAAATTATATTCAAAAACAGGCAAACTAAACCAACAGAATCCATAAAATTATAGCAATTCATGGTAGAATTTTAGATAATAATAAATTTTAGATATTTTTTCTAAAAAAAAAAAAATTCATGGTATATGATCTGGGAAAAACTACATGAAAATGAAATCCACCAAAACTAAATATCTGCACAAGAAATTACCCAGCCAAAAAATATTAAAAGAATCAAATCAAACCATAAGAGAAATAATACATATAAAATAAGACTTATAGAAATGCAGTCAATGGAATATTTTATAGGATCGATGAATATTATTCCCACAATGACGAAAATATAGAAATCAAGCCGTTATAGAGAAATAAAAGTTAACCATAAACAAAACGAAGTAAAATCCTAAGTAAATGGTATATTTACCAAACAAATAAAACCTATAGAAATACAGTTACTCCTATAATCAAGAAAATATGGCAGTCAAGCTATTATAGAGAAATAAAAGTAAACCAAAAACAACTTGAAGTAAAGTTCTAAGTGGATGGTATTTTACCAAAAAGAAAATGAAATAGCCAAAAGCCAAAAACTGGCCAAAATTAAAAACAGATGATTTGAATTTGTCTATGATAATAAGGAATCATAAAAACGTAACTCAGAGACCCCTTGGATTTTTTTCCTACTTAATTAAATTTAAAAATGATGCAATGAATGCACTGTAATGAACATTAAATGCCAGTTGAAACATATTTACCCAAAGGAATAACATTTTAGATATACTTATAAGTCCTGATGCATTGTTGGTACTATTCATCAAAAGGATAAAAATGTACTGCCCTGGAACTGTATTACTCCATCGATTTGTTGTACAAAATCTGTAACAAAGGAATAAATAATATTACATTTCATTATAATTTATATATCTACAAATTTTACAAAATACAAACTACAAAATGATATTAGATATGTATTTATTAAATATATTTTATTGAAAAAAATAGTAAAAAAATTACAGAAATTTACAAATTTACCTAAAATTATTTAGTTTCCCTTCAATGTTGAATTTCATCCTCATTCCACTGTTGAATGTTGAATTTAATCAATGTAATGACATCTTCTTCAAACTGTTGCAGTTGAAGAGGGAATAACCAACAACTGCCACGAAGATAAAGCCTACTAAATAGAATTATTAAGTTATATTTTTACACAGTTTTATATACTTTAGTAATGTTAATAGTTAATATTAATTTCTTTAAAAAGTGATATACATAGTATTTTTAATATCTACTAGCTCATAGTGCATATAGTGCATTAGTGAGCAATAGTGCATTATAAAAATAATAAGTGCATTATTATTATAAAAACAGTAGCTGGATTTAAAATTTAAATTTAGAAATAAACGATGATACAATTTGTTCTTGGATTTAATTTCAATTTTTTAAAAGATTGGGTAGGCAATCAGGAAAATTAAGAACTAAACGAAATTACCTGTTGGTATTGATTAAAGTATATTCAATAATGTGACTAAAATAAATATAAACTATGAGAAATACAACTTTTTTATAAAATATGTATTAACAAAAAATAAAACTTACTTTGTTTAGTTTCAAAGTTGTAGTTGTAGATAGGGCTGAATTGTGTTATAGAAGCCCCCATTTACCATAAATCTTTGTCTCTCTATGCCTATTTAGCTTCCTGCATCGTATTTAACCCTTCGTCCACGATTAGGCCTCGCCATAGTCATTTCCAATCCCAATTAAGCACTGTTGTCTGAGATCTCCACCATATCCACTTCTGTGAAAGGACGCATGAAGACTGTGTGCTCGTGTGTGCTATTATTAACATGTCTAAAACAAAACAAAAAATATATTTAGCACACTCAAAAGTCACAATCTTCTACTAAAGATTAGTGTTTTGCATATGAAAATATATTTGTAAGAGTTTTTTAAAGCAATTTTTAATCCTTCATAATATCCCCAGTCTTTTAGAACAGCGTGACGAATACAGACATTCAAAAATCAAAACAAAATTTTTACTGATGTGTAAGAAAGGTTTCAAAAACAAGAAAAAAATAAATTCTAGTAGATCTTTTCCTGGCTAATGTAAATTATAATAACTATATGTGTTTACCTATGGTGTTTACCTTTCCTAAAATTTAAACAACAATACAACGAAAACAAGACATTTGCAAATGTGTAGTTTTAAAAAAATGGGAACGACAAAAAACCATTATGTAATACTCTATAAAATGCCACAAATAATAAAATATTTAGAATCAAATATATCCAAACGTTTAGAAAATATGTTTTATGATGTTAAAACATAGAAAATAGTATATTATTTTAAACTAGACATAGGAAAATTGATATCTGAAAAAAACTCCAGGCTCTGTGTTGGACTTGTTACGTCCAAATTCAGCTTAAAAAACAAAAAGTGAATTGTAATATGTATTTAGGTCTTCAATTATGTAGTAATGTTGCATGATTTTACGATAGAGAATTGCAGAGGACGCATTTAAACAATATTATAACGTAAAAATACTCTTAAATGCCAAGAGTCGCCATGATGGTTGGCGATAAAAAAAACTTTTAAGATCAGATAATACGTAAAATAACATGAAATAAACGGTACTTACTATTACAAAAGGTCGAGCAGAGCCTTAGGAAAAGATTACGAACCAATAATACCCAATAAAATCGTTTTTTCTAGCTAAAATTTCAAAAAAACCCAAGACCGGCCGGCATACGCCACTTTTCTTTGGTTAAAATTAGAAAAAGTATTAAGTGTAAATAATAGATGGCTCTTATTAAGCACTTTTTGGGACCTCGAAAAAGTAGATTTCTTTAATTTAATTTTGAAAACTAATAGTATAACTGTCTTCCGATAGATGTCACAACCGCCGAATAGTTACAGAACTCTATCCAAATTACATACCATTACTTTTCGCTAGATGTCACAGCATAACTTAGTTTTGACAGAAATCTTTTTTATTTTTATTATAGTATAACTAGTTAACAACTGATGGCGCCACATGTTATTGTAGTTTCAAAAAATGCTGCTACGATAATATTGCGCTGCAATCGGTTTCGCGGGTTAGACGAAAAATTTGAATTAACGCAATTTTCTTTTAGAGCTTATACAAACGTTTTAATTACGAAATTCTTAATTATAACGTTAAAAATAGATTGAGAACATATTCAGTTAGTTGAATTTGATATAAACAAGTATAATAAATAAAATTAGAGTAAATAAATATTGATTTTTCAATTATATCTTTAAAAATTCTGTCTTTATTTGATGCAATAAACTTGTTTGTTATTATTTTTATAATTTTCTTTTGTATTTTTATTCGTTGAATGCAGTAAAGCAAAAAAGAACATGGTTTTGTTGCGAAATTATAGTACAAAAAATCTATACTACCGTATGATCGAATAAAAACGGCGTCAGCGATGGCTATGGAATGACGATCGATAATAACATTTCCCATATAATTTTACATATAAAATGACAGCGATCTTCATTTCATAGCCATCGCTGACGCCGTTTTTATTCGATCATACCGTATAAAAGTACGTTCTTACAAATAGGAAAAAATGAAAAGCAATTTTTTCATCCATATATTTTTTTGTATATAATGTACACAGTACAATACAAGTGCTAGCTATCTACTAATTCTTATCTGGTCAGTAGATCTATTAAGCCTGACAATTACACTTAAGAGTCTAGAAAAACTTAAACGGTATCATCAATAAAAACTACACACACTGCCATCAGTGTTAATTAGAAAAAGGACACTATATTACAAATATTTTACACAAAAAACTCCATCGTCCCGTCCAAAGAAAAATAATACAATGATTTCATTTTTAAAAAACGATCGAAAAACGAAAATTCCTGTATACTCGTTACGATTTTTATAACAAGTTGATCTGGCAATAACGTAAACAAAAACAAACGAGCAATCGTCTCTCTAATTCTTCTTTTTTTCGTAGTATGGCACCTGTTGCTTGCGACACAGAAGCCACGATTAAGAAGTCTCCTGCATTATTAGTTTCTATTCTGTAGCCCATATAGTACGGCGCGCGTAAATGTATAATTTTAAATAATAAGTATGTACAAAAAATTAGGAAATAATCATGCACGTATTCCACTCATTCTCACGACACAGATATTTATAAATAGAAATTTACAATGGGGCGTTCTCTTAGGCAAAATAAACTGCAGAAACCCAAAGAGTTTAGTAGAGAGCATAGATAAGAAAATAATTATTTTTAATAAATTGTACTGAAGCTGTGGTTGGTTCCTTGTGAAACATCGTTGAAATATTAGTATTTTAATAAAACACGCTTTTAGATGTATCAAAAATCTTTTAATAAGAGTAACTTTAACTCTACATATATGTTTCGGCTTGTTAGGCCTTTTTCAAGAGTTTTTTAAGAACTAATCGTCTAACTACACTGTAACTATATATATATTTGCTATGGGGGTGGGTTCAGAGAGTTTACAATAGGGATAATAAAAAATGTGTTTAGAAATCCTTGTTGGTCGTTAACATTATTTTCGTTTTTGACAGATTTTAGTATTTCTAACTGTTCAATGTAATTTAAGCGTCTACCTTTTGTTTCTCTGTGTAGTAACTTAATTGAGTTTTCATTAATTTTGTGATTATTTACTATACAATGAGTTGCAAGACCAGAACTATGCTGGAGATTATTAATAGACTTTACATGTTCTTTAATCCTTATATCTAAATTTCTACCTGTTTGGCCTATGTACACGGCATCAAAATCATTGCAATCCACCCTATATACACCCGACTTATTTTTGACATTAGTTTTGTCTTTATTATTTAATAAAATTTGACCTAAATTTCTTTTATTTACGTTAATAGTTTTACATCCTATTTTATAGAGATTATTTTATATTTTGTTAGTTAAATTAGGAATGTAGTTTAAAAGTCGATAATTGTTATTGTCTTTAAAATTAGCGGAATAAAAATTTTTCATTAATATTTTCTTTTGTTTCTTCTTTAGCATATTATCAATAAGGGAACACTTATATCCATTGTTGATGGCGATTTGTTTAATAATACATATATGTAGAGTTAAAGTTACTCTTATTAAAAGTTTTTTGATACATCTAAAAGCGTGTTTTATTAAAATACTAATAATTATTTTATTGCGCTGGTCAAAATCAGTAATGTGTCACATAGTAGGCATAGAAATATCCACGTTTGACGTTTGTTTGCCTTCAAAATTGGAAGTTCAAATAAACCGTGAAACAGAACTGACACTGTCAAAACCAGTCTCGGTTTAGTAGATATACAGGGAGGTCCGAACTGTATTCCCGAAACTTCGGCACCATATTCTGCAGATAAAAATAAGTATTCGTTCGTATAAATGTATGCCCTAAAATGTGCTTAATGCTTAGTTTCGGAGATATAGGGTGACGAAGCTGAAGGACCAGTGTTGAAGGACCAGTACAACGTCACGTTCAATAATATCAGTTTGGGACTCGAAAACAACGACGTGCAATGTGTCAAAGACAACATCGGCAAATGAATGGAAAAAATTGAAATAAAAATGAAACTACTACACCCTGTATCTACAAAACGAAACATTTTAGGACACAAGTTTATATGAACTTTTTTACTTATTTTTATTGCTGCCGAAATTTCCGGAATACAGTTCGGATAACCCTGTATAGCTTAGGCACCAACTGAAATAATAATGTCTATGCCTTCCACGACGTAAGTTTTCGTTCAACGTCGACACAAACTAATACGTTAAAAATTTTACTGTCAAAAGTGACATTTAAGTAGATTTTTAGGTGTCATTTGTCAAACTATGACACGTTTCAGCTTTCAGCAAGAGTTTTTCAATGAAGATTCCATAATCCCTTGGAGCTGCTAAAGTTAATTTTCTTTTGAAACACCCCGTATATAATTTTTTTCGCCATCAATAATTATTATTGGAAAATCTTTCTTCCACTGTTACTAGCGTTTCCAATAATAAAATCTTTTTAAATTGGATATACATTTATGATAATTTGTTTAATAAAAAATCTCTTAGGTTTTTTTGCTCAAAGTCGAAATTTTTCTCACCAGAAATATGCAAATACTGATTATTAAACCTATATATAGTTGATTTTTTTATAATTTTGCCTTTTTCCCGATAACATTACGCACGACACACGCACACACACGTTCATAAGTCAATTATATACAAAAATAGTTTTAAAGCTATTTTTCTCCCTAAACAAAATAACGTAACCTAGAAAAACAATTAAATAAATAATATTGTTCGTCGATTTTAACTCTCTTTTCTGTTAATACGCTAATTTTTTTTTTTAAAAAAAATATTAGACCATAATCTACCTAGACTCTACTCTCAGTATCTTTGCTTCAAAGTTTGGTTAATGCACAAGTGACGTCAGATCAGGGCTTCAAGGGTAGTGAAGTGATAGTAAATATCGCGTTAAGGTTATTCTGTTCACTTAATAGATACATCTATTGTACAGGGTGTCCCATTTTAGTGTGTTTTACGGTGTTTCTCGTTTACGAGTAGAGCTACAAAGATGCGGTTTTCACATCATTACGTTACTATTTTATGACACTAAAATTGTTACACACAGATTTGTCTTTAGCATAGTCTTTTTAGCTCCCAGCTATAAATTTTTATATATTATCATATTTTTGATCAGTTATAAGAAAAATGCAAAATTTTACTGTATTTCAGGAACTAAGAAGGCTAGGACAAATCTGTGTGCAACATGTTTAGTCTCATAAAAAAGTGACTCAGTGACGTAAAAACCCCACTTTGTATCTCTACTCTTAAAAAAGACACCCTGTCAAAAGCACGAAAATGGAACACCCTGTACTTTTTTTGTGCTAAAGAAAAAAGAACGTTCCTATGTCCAATAAGAGTAATTTTGCCCCTGGATTTTCGTTACATAAACAGTCTCAGAAAAAAGAATTAAAATATATTTAATCCACTATACAGGGAGGCCTCGCAGATATTCTACTAATGTTTTGATAGATGGCATTATTAAGGAAAAAATTGTTATATTTTCTATCAAAACATAGGTCCTTCTGTATCTGCGAGCCTAAAAATTTCAGTACCGGAAAAATACAACAAAGAAATCAACTTTCGCTCGAACAGCGGCAATAATAATAATTTACTCTAGGGATCCCTCCCTTATAATTCCCTTACCGCGCATGCGCATCACACACACACGAGATTCTAGGGGGCGGGGGTTTTGTCAATGTCGATTGCGTCATCATCAGTCGGGAATGGAACTCTGCCGCGCGCAGGGGGGGATTTACAGGAAAAACACGACGGCCGCCGCCACTGCCTCCTAGTTGACCATCAACGTGTGCGATTCCATGGGCGCCGCGGAATCGTACAGGGTGTCCGTGTCCTGGGTGGGCTCGCCCTGCAGCTGGCACTGATTGGTCAGGGTACCGGCGCCACAATCACAGAAAAACCTAAACGAAAATCGTACCAAAAAAATTAATCCACCTAAAGCCACGCCTACACGTAAAGTTTTGTGCGACAGTTAAAACGGAATACTTATATTTGATATCAACAATTAAACTTATAGTTATATTTTCTGACACTGTCGTTCGTTTTGACACTTTAGTTTTGTATTACAAGTTTTTGGTTTTTAGTCAAGTGTACAAGATAGTTTAATATAAAAAGAAAGTAAGTAAAAATAGGCAACGTTGTGTCGGTCAAGCTTAATCACGTGACTAGAAGTTTATTTAGTATGAACTGTAATTTCTCAGTGCAAGTAAAATGTCTATCGTCGATAAGTTTTACCTGAACAGGTAAGAGCGACAGGCTAAACGTTACGTGTACGAGCGGCTTTAACCGCGAGAGAAATGAATAAAAATCCCAACTACCGTCAAGAACGTACGTACCTGTCGTGCCTGATGAATTCGACGTCGTGGCCGGCGTGACACGTCTTGATACAATTGACGCAGATGGCGTTGCGGTCGGTGGTGTTGCACGTTTGACAGCGGTAGAAGTCGTGCATTGGGAACGATGTATAGGAGGAGATCTTGTACAGGCACTGACCGTTGGCAACCGCCTTCTCTACAGCGTCTTGATTGTTGAATATCTACAAGCAAATTAAGATAAAAAAAATGTATTAATATATTGCAATGTCAATCAGTCTTACATTAAATTTTCCATATATAAAAAAAATTCTTAGATTTTTATTGCTAATGAGAGTTTTTTTAGAACTACATAAAAAGATCGCCTTTTTTTTCACTTTATACTCTGAAAAAAAGGTTGGTAGGTGAAGGTCCTCCACCTTTCAGTTTTCTATTTTTTTCCTTAATATTTATTAGAAAGAAAAATTCATATTTCGGTATCTACTATTTGGAAAAAATATTTCGTCTCATATATTTGCAGGAAATTAAATTATCTACAAAAAACAATTCCAATTTATTTTATGAATTTCGGGAAAATTTGTACAAATTTGGGTTTCTATGAACAAAGAAATGTTTTAAACTTTTTTCTAGTTCTTTTAGTCCTAAGTATGTTTGGGTACATTGAAACAAAAAATTATTGCATTTTTTCTAACTTAGAGTCAATAATTCATTAAATTTCGAATAAACAACGTTTTTGTGACAAATTTAATATAAAAGTATTGATCTAGAAGAAAAAAAATCAATTTTTCAAAAACTGTTAAAATTATTGTGCACTGAAGTTTGGCGATGAATATCTTTTAAACGGTTAATTTAATCGACTAATCATCAGAGTTGTTAAACTACACGTAGTAATTAATAAACTACATTTACTACATGTCACAAGTAGTTTTTTAAATGTCGAGCAGTAAATGTGTAGTTTATGTAACTAATGTAGTTTTTTTAAATAACAGTGAAAACATAACCTAAAAACTTTGTTTGTTGATCAATTTAAAGAAATAAAAAATCTATATTTTGTGAATTTGTTCCTTATTATGTGATATTTTTGATACTTTATAGTTAAAAATGGTTGGAAGACGTCGATGTCTCCATACCTTGCTCCATACCTTCTGAAAAGAGGGGAATTATGAAGTTGTGCCTTTAGATGTAAAAAATCATATATTCTCCTGGAGAATGTCTATGGAGAATTTCTCCATAAGAAATTATAGTTTATTTTGTGTTCAATGTTACTTTGTATTTCATAGAAAATACACTTTTGTTGAAAAAAAAATTGTGTTTTTTTCTGACGTTGTTTAACTTATACAAATATAATATAACTTCATACTTCCATGATAAGAATTTGGCTTGATTTTTGTTTAAAGTTTAAATTGTTTATGTTTTACTATATTTTTGTAGGTAGTTTTTAACGTAGTTTTTTGCTTCATAAACTACTTAACAACCCTGCTAAGAAATAGTTATTTACGTATAACAAATATTTTTTACACGTAGAAAATAGTTTTTTACGCCTAAAAAATAGATTTTTACGTCTAAAAAATACAATTTTACGCGAAACACGAAGATATATGTACACAGGACCAAGTATAGCTCACCTTATTTCCTCTTACTATGGGCTGCACACCGCTGGCCAGGCACAGCCCCCCGAACCGATTGTTGAAAATCTGATTGAACTCCAACGTTGCCGTCGCGTTGTTCGTGATCTCCACCCCGGCGGCCAGCCCGTCGAAGATCCGGTTCCGCCTCAGAATGGGGTGGCTCTGGGTCGAGATCAGCACTCCGGCCTGCGCGTTCCGGAAAATGTCGTTCTCCTCCAGCACGCCCTTGCCCCCGTTGAAAATGCAGATGCCGCCGTCCCTGCCGTCGAAGATCTTGTTGCGTTTCAGGGTCGGGTTCGAGTCGGTCTTGATCCACACGCCGGCCATCGCGTTGTCGAAGATCTCGTTCTGTTCGAGGAGGCCCAGGCCGCCGTTGTAGACTAGAACGCCACCGTTTTGACCGCCCCAAATTTTATTGCCTCGGATCACGGGGTTGGAGCCTGGAAAAATCGCAGTCAGGGTTGGGTAACGTAGAAAATGCATGTTTTACGTTATCTGAACTTGTGATATTTTAGAAAAATTTTACTTAATGACTAACTTTACTTAATTTGCCTTCATGACAATAAAAACAGATTTCCATACTTGAAAACATAATAATGTATACAGGGTGGTCCGAACTGTATTCCGGAAACTTCGGCAGCATATTCTACATATCAAAATAAGTAAAAAAGTTCGTATAAATGTATGTCCTAAAATGCTTAGTTTCGGAGATACAGGGTGTAGAAGTTTCATTTTTATTTCGATTTTTTCTAAATAATTTCGGAAGTAACGTCAATATTTGGATGAAAATTGGTATCTGGGAGTTTTGTGAGACGAGAAATTTGATTTTGATGTCAAAATTACTCGTATTTGAAGGGGGCGCCACCTACATGTGTTTTAACTGTTTTGAAGAGTAATAACTTTTCCACAGTACCTGTATAAAACCACTGACTAAAAAAATATACATTTCCGTGACTTTTTATGTAAAAAATATCTCTTGGTAAAAATCGCTACGAGCAACCGTTCTCAAAATATTTAGAATGGAAATAGTCAATACATGTCATTATTGACAAAAAATAAGCACACGTTGAGTATAGTTATTTGACTGAAACAATAAATTTTTATTTTTTTAAATTAATCATAAGTTTTTCTGCAAAAAACTGATGATTAAACAGTTTCTTTTGAACTTTTGACACAAAAATATTTCAAATTTATGATTTCAGTCTAATAACTATTTAGTCAACATGTTTAATTTATGTCAATGATGACAGGTATTGATAATTTCAATTCCAAATATCTCGAGAACCATTAGTCGTAGCCATTTTTACCAAGAGACCCTTTTTATGTAAAAAAAGTCGTAAATGTATATCTTTTTACTCAGTAGTTTTATAGAGGTACAGACGAAAAGTTATTATTCTTGAAAACAGTTAAAACATATGTAGGTGGCGCCACCTACAAATGGGAGTCATATTGACATCAAAATCAAATTTCTCATGTCAAAAAACACCCATCCACCAATTTTCATCCAAATATTGACGTTATTTTAGAAATTATTTGGAAAAAATCGAAATAGAAATGAAACTTCTACACCCTGTATCTCCGAAACTAAGCATTTTAGGACATACAGTGGTGGCCAAAAGTATGGAAACTTTTTGCTTTTTAAAATATCACAGAAAATATTGCTATGCTTAAACTCTCAGGAATATAAATGAACAGCTTATCAGCAAATAAAAGTATTCCAAAAATTACACAGCGAAAAAAATCTGTTTAGCAGTTTTTGTAGGAGAACAATAGATTTCTTGTGGCCAAAAGTATGGAAACCATAAATAAATACATTAAAATTATTTAGTTTAAGCTGATAAACGGTACGATTTGCTTCAGATAAATATAAACATCATGCCCAAGTCTAAATATTTCTCTAGGGATTTAAAAAATAAAATAGTTAAATTATACAAGAGCGGTTATAAACAAATTCAAATAAGTAAAAATTTAAACATTTTAAAAGGCAACGTTTCGAAAATAATTCGTAAATTTAATAAAACAGGGAACGTTTCAACAGCTTTTAAGTCAGGAAGACCAAGAAAGTTGTGCAACAGGACAATGAAAGTAATGAAGAGAATATCAATGGGAGATCCAAGAAAAACATCCACAGACATTTCTCGAGAAATGGGTCTGCACGCACGGTGAGAAGGTTGGATGACATGGGACTTTTTGGAAGAGTTGCGGTGAAGAACCACTAATATCAAAGAAAAATACGATGGCCCGCTTTAAATTTGCTCAAGATCATCTCACCTGGTCTTATCAGAAATGGAATACTGTACTGTTTAGCGACGAAAGCAAGTTTCAACTGTTTGGTAGTGACGGGAGACGTTATGTCCGAAGACCAAAAGGTACACGATGCAGCTATAAGTACCAGATGCCCACAGTAAAACATGGGGGTGGGAGTATAATGGTATGGGGGTGTTTTTCTCGCTCAGGTGTTGGTCCTCTTGTTAAAATTGATGGGATAATGGACCGTTTTTTGTACCAAGACATATTGGAGAATAATATGCTGCCTCATGCTGATGAAGAAATGCCACTCAGATGGTTGTTCCAGCAAGACAATGATCCCAAGCACAAATCTCGATTTGTTCAAAATTGGTTAAATGAACATAATGTTCCACTAAAGGATTGGCCCTCACAGTCTCCGGATCTTAACCCCATAGAAAATTTATGGGACCATTTGGATAGCAAAATTCGAAGCCATTCTATTTCAAATAAAAATGAATTATGGGAAGTGCTAAAAACTGAATGGGCGGCCATTTCCAGTAAAGATTGTACGAGATTGATCGATTCGATGCCACGAAGATGTAGAGAAGTAATTAATTCAAAGGGATATTCCACTAAATATTAGTAATTTTTATATCATCTTGAATTTTAATAAACATTCTTCTTAAGTTTCCATACTTTTGACCAAGAAAATATTCATAATTTTTTATATATTTTTTAATAGCTGTAATTTTTTATTTAAATGTATTAGGTTTTGTAGGAAATTATTTGTAGGTCACGATTATATAAGTCGTTTTATTTCAAATTTTAATTTCCCAGCATAAATGACAAATTAAAAAAGTTTCCATATTTTTGACCACCACTGTACATTTATACGAACTTTTTTATTTATTTTTATCTGCAGAATATGCCGGCGAAGTTTCCAGAATACAGTTCGGACCACCCTGTATATTCATTTCTGTTCACAAAATTATTTTTCTAAACGGCCAAACATAGATAACTATAAATTTCAAATCTCAATTCTCCATGTTAATGAAATTTTCATAAAGTTCACTTAAAATAAATAGAAATAAAACCTGTACTTCAATAATTATATCGTCCCATTGCTGCCAAAAGTCACTAACTTACTTTTTATTACTTCCGAGAAAAATGCGTCTAAAGATGAATTGCATTGCATAAAGATGTTATAGTTAGTAACTATTCGGTATTAAAATAAAACATAAATAGCCAGAAATCGTAGTTAATGACTTATGCAATCGATTCTCCGCTTCAAAACATAGTTAGAGATTGAATTTGTTTGTTCGGAAAAATGTTAGTTAGTGACTTTTGGCAGCAATAGGACGATATGCTTTTCACAAATTAAAGTTTTTCTACGCATTAGGATGTGGCATAAAATAAACATGTATATCTTAAACATCTTAATTATTGACATACAGGGTGGTAAATTTTTCTAAGAAATTTTTTTTTTATTATACTAACTCTGATGTTATTATAGATGTCTTTATGAAATTTGATGCACGTCTTCTACGTATAAAAATTATTATTTTTAAGTACAAAAAAGTGTCTTGTATATCTCAATTTCCATCCAGTCGAAGCAGAAACGATTTTAACACGACAGTCATCGCATCAGATTTTTAGCGATTGAAATACTTTAATTTTTCAGCAAAAACTATGAGTCCAAGGAAAAAAAATTAAGAGACAAAAATTGTTTAGAAATAAATTAAGATTTTGAAAATAATGTTTATTTTAAGAGTAACGTCAATGGCGTACCATTTTTTCTCGAAATATATCCTATATAAAACCTGGTTAAAATAAATAATTTTGTTTGAACATCAAAAAGATCTTGTGCTGCATAGAAAACGCGGTTCAAGTTTCATACAGATATCTAAAATAACATTAGAGTTATTATGAAAAAAAAAATTGGAAAAATTTACCACCCTGTATCTTAAAAGTTAAGAACCTACATTCATTCGAGGTGTTTTTCTTAGAATAGGTTCAAGAATAGCTCCTTTAAATATTAACATGTTATTAAGGAATATCCTTTATGTTTGCTATAATCAACTATCAAAAAACGACTTTTTGTCCCTACGCTCAACTTTTATTTTTCCATAACTGTCATGGTAGCAGATAAATGTTATATTTTGATGTTAGCTATTAGTGATGTAACGAATGTCAAATTTTAAGCATTCGCGAATGAAAATGCCGCTTATCTATGATTCAAAATATGCCGCGCGCAACACATAATATTTCCGGTGGCAGGCTAAAGAAATTAGCGTTGTTAAGTTGGCAGCAGGGCGAGTCAACTGAGATATACGACCTCGAATGATCTGTTAATTGAGATAGTAATTTCTTGGTGCGCTAAATGGCGTATCAAGTTTTTATAGCTGCCCAAAACTGACAAAAAAAATTGTTTCAGGTACTTATGTACTTTATTACAAGGTTCGCCCGGTTTTGTATTACAATAATTTTTGCAAATACTTTTATTTTTATGAATATTTAAGTCACTTTTACTCTTAATTTTTTTAAACGATAATGCACCTAAAATCTAGATGGCGCCACTTTAAATTTGAAACTATAAAATACACAGGAGTTGGCGTTCTTTTTTAGTATGTTCTGTGGTTGGTAGAACGGGTTTTTCCAATGATTGGAATTTTGTTTTGTTTTTGCTACCGGCTCAGACGAGTTTGTGAATTGTGAGGTTAGACTGTTATTAGACTTATTAGATTATGTATTTTTTAACATGAGAAACTGAAACTTCTAGTGAAATATGGACTTATTTTACGATTTGCGAAGATGAACGAGCTAAATGTAAGTTGTGTAATAATGATTATTCACGAAAAGGAAGAACTACCACGGCTATGCGAAATCATTTAAAGCCGATGCATAAAACCGAGTTTTCTGAATTGGAAAAATGTGAAGAAAAAAAACGGGATGCATTTAAAACTCTTTCGCTGGCATCATCGTCCCACGAAAGAACTAAATGTGAGAAGCAGAAACAAATTTCGAATCAAGACTGTATCGAAAAAAAGAAACAGTGGGATGACAAATCCGTGAGGTCTTTGGAAGTTGATAATTCCATAAGTGAAATGATTGCGCTGGATGACTTGCCATTTAGCTTCGTGGAATCTCTTGGATTGGTTTGATTTGGTTTTGTGAAAACGTGTTGAAAGAAGGGACGACAGCTCAAGAAACTGTCATGGCTGCTATAACGAAATGTAAAAAGATCGCAACACATTTTCATCATTCGAATTCTGCTCAAGACGAGCTCAGACGTTGACCCTTTAGCTTGGTGGAAAGTGAACAAGCGGAAGTACGGGCTTATTTCTCCTATAGCAAAGCATTATTTTATAGTTTTTATTTTTTAAATCTAAATTTTTATCACAATAATGTGTTCTATAATTAATATAATAAGTATATATATAATTAAAAAGAAAAGAAATGAATACTTTTTTGTTTAATTTACCTAATATTGTTTTCACATTCTGTATTTTTCTTTCAAGTTCATATTCGCAAAATATTCAAAGATATTTCTGAATGCGAATGCGAATATCATAAATCAAACATTCGCAATATTCGTTACATCACTATTAGCTATACTAAAGCAATTATGGATATAAGTGGTAGAGCAAATCCGGTTGAATCTCTTTCTGACAAACAAAATAATATTTAAATGCAAAAAACAAAAAAGAAAAAAAAACATTGCCAATTATGTAATAAAAAAGTTTATTGGTTTCAAAAATGTATTATATATTTATTATTTATTGACGATACATTAAAAAAGGTGATAAGTTAGGATATTATGTCCCAAAACTATTAGTATTTATCTTAATAGTTATGGCGGTCAAATGATAAAAATAAAAATTTGATTCTCAATGTCTCCCACTGTGCGCCGGAATCTCACACTTACCAGTCCTAATCTGCACCCCAGAGTAGAGGTGATTGAAGATATCGTTGTCCTCCAGCTTCCCGTGGCCGTTATCGTAAAAATACACGCCCACCTGCTTGCCCGAGTGGATCCGGTTCCGCCTGAGTACCGGCGTACTGCCCGTGGTGATCCAGACTCCCGCCAGCGTGTTGGCGTACACCTCGTTCTCCTCGATCAGGCCCTGGCCCTTCTCGTGCACGTAGATGCCGCCGTGCTGGCCGTGGTGGATCTTGTTGTGGCGCACGATGGGGTCGCTGTTGGTGCGGATCTGGATGCCGGCGAGGGCGTTGCCGTAGATGTTGTTGTGCTCGATCAGGCCGCGCCCCTCGCCGAAGATGTACACGCCTACGGAATAACAAATCACCGATTAGCTTTCAATAAGCTGGACGATTTTATTTCTTGTACTAATCGTTGTGATTGAAGTATTTGAAATAAATATAAATTCAAAAAAGGCTTACAATATACAAAACTAATTTTCTACGTCTGGACGTGTAAAAAATGTAGAAAACTAGTTGGTGTAGAAAATTAATTTTTAAATAAACACGTAAAACACGGTAGAAAATATAAAATTTTCTACCTACCCAACCCTTTTAACTGGTCAAAGTGTTAAATAAGTACATACTCATCTTCATCACCATTAAAATCATCAAAAAATATATTTCCATGTTTTCATGAGTCAGGGGACCGACACAGTGACTGTCATTGTCAGGCATCCCCTCGTCGGACAAACTATAAAGATTATTCACAACTCACCTCCTTGATGACCGTTATAGATCTCGTTCCTCCTAATGGTCGGATTACTGTTGGACGTAATCCACACCCCAGCAAAGTTATTCGAATGGATCTTGTTATCGATAAACTGGCCCAGTCCATTCTCGTGCACGTAAATCCCGCCCGTCTGTCCGTGATGGATCTCGCAGTGCACCACCGTGGGGTTGGCCCCCGCCTTAACCTCGAACCCGGCTATCCTGTTGTTGTGAATATCGTTGGCCTCGAAGTAGCCCAGTCCGTTGTCGAAGGTGAAGATGCCCACGTCGCGCCCGTGGTGGATGTGGTTGCGCCGCATGATGGGATTGGCGAAATTCTTCACCCAAATACCGGCCAACGCGTTGCGGCTGATCTCGTTGTCCTCGTACGTGCCCTGGGCGTAGTCGGTCACGTAGAGCCCCACGTTCTCGCAGTCGCTGATATCACAATGGCGGATGACGGGGTTGGCTCCCACGCCGCTGACGCACACGGCTGCGCCCACTGCAGAGAAAAAAAATCGTTGGTTTTAGAGATTTTTTGGAAATTTGGCGACGCCGAGTCGAAAAAAAATATTTGCTTTTCAGGATTTTATTAAGATATGGCAACACCAGATTTCAGAATATTACCGATATTTGGCAACGTTGCACCATAAATAAATCGTTTGTTAGTTTTTAAGCTTTTATTAAAATTTGGCAATACCTAAACATAAATAAGTTCTTTGGTTTTTAGAATATTGCAGATATCTGGCAACGTCACTTCATATTAAAAATCGTCTATTAGTTTTCAGGATTTTTTTAAGATTTGGCAACGCCGGTTCAAAAAACATACTACAGCTTAATATACAACAATAAATTCTTTAGTTTTTATTATTTTAAAAACATCTAGCAACGTCGCTTTAGTACAAAAAATGGAAATATAAGCTTTAATTATCAAAAAATCGATATTTGACAACTTCGCTTCGTGTAATATTCATTAGTTTTCAGCAATTTATAAAGATTTGGCAACGCCAATTGAAAAAAATACAGATAAATTAAAAATGTAAGTAAATCCTTAAGTTCTTATAATTTAACAGACATATGGCATCGTCGCCTTTTGTTTATTTTAATACTCGTTTTCAGGATCTACAGATTACTAAGTAGAACTTTAATTTGTGAATTTCCTGAACATTTGGCAACGTCACTAAATAACATAAAAATGACAGTCAATAAAAATATCTAGATTTCAAGAAAATATTCATAATAGGCAACATCTCTTTTATTTAAAAATTGCGTATTTAAATATAAACTATAATTTTTCGCTAAATGATAACGACAATCGTTGCTACAAAAATAAATCCTTAAAACTTTGAAGTCTGACAACGTGGCATTTTATATATCGATTCTACATGGTTGCCAAAGTTCACAAAAAATAGTACGTTCAAGGAATTATTCTGTATTTTTCCATAGACCAGAGATACGGTCTATGTGATCTAACGTCTCATTCGTTAAAAAATACCATAATATGATTGGAAAAGAACGCCGTCAAGTTGGCTTGGAAATGACGGCCGATAACATTCACCGTTTGGCAATATTCTGCGTGTGACTTACCGACTGACGTACTCCGAATGACACAATGGTCGATGGTTGGACTACAATTCTCGCCCACCTCCAGACAGTAGTGCTTGTGGTGGGGCACTGTTGACGTCACGTCCGGCGAGAATTTCAACGTCAAATGGCCGGCGTACGCGTTCTTCGCCCCCTCAACGAACATTACAGTGGACTCAGACTCCCTCTCCAGTATGACGGACTCGGCAACGTTGCCAGGCGCTCCACCTAACAGGAAAAGAATATTTTAAATTGTAAGCTTCATTAAGTGACTCTTACTCTTACCTATCAAAGCTATATCGGAATCGATCACTAAAAATTCGCCCCTGTACGTGCCCGAGTGCAGAAAGATCAGCGCCCCCTGGCCGGCATGCTCGTTGCCGGCGTGGGCGTTACAGGAACCCGTAACCGAACCCGTCGTACTATTCGTACCGCTCCTTTCGTCCGCGTAGTCCAAAGCACCCTAAAAACGTTTCAAATATAAGAGCTTGTCATTAAGGAACATCACATATATTTCGTTAGATTCTAGTATTTTTTGGAAGTTTGGCAACGTTGCACTTTTATTATACCGTTCTGGTCATCGTAAAAGAGTGGTCTGGAATTTAACGTGTATGATAGTGATGTAGACAGCTTAATGAAAAATCAAATGTATTAAAGAGACAAAAGTTGGGATGATACATTTCTACTATGCGGTATTGCCGGATTTTGCATCAAAATTTTAAACCGCACAAGTAAGCGTTGGTTGGAACGTCACTTTACACAATTAGGTTACTCATTTTACTACAGCTGTAATAGATTATATTTGGTTTGGATATATTACCTTCCGTTCAGTAGTATACAAGAAACTTTTTAAAAAGTTTTTTTTTCTACACACGCAGAAACCGGCAACGCTGTATGCCGCATTTTATTTTGTCTCTCTGTCTGCCAACCAGTCAATTGTATTTATTTCTATCGCAAGATGAAGTGCCCAGGATAGTATAATATAATAAAAGTGCAATGTTGCTAAACTTCCAAAAAATCCTTGAACTTAAATGAAATATACAGGATGTTCCACAGTATATATTTATTTTACTATTATTTTTTTACACCCAGTATACATTTCAACAACAACGAATATTTTGTGTCTCACCTGTACAGTATTAAAATACATTAAATTCCTCCCTTTGAAACTCATCTCCTGGTATCCGGGCCGAACATGGATACCCCTGTATAACTGTCTGAAGGATTCCTTCCACGGATTGGCTAGTTCGGATTCTTCCGGGCTGATAAACTCGAATCGGCAAGGTGCGGGATTAAATAAAGGCAGGTCGTACTCGTAGACGTTCTGGTACAACCTCTTCCTACAAAATAAACGTTTGAAATACTTTTAAATTATTTTTTGGGTCACTTTTTACCATAGTTCTGTGTCGTTGGCGATGATTTGGAACCTTTTGCATACTTGGCTCACCCTACACAAGTCCTGTTCCAGTAAGTAGCTGAATATGGTGAGCAAAACCTCGTCGGGAAGTTCGTACTGAAGATAGTGTGCAGCTGTGTTGGTACAAGCTAAACAAAACATTATTTATTTAAAGACAAATCGTGAATATCTAGACGTGTAATTAATTATAAATGGCGTTTATTTAAAAATATTTAAATATACATATAATTAAACAACCCACTTATTATGGTGGGTCAAAAAAATCGACCATTTTTTTCACTACATATACACCCTTAAACATTTATTTTAGTAACATTATTCCATAAAATAAACAAAAACAATCGTACTCACTCTCGTACGAGGCCGAACACGTCCTCCTGGGCCTCTTCCTCGCCGGCAACATGTTCGAATTGTAGCCGGACCCGCTCCCGCTGGCTCCGCTCGAGCAAGGGGGGCTAGCGGGGGCGCCCCCGGCCGTAGCAGCGCTGGTACTAGGTCCCGGAACTCCCGTGCCGCCCTCGGCGCCGCCGTGATGCTGTGGCGACTTGCGTCGCAGGTCGTAGGGGCTCTGGTGGGCGGCTAGAGGACCTCCCAGCGGAGCTCCTCCGGAGCCTCCTGCAGGGGGAGGCGCTCCTTGTGCGGGTGGCGAAGGACCAGGCGCCGAGGGGGCTGGAGCGTTCTGGTTGGGCTGGACGGGCGACGAGGGTTCGCATGGTTCGGCTGTTGAAAGAGAAAGAAAATTAGAAAGATAATCGTTCGTTTTGTTCATTTTTCAACATCATTCGTTTTGGCACTTTAGTTTTTTATTATTAGTTTTATGAGTTTTTAGTTTTAATTTAAAAATATTTTGATCAAAAGAAAATTTACATATTTTCTTTTGGTAGGCAACGCTGTGCCGTTCAAGCTTAATCACGTGACTAATGGTGTATTTGGTATGAACTGTATATTATAGCATTCCAGTTAAAAAGCTACTACAGCTCTGGCGTAAAAATATTAATGATCCATCCTGTATATCTATGAAATATTTTTCTTTTGTCAGCATATTTTATAAAAAATATTAAGTGAAAATCCTGATCTAAATAGAGCCTCTTCTAAATATCGAGTCGCCACCCTGTATATAAAAAATCCCTGGCAGTACCTTTGTTTATTTTCTTTAAAAAAGTAAATTGACGCAAAATTCGCACACAGCGAAATCACCGACATTTTTCCGTACTGCCAACAGATTTATTTACAATTTTATCAGATAAAAATGCTTTTATATAACGTCAATTAAGAGTAGTACTACTCTGCAGACGTTTCGCAACAAAACCGAACGTGTACGTAAGCACGACTGACTTTCCTCCGGTACTTTATTCTATTTTCTTAATTGTGACACACTTTAACAATAAATAAATATATAACCCTCTTTACATAACGCCAGGCTAATATAAATGTTAAATAACCCGGCCCCATAGACGTTTATTTTATTATACAACTGAATAAAGCAACATCAACTTTTACTCCTAAAAAACGTACCACACTGTTGCCAAATTTAGCCAATTCTAACCAACAGTTATTATTACTATTAATAATTGAAAACTTGAATCAAACTAATCATTTATTTATATACTAGGTGGTCTATCTTCATTGGAAACAGAAAATCATGTGCAAATTTTGAATTGTCCAGATATTGAAAGATATAACAGCTGTATCAACAACCTCTAGGTTTACCTATTTCTCTGGGATTTTTAAATTTAAATTCCATTAAAAATGGTGTGTGCTATTTTTATATTTAAAATATATCCCCATAAATGGAATTACCTAGTTTTAGTTGGAACTTTCTATAGTTAAGTAATTGGTATTTTGACATATACCATCTAATTTTCACGATAAAAGTAAAATATTTTCTAGTTCAAATTAAAAAAAAATCGAAACCAGGATAATTACTGGTCAGGTTTTCATAACTAGGACAAACTTTGCCGATTTTTTTTGCACATTTCATCACGGCAAAGCTTATTAGGTATTACTTGTAGAAATATTCGTTTTTAAATAGTTTTTTTTTTCGTTGTAATGTAAATAAAGCAACAGACTGTCTGAGAGCTATATAAATAAAACGCAGCATCCCACATTAGTTCATTTAAAAATAAATTTGTAGTTTTATCTCCTGTTCGGGAGGAACAGGAAGTATAATGTTGGTCCCCCTTTTTTTTGGCCACACTCTTTTTGCTAGATGTTATCACAATATGACTTATTCTATTTCTGTGTATAGGATAAGTCAAAAGATGAATAAAAATTACATTACTTCCAAAAAAGGAATTTGTTGTAGGTATATGCAGAAATTAAGCATATAAAAAGTATACTATACCCACTCAACTTTATAGCAAATAAAAATTAAAAACTTCTAAACATATCAAATAATTTAAAAAAAATATTATTACTAATTGAATTAACGCTAACAAAATATTTAAACATTGATTAAAACAGTGTTTTTTATATATTTATTCCCTATTTTATCACATATATACTTAAAATCAATCACAAAATGAATTTTTAAAGTTGTAAGTCAGGTCTTGAAACGTCAGTTCAAAAGATAAATAAAAAAACATTCCAATGGCAGAATTGTGACCAGGTTTTGATTAAAACTGTGTTTTTCGTACATTTATTCCGTACTTTAACGCATATACATTTTGATTCAATCGGAATTTCAATTTTTAATAGCTGTAAATCACGACTGGAAACGTCACGGTCAAAAATAAAGAAAAATAAATAAAAGACATGTCCCAGTTACAAAATGGGCGACTCTCGAATAGATTTCAATGAAAATTCACGTATAAAAGGTCTTTCCAGCAACTTTAAGGCACTTTATCGATGTTTTTACAGGTATTTTATCCCGAAAGTGGTGCACAAAGCATAAGGTACACTTTTTTTTGCTCCAGCACAACACCCACAAAAAGAACTAAAATCGATGAAAACAGGGCGCAAAACCGTACCTCGGGGAATGAAACGGGGCTATGGAGGACCCTGTGTCGGGCCCCTCAAATACCGAAGCCCGGTCGATACGCCGCAATCGTCGTCACGATAAATTTTCCAGTTAGGTTTGGCAAAAGACAGACTTACCAGACGTCGTCCTCGATGGCGTAGGGATCCTGTTGGCCCCTTTTCTCCTGGATCGCCTTACGTAGGACCGGGAGGCCGTGAAGGAAGCGCTCGGCATGTTGGCGGAGTCCCTGCCGATTTTGTCCCCTGCAATTCTACACTTCTAAACAAAGGAAACACCAACACTACGACAGGCGGCCATTTTCGATAGAAGACACACACAGACGGGATGACGTTTGGCGCAGGTCGGTCGCGCGGCCAATGGGAGTTGCGTCAGCGCGGGCACGTGACCGGGGGTGAAATGTCAAAATGGAGCTGCTCGGTTCACGGACGATTTTCGAGTGTTTTATGTCGATCGGTACCTGTTTTATGTTGTCGGTGGCATATTTGGGCAGTTTGCACGTGTGGAAAAGCCAGTATAATAGGTAGGTACCGGAATTTTCGCGACAGCGCCCCGAACTTTCCTCGAAAACGCACAGTAAAGTCGGTTCTACAGGCTGCGAAGGCTGCCGTCTGTCTTTCTCTCTCTCCACTCCACCTCCCCCCTCGCCAGTCAACTGGTTAATTGGCCGACTGCGACGTTGCCGTTGTGAAGTTTATATCTCCAAACGTAGAGATTTTTTAGGTAAACTAGATTAGGTAAATTTATAGAAATAACATGATTTCTAACATTCTCTGGTCATTTTTCTCATATAAGTAAAATCATCATTCAAATTCGTTTAAGCCTTTGAATAAAAAGATTAAAGAAGGAGTACTCGTATAATGCTCTCCGATTCACGCAAGGCAAGGTAGACGGACAAAGTGCACTAGGGTGGGGATCCTTGACAGTTCTGTTTGACAATTCATTTGACACATTTGAATTTGATTTGAAATTTTGTGGATTTGGCAGTCTTTACTTAGCTTATTTTATGTTATTTATTATTTATTCTACAACTGATAGTTGTTTAGAGGTAGTAAATCTAAAAAAATATTTTTTGTGACAGAACTTAAATTACCAAGTACACTATTGCGATTTATTATTATGTATTTATTACTTGTCAAAGATTAAATGTCAAAGAATTTAGATACGTCAATTTGACTTTCCTGCTTCAGTAGCGTATCGGATGTTTGTGTTAATAAATAATTATTACAATTTATCTATTTTTATTAGACTTATATATTTTTATAACTACCAACATTTATTGACGACGAAAAACAAAACAAATTATTTTAAATGTTTTGAATAAAATCAGAACGGCACTGATAAACCGGAATTTATGTCGGCCATTTTTGGTTACCGGCGCGTTTGATCTAAATTTTTTGATATGCTCCTTACTTAATCTTTTTATTCAAAGTAAAATTAGGCATTTTGACACTTTCGGAAATTTTAGGGAAAAATAAATTCTTTGACCGCGAGAAGCGGCAACGTCGCGCCGGTCAGCACCTATCCGTGGGAACGCAGGGTTCGAGCAGAAATATTTCGAATATTTTACCATTTTAATCAGGGATTCACCCCGAAAACGCCGCGTTCAGATGAATAAAACCGTTTTACTACCCCTATCCGTGCATAAATAAATAATACGAAATTCTAATAATAAATAATATGATTGTTCTGTCCGAGAGAGGCTTAACGGATATTCTAATTTGGTACAACGGTATATACAGGGAAAGTCCAAAGATAAAGGACCTTGAAACTTGTAACTCGTGTAGATCCTGTAAACTATGACGAACGGAATTTTTTTCAATGAAATTAACTGCATTTCTAACACGTAATCGTTTTTATTTAATTTCTTTTACGGTTAACAACTAACTTTATTGTCTAGCTAAATAGTTAATAAAACTAACAGATTTTAATACTGTATAACGACCTTAAATAATATTAAATAATTATTTTTTTGTTATGTAAATTAAGAAATATATCTACCGTACAATAAAAATCTAACCATACATTTGACTAGTATACAGGGTTGTCCAGTTTTTAGTAGCATGACTTTAACATTCAATAGGGAAACGATGTTTTGCAAAGTAAATTTCATATCAAGATATGGTTGATATGTAGGTATGCTGAAGAAATTCTGTTCGAGCAAAAAAACGAACCATAACCTAAGAAAAACTTCAAAGGTTACTACGACGTTTTTTTTTTCGATCGCGCAAATTAAATACTGTAGAAAGGTGTATTTTACAAAATCCTTTAACTTTCGAAGTCAAAATATACTGCACGATCGACGAAAAAAAAACGACTTAAAAGGTTACTATGACGTCTTTTTTTCTGGGTCATGCAAATTAAATATTACAGATGTATTTGATAAAATCCTCTGACGTCTGCAGAGTATACAATATACCATACAATCGAGAAGAAAAAAACGGCGTCATAGTAACCTTTGAAAAACTTCAAAGGTTAAAATCCCATATGGTCGGTTTTAAAGTACAGAGTGTCCAAAAAAAGATCTTTTTACAAACTTGTAAAAAAACTGTATGAACGAAGAAAAAAAGCATAGGTATATGTATATAATATGTATTTTGTTTCAGAGACCATCCAACAACTATCAGACAAAGATTTTTAAGCGTGTTTGTTATGTTTTTCCTCTCACCAGTATTTCTGTACGTAGGACTAAACAAAGATGTTTTAGAAAAGGTAAAAAAAAAACAATTTTTTCAATACATGTATTTTATATTAAAGAAAAAAATATGTTTATAGGTATCTTTAGCTGAAGTACTAGGCTTAAGGACTAAAGGCCTACTGCAGGCCTTTTTTATGCCCTTATTTCTCACCATGATACTGTTTCTCGGCCCCATATCCATGGAACTGTACAGTGGGATAGCCAAATTATATACAGGTACGATCAAAAATTTAATAATTATATATTTTGCGGCAACTCGGTAAAATTAAAAAATTGATTAATTACTTTCAGAAGAATCTTACTGGTATTCAAATTTTACCAACCTGATATGGCTGAGGTCTCATTTAGTGGCACCACTGTCTGAAGAATTTACTTACAGAAGTTGTATGTTACCTTTACTCCTACAGTGTCTACCACCTTTGACAGCCGTCTTAGTGAATCCACTGTTTTTCGGTGTTGGTAAGTGCCTATTCATTGATTCCTATTCTATACGCTTTTTGTACACCTTGTATAAGGTTTAAAAAATTAAAAAAGGAAATATTCTTTAGCCCATTTCCATCACATGCAAGAAAGGATAAGATTTGGCTTGGACTTCAGGACGGCATTCAAAATATCATGTAAGTGCATATTTATAAATATATACAGGGTGGATCAAATATGGATCAAAGAGGCTCAAAAATCATTAATATCTCATGTTTGTATATATAATACCGTACAATCGAAAAAAACAACGTTAAAGTAACCTTTGAAGTTTTTCAAAGGTTACTACGACGCCGTTTTTCCCTCGATCGTACGGTATATATTATGTACTCGGCAAAAGGTAAAGGGTTTTATAAAATACATTTTTCTAGTATTTAATTTATATCATCCAGAAAAAAGGCGTCATAGTCACCTACGGAATATTTTCAAAGGTTAGTATGACGTCCTTTTTCCTCGATAACGTAAATTTAATACTAGAAAAATGTATTTTAGAAAACCCGGCGAGTGCATAATATACCGTACGATTGAGAAAAAAACGACGTCATAGTAACTTTTGAAACTATTTCGAACGTTACTTTTTTTCTCGATGATATAAATTAAATATTAGAAAAATGTATTTTACAAAACCCCATAACCTTTACCGAGTACATAATATATACCGTACAACCGAAAAAAAAATGGGGTCGTAATAACCTTTTAAAACCCCTTCAAAGGTTACTATGACGTCTTTTTTCTCGATCATACAAATTAAATACTAGAAAGATGTAATTTACAAAGCCCTTTAACTTTTGCCGAGCTCATAATATAGCGTGCGATGGAGAAGAAGAAACAGAGCCATAGTATAAAGTCATTTTTACTCAATCAAGCAAATTAAATACAATATGATCGAAATAAAAACCGCGTCAGCGATGGCTATGAAATTAGGATCGCTGTTATTTTATATGTGAAATTATAAGGGATGTCATCAATTGTCATTCCCAAGCCAACTGGACGCAGTTTTTTCGATCATAGAAAAAACCGGCGTCGTAGCAACCCTTGAAAACACTTCAAAGGTCACTATGACGTTGTTTTTCTAATTATTTTTAAACTCCGTTTTTTCGTAGGCTTTCAGTTTGGCTATACGACGATTTTCGGGGCCTACTCTGCATACATTTTCTACCGAACGGGTCATTTCGTGTCGGTGTTCGTGGTGCACGCTTTCTGCAATCACATGGGATTCCCGGACGTCGTGGAGGTGGCCGGCTATAAGAGAACGAAAAAAATCGCCGTCGTTTCGTTATTTTTCCTGGGATTTTTTTGTTGGTGTGCCCTGTTGAAACCCCTGACCGAACCATCGTGGTATTACAACAAAAACCCATGGTACAGTGGGTAGTATTACGAATACATTGAAGTAAAACCTAAAAAAATGTCTTGGAGAAGCCCCCGGAAAAAAAAACACATAAAAGTCGAAATTAGGACGACAGTGATTATCTTATTTTTATGTGTCCCTGTATAACTTAAGCTAACAATGTATAAAATGTCAATTTTGCCATAAAAATAGAAATAATTCAAAAACTGTAAAACTGTAAAAAAAAAGAACGTCATGGTAGTAATTTGGATGGCGAAAAAAGTTTAGGATCAGGAGCTTAGGACAGATTATCGATTTTGTCCTACAATATTTCAATGAAGACTTCAAATCAAATGTATTCTGTGACATTGATAAAAGTATTAAGGACTAATATAGGTTAAAAAATATTTTAAAAAATACTTTTTACATGTATATTGTACGTCTTTTTATATGTACGAAGTTAGAAATCGACTTTTTTTTAAATAAAACGACTTAAAGCATAATATATTTTTATAATTTATTTTAAAATATTGCCACACTTATAATATACAAGGTGAATACACAGTACAGCAATAATAATATGCGCCTACATATTTTATTGAAAATAAACACGTTAAAACACTTTTTGGCTACTGTGGATCACCCTGTATATATTACTCCCCGATAAAATATTAATATTTGTTGTTATATTATTGTTTACCTTTATAATAAATATTATCAATTAAAATATAAATCATACGGTATTTTCCATGTGATAATATACATATGTATATACTCTTTTCAAAATGCTATAACTTTTTAATTATATATATATATATATATATATAGTAAACAACAATTCATCAATCAAGAAAAGAAAGACAATAGAAGTTTGCGAATTCAATTACGCCACAAAAAAAATAATATAAAAATCACCTAAATGTTCTTTTAATCTCTTAATTCATTGTATTATAAAAAATAACAAAATAACCCTAATATTCTATGCATTTATACACCTCATTTTAACTATAAGTGATCTAAAATAAATAAATAAAATACAATAACAAAATAGGATTTTTTAGACATCGTGTCATAATCACAAGCGATTGACCATCACAAGTTATGCAACCAATAATACACCAAGCCCTAACAACTTTCTCTAAATCACGTTCAGGAAAGATTTCGATAGATGACATCCAAAAAATGGCAGAAAAGATCATTTGCCTGCGAATTAAAATAACAGACACAACTGTCACTGTCAGGGATCCTCCCCTTGAACATAATCCAACTTTTCATGATTAAAACTAATTTCTTTTTAATTGTTTCCTGTTCTAAAATTTTTTGGCGCTTCTTTCAAATGTACAACTTTTTATTCAGACAGAACTCACAACATTCAGACTAGTAGAATAAAATCCTTTTTAGGGCTCTAGGATGTATTTTTGGTTGCATATACAATAACGTCACACCTAAAGGTGTCAAAAACCTTACCTAACTTTACACTCCTCTCTTCTCATTCTTCTATTTGGCGTTTTCTACGCGGACCCCGCGTTCTTGTCAACCTCGTTGCCGAGTTGCTGATTGAGGAAGGCGACGTTGCTAGATTTCAGGCGAGTCGCGGTCGCCAGCGACATGCAAGGCGACATACAGGGCGTGGAACACAGGCTGTTGCTGATGTCGCACTGGTCGAGCATGCGCAGAAGCTCGGTGGGCGTCGGCCCGCCGTCGCGTTTCTCTGTCGAATTCGACGGTTTTTTCATGTAGAAGGGGTTCGAGTCTAAAGAAGAAGCAAACATAACCTCAAAAGCCGTGCATACAGGTGCGAGGAAGTCCAGTATCGTCGTTGTTGCGACAAAGATATGAAATAAAGTTTCATAGAAATGTTGCATGGTTTATAAAGAGGCATATCCTAATAATATTTTGTTGTATACAGGACACGCCAAAAAAAAGTAATGATAAAGTTGGCGATAAAAAAACATTTTTATGTTTAGAGTGTTCCTAAATCTTTAAGGATTTCGCAGATATTTGCGGTATTAAAAAAATATGAGATGGCTTTAAAAAAAAATACTGTTCAATATGAACATACATATATAAGGACATCCTGTATACTATTAGGATATATGCACCATTATAAACCATGCAATATTCATATAAAACGTTTTATCATATATTTGTCAACAACGACAATATTAGACGTTCTCGCACCAATAGGCCACCCTGTACGTACAGGACGAATCAACGAAAAAATATTAATTGTCTAGGGAAAGAGTTTTAGATATACAGAGTGAGCGAAATTTACCTAAATCAGTCTTGTAGCAGAGATCCAAAGCGGTGGTGAGGTCCCACATCTGTATTGAACCATTGGAATGACCGGTAAAAATGAACCTTCGCGGTCTCGAACCCATACGACTGGAACCCTCGCATTCGTGCACGCAAAACGCGCTCACCGTGCTGCCATCTACCGCCTTTATCACGCAAACCCTGCGAATCGCACAAACTTTATACAAAGTGTACAAATCTGGAAGAGACTGATCAAGTTCTCTAACCTTTCTAAAATAATTTTCTTTAAAGGATACGAAGCTGTGTAAAATCGAACCCTGCTCGAAATTAGTGCATATCTATAATACTTAATCTGCGATCTATAGGTATAAAACAAACTGACCTCTTGCCGTTACTGGCCAGCCTGACGAACAGCTGATCCGCGTCGGGTACCACCTTCTGCACGAACACCTGCTCGTCGTCCTGCTCGCCGAACGGTCCGCAATCGTTGCCGGCGCCGGTCAAAGAGGCCACGCCCCCCTGAGGCCCGGTACTGCCGGTGGTTACGGGGGGCTCGGCCGCTTCCAGCGCCACGATTTTGAAGGAGGCCTCGGGCGCCGAGCCGGGCTGAGTACTCAGCATACCCCTGAACCTGGTAACCTTCCAGGATCGGACGTGGTTGTACTCGGAACAGACCGAGACCAAGAATTTTTCGGAGAGAGTGACCTAGAACGAGAAAATATAAGCTAGTTTAAATGTGAACATAGGATTTATAATATAATTTATTATAGCTATGTTCACTTGTGAAATTGACTATAACCCTATACTAGGATCATAAACATAGGATTTATATTACAAAACATTGTCGCTATGTTCACTTTAAACACTAACAAGTTCATACAACAGTCACCTAGACATTAAAAATATAGTCTTAAGTCAACTGTGAACATAGGATTTCAAATAGAAATTATTATAGTTATGTTTAAATATGAAATTAAGATACCAAAAAGGAAATACACATAGCTTTGATTTGATCAATGAATATAGGATTTATTAATTGAAATATAGAGTTTGCAACACAGATTAACGCGTTTTTGTTTATTTTTAAACTGACAAGTCCTTGCAACACAGTAACCTAAAAGGACAGACAATTTTTATTGTTACATTGAACATAGGATTTGTAATATAAACACTGTTCCTATGTTCATTCTTGAAAGTATTTGTTGCCATTTTATTTAATTATCGAGTAAGTTTAACGATATACAAACCTTTGTGACACGACTCTGATGCACGGTAAATGTTTGAAATAGTTGTGGCCCATATCCTACAGTCTCTGGGTGTTGTACTATCACCCTTACTGCTCCCGAAGTGGTACCGTAAGCTATTTCTATCCAATTACCACAGAGATCTAATCAAGATGTTTTAAAAAATCGAAAATCAATTTATATATAACTAGTCTCATACTAACTTTACTTTATTAGATGTTAAAAAAGATTTATACACCTAGATCATACAATATTAATATTAAATTTTACAATTTCGGGCACTCAAAACGTAAGAAAAATTTGAAATCAATATTTTTTATATAATATGATCTAGGCTTGAAAAACTACAAATCATAGCTCCGCTGTCTTGTGTTATATACCAGCAAAAACTCAACAAACATATTTTGCGTGTGCTTTACATAATATAATGTATAACATTGAGTCATAGATCAATTTTTTCTAATGGAAAAACATTAAAAAGAAACCAAAATCGTCAGCAACCCCCAACATAATATAGAAAAGAAAATTAGTAACTAAAAGTAAAACTAAAAATCACTAAGACAAACAAATCGAATTAAACCTATGTTTGTGTGGTGTGTCGTTTTGTGAAAGCTTGGAAATTGAAATTGGCATCCATACCTTCGCGGTGTCTCTCAGAAGCTGACATGAAACACAAGGCATCAGTTACTTGTTTCAGGTTAAAATATATATGTAGGTTCATTTAAATTAAAAGGACAAATCGGTAGGATATCTGAAAATCGGCACGACTTGGCAACATCGATTTTTATATTTACTATTTTAATAATTGAATTGAAAGGAATATAGAAAATCGGTAGGATATCTGAAAAAAGCCACAACCTGGCAACATCGATTTTTAATTACTATTTTGATTAATAAATTATTTAATTTATAAATTAAACGTTAAAACCAGTAAAATATGTGAAATCTGCACAATTTGGCAACATCGTTTCACTAATTTTCTCCAATTATTTTCGTTAAAAACAAGACACCGGTTAGTTTGTCGTTTCTACCAGGTTAAAATCATTCAATTTAAATAAAAAGAACAAAACCAGTAGAAAATCTGTAAATCAAACAAACTTGGCAACATTTTCTTGTTATATTTTTGTCTCAAGTTGAAATAATTTCATTTAAATTACAACGAAAAAATAAATAACAGTGGAATAACAGAAAATAGGCACAAGTTGGCAACGTCGATGTAATATTTTTTCCAATAAAAACGTGGCATTTTTAAGTACTTTTCTCAAATATATTTTACTTATTTAAATATTTATGTTTTTCGCAGTTAATAATTAATATTGCCATCAAAGTACATAAAAATTATCCATGTTAAAAAATCAGGAGAATCAATTAAAAATCGGACAACGCGGCAACGTCAAATATTAAAAAAGTTAATAATTTATAGAAAAAAAAACATCTTCTAAGCGTTATAACTAAATTTTGCTATGTTTATTGTACCACACAGAAATTTATTAACAATTCTTATTACTAAATTAGTCATTTTTTAAACCTATACTTACCTGTTTTCGGTGTTAAATAAACGGAAATAGCTGTGACAGTGTCATTGTTTGGATCTCTATACAATTCGGTCACCAACAAATCATTATCCTTCATCCTCAAAGGAAATTTCTGCATATCTGTTAAAAAAAAGAAAGATTTTCTAAAAATGTCCGAAAAATCGATATAATTTTTTATATACCCTGTATATTTATGAAAATTCGCAACTTCCCCTTTATTTTTTATTAATAAAATACCAAATGAGGAATGGTACAATTGATGGTAATTGACGCCGTTTTTTTTCGATCGTACGGTATACCTACCTATATAATAGATGCATCCGTTGTTGCATCCCAGCAATAATATGGAACCTGCCGTATCGAAGGAGGCTATGGGCATGACGTCTTGCGTCTGCCAGTGTTGCGTCATCGCATGCCACACCCCCAACTTTCCAGAGGGCGACAGCGCTACCAACTGACTACCGATGAAAAACAAATACTCCACGCGTACCAACAAATTAAATGTTCCTAGAAAAAAATAATAATAAAGTGAAACTTCTTTACTACCGACGCGCGTAAAGAGAATAAAAAATACTGCAGACAACTAGAAAGTTCCTAACCTATATTGGTCATGTCCCCCGTGTCCGATATGCCCCATAGCCTCACTTGACTGCCGTACGATATCGCCACCATTTTTGAGATGTCCGTCGGGCCCATTTTGGCATTGATGGCGATACGTTCTATACAATTTTCTATGTGGGGGCTGGTAAACACTTGCTGCCAACCGCTAGAGTCTTTTAACCTGTTTTTATTTTAAAAAAAAGGTATAAAAAAAATTTCTTATACGGGCACTGTTCGGTTTTTATATGATTCAAAATAAAAAATATATAAATTGTAAAATTAGTAATTTTTTAATGGCCATAATGCGTTCTTTCAAAATCATCGATAAACTAAATCATTTCCATAGATCCAGTGACGTACCCTGACTTTAAATTTTGAGACCAAAAACTGACAAATAATTTGTCAAAAAAATCATATTACAGCTATATGTTTTATTTTGCATAAAAATGTTAACTAATAAGTTAGAATAATTATAATTCTTCCCTAAGTGGTTTTATCGCTAAATTTAACTTAAGCTAAGTACAACACAAATCTTAAATACGTGGATTATTATAACAACAAATACATCGTAAAAGACTATTTTGGTAGCATCCTGAACGAGGATTCAAGTTAAACTTTTTAGAAAATAATTTAAAGGAAAAATGAACCTGCTCAGATGCTTGTTCCGAGTAAAATCCTAGAGCTCTATGATTTGCTTTTATAAACTCTGGCACATGATGCAGAATTGCATGAATCTTTGGGGTTATCTTAATACCCAAGTTGAGTATTTCCAATCTAAATTGTTCGATGTCATGTTCAAAATGTTTGTTTAGTGCTTGACCAAAACAACTCGAAACTACTTGATTGAATGCAGAACACACTGCAATATATTTATTTCCTAAAAAAAAGATGTTTAGGATTTTGCTTGTCAAAACTTTGAATAGGATTCTTTACCGGGCGATATCGTCTTCAAAATATCTACTTTCTTTAAAAGTTGTCTGGCGTTATTTCCGTTACATTTTCCATAATGATCTAGTTTCAATCCCGCTTTTTTTTATCCATTCTGTTGCAACATTGGTATTCTCCAATTCAAGACAATCAAATAGTTTTTGAACCACACCTAACAAAAGGTGAAGCTCAGGAGAGGAATATACTTTAAGACAGGTGTTTCTTCGTCGCCAATGATTAAAGGTATGTTTATACAGTTTTCTAAAAAATAATTGCCCTTTTTTATATGGTTCACTGAACAACAGTTTAAAAAAATATATATATTATAAAATCTTTGGCTTTTGTTATATTTCCTCCAGATTGTTGTCATAAATTTGTATTTTCTGTAATACTTTTTATAGTTCTGAATGATCCTTTAATTTCCATTTCCTTTACATTTACATCATACCATGGGCAAGTGTGAGTGGATGAATTTGACTGAAGACCAAGGAGAATCATAATAAGCTTAAAGTCAGCGGCAAAAGTATAGGAACAAATTCCACATATGGACTGCAGATCTAACGTCTCAAAGAGGCTTTTAATGTTAGCATAAGATTCAGACAACTTTGGTCCTAAGCCAATTATGAATAGTTTATTAATTCCAGCACTTTTATATTTCTTGAAATATTCGGGATCATTTTCAGGGAGCACATTCAGACAAACTTTAAGCGATCCACCACCAATATCAATGCCAATTTTTACATGAAAATCTTCAGATAATTCTCAAATTTCCAAAATATATAGAAGACCAGATAAATCTGAGCAGTATACAAAAATAAATATTAACTGAATTAACATTTTTCCTTTAAATTATTTTCTAAAAAGTTTAATAAAAGCAGCAAAATAAAACATATAGCTGTAATATGATTTTTTTGACAAATTATTGTTTCAGTTTTTGGTCTCAAAATTCAAAGTCACGGTACGTCACTGGATCTATGGAAATGATTTAGTTGTTCGATGATTTTGAAAGAACGCATTATGGCCATTAAAAAATTACTAATTTTACAATTTATATATTTTTTATTTTGAATCATATGTGTTTTTCAAAAAACATGTGCCATCTCTCGTGGGGAGATCCCTCACGTAAAAATAAGATTTATTTTTCATTTCGTCCGATTCTGCTTTGTTTCATAGCTACAGGGTGTTAAACTCTTTAATATTCTTTCGATTTATTATAATTTTTTTCCAAGGGCTTTTAGTGATTCGAATAAAATTTTGGGGGTAAAAGTTACTACAAGTCCTACATATTTTAAAGCTAAAAAAGTGTTATCACTGGAATATTTTTCAATAAAAAAACATGTGCGCCACTGACTTTTTTCTTTTTGATAGCAAAAAATAGTGTAGACCAATTCAAAGTTATCTCTTGATATTTTGTCCAATTCGGCCTCCTTGATGAGATAAACGCAAGTTTATTAATCACAATTATTAATAAAATTAAAATAAAAATAAAATTAATAAATCATATATTTTACCTAATTTATTATTAAATATTATTACTATTAGGGATTATTAGATACTATTACTCCAACCTACAGCAATTTCAAATAAAAAATAATGGTATTTAAGATAATTACAAAAAAACTAATTTTCAAAAGTGTTAAGATCCTGTAAAAACTCTTAAACTATGCTTTTTTTAAATATTCCAGTGATAACCCATATGCCCGTCCCTGGTGAATAGTGGACACTTTTATAGCATTAAAAAATGTCGCATTTATAGTAACTTTTACCCTCAAAATTTCATTTGAAACGCTGAAAGTACTTGGACGAAAATTAAAATAAATCGAAAAAATATTAAGACTTTAACACCCTGTAGCTATGAAACAAAGCAGAATCGGACCTATGTTGATATGAAAAATAAATCCTATTTTTACCTGAGGAATCTCCCCACGAGAGATGGCACATGTTTTTTGAAACGCCCTGTATTATTTCGTAAAAAATTACCTGTAACAAACGACAAAATGAGCATATCCCACTACAATCCAGTTGTGATGAGCTTTAATAATCTGTACCCGCAATGGATCTGCCCAGCTTGAAGCTAAATAACAAAAAAAAATCAATCAAAAGTTTAGACTAACCATCATACAGGGTCGTAAATAAAGGAAAATAACCATCTATTAAGATAGATATGAAACTTAGTGGTAAAATTTTGGGTCAAAGCGCCCGGCGCGGCGCCCCTCCGTGTCCTTAGTCAAGACTACGTTTAACCCGGCGCCTTCACCTTTCCTGCTCTATTTTTTTTATATTAATATTTGAATTCAAAAAAGGTTTAATTTTAAAGTTACTCTGATATATTAGTACCGTATGATCAAATAAAAACGGCGTCAGCGATGGCTATGAAATGAAGATCGCTGTCATTTCATATGTAAATAATTTATATGGGAAATGTCATCGATCGTCATTTCCAAGCCAACTGGATGCCGTTTTTATTCGAGCATACGGTATATCTTTAATAAAAGATAAAAATAGATAAATTCTTTTTATTCTTTATATGTTGAATGTTTCTTGGACTAGTAACTGCAAAATTACATGGGCTTGTGGCAGGGTGTGTATAGACTCAATTTAGGTGGAGCAAAGTGTGAGCCAAGTAATGACAGATTGCCAGCTAAAACCACACAATAACTCACCTGAGGCTCCGAAAACTAATCCTAGGTCATTTCTGACCAGCTTATTCAAGTCGGCTGATGAATTGCGGGCATGCCTCAAGTCCAAGGAGGCTGTGCGCGAGTGACCTCTATTGGCAACACCTCTCAAGTCTTGAGAACTCCTGCTGTAGCTGGCCTGCAGCCCTTGCATCCTCAGTTCCAAGGAGGAGTTTCTAGAATGTCCTACAATATGAAGAATTACAGGGTGTCTCAAAAAACATGTGCCATCTCTCATGGCGAGAACATTTATTTCTCATATCACATAATAAAATTAATAAATTATTTATTTCATCTAATTTATTATTCAGTATTATTACTAGTAGTTATTATTACTATCTAAGTCTAACCTACAGCAAATTCGAATAAGAAAATCATGTCGTAGGTACTTAATCATTAAATTTTTTGATCATTATATTGTATAGTTAATTTTTACCTTGCCTAGCTTGGAAATAAGTCCCTGCATGATTTTGAGCACCATTTCCTGTATCCTTGCTTGTACCAGGAACACTATCTGGTTCATTTTGATTTTGTTCACCGTTAGCTTCAACCAATCTGCTTCTAGACTGGTGTACTGCAGTCGTTTCAACGAGAGGAACACCTGAATTTGAAGCATCCTGCAATGGAACCGCTAAAAAACGTATTTTGTAGGTTAAAATTCTTATAAATCCAAGATTTACTTACAAGGAGGAGGAAGGTATCCATAGAACAATACGTCACCGCAAGTGGATTGTGTTAGCTCCTCACATAACATCAGCCTTCTGACTAGAGGAGCGACGTTATAGTATTCGGCTTCGTGTCTCAAAGTCCTGAGATCGATCCCTTTCAAATTGATCTCTTTGGTTCGTAGGTAGTTTAGAATAACTGAAAAAACTTCTGGGTCTCTGTCGATGAAAATGCATCCTTTTTCGTCGCGTAAGCTGGGAATGCGACCGTTTAACAGAGCGGTAAAGAACGTGTCCGGAACCAGCGTGAGAGTCTGCCTTGATGTCGAAAATCTGCGAGGATAAGAGATAAATTATTTACTGAAAAGTTGCTGCTTTTTAGCGCAGCATTTACCTCTTGCCACCGACGTTTAGATGTAAAATATCACCCGAATATGACTGGTAGAACATTTTCGCTGCGTACCGTTTTAAAACCACATTATTTTCATTTAGATCTAAGAAGGTTTTTTTCAAAATTGTTGACCATTTTCGTAATAAAAATAAATAATTCCAATTGACAATTGACAAATGTCACTGATTGACATTTTTATTTTTCAAAAATTTCAGCGGGATTATTTCTATAGTAGAGACTGTTTGTTATTATTAATATAATAATAAGGTAATACGAAAAAGGGTAATAATAGCAGTAATAACAATAAATAAATCATTTATTAATAATTAAGGATAAATTATTAATTTAAATATGTTATGGCGCTTGATAAGTTTGTACTAGTTCTCCAATAGATGGCAGCATAAAATTATAGGTTTTCAAGGTTTTCGATTTTTTATTAGGGATGGACAAAATCGAACTTTTTAGATCTTTTATAGAAGTAGGCACGTTGCAAAAAATGACAGCTTTTACAGAATAGTTCCTTTGTATTAGATCGTTCATATTGGACACTAGACCAAAGACTTCTGGTCAAAAAAAGTTTATTTAGAAAATTACCACCCTCTATCTTAAAAGTTAAGATGTTTAGGAAGTTTTTTTTTATAAAATAGATCCAAGAATAGCCTGGTTTTAAGTGTTTGGTGGTGAAAAAAAAATAAAAATCAAAGAAAATTAGATAAAGTTTTCTTGATAAAATGGTGAAGGTATTTTAAAAAAACAGTGTTGTCAAATCACGATCATTACGTAATTAGAAAAAATGGTTCTAAGAAGTTACTCAGTTGAACAATCACAAACTCTTGATGAAGGTAAGGTTTATTACAATTATTTCAAGTTTTTTCAAATTTTTTTGATCGAAATTATGGATTCTAGGACAAGAAAATTGCTTTATACGCTGCCACAAATTTAAACAGTGAAAATCTTCATGTTCTGAAATTATGTCTGGATATTTTTGAAAAACTCGTTGAAAATACTGAAACTCACAGTTATTTAATATCAATTTTTGGAATTTATGAATCGTTATAGTCTCTTTGTATTAGGTTATCATAATTTCTACAAAAATAACAAGAAATAACATTCTTCTCTTGCAGAATGAGAAATTTTGATAAAAATATTTACCATAGAACCTCAAAAATTATTGAAATTCTAAGAAGTGCCACTTCTCCAGCTCTGAACACTCGTAGCAAGAATAGAGCAAAGAACTCTAACAAAAAGCAAACAATTTATCTTTTATAATATGATCCAGATTTAGATAAAGTATCATTTTTTATTAAAAACATATATTTTAAGCAATGACAATGACTTTAAGTACATTTTTTAGGATAACCAAATTACTTTTGAGAGTACTCTGGTCAAAACCAAGAGTGTTATTTCATTTTTGACAGGTTTAAAAACGAAAATATGTACAGGGTGGTCGAAATTGGTCTGTTTTAACAGAGAAAACCTATTTCCTGACTAGAAAGAGTAAAACCGACATAGATATCATGGGCTCGATTTCTGAGACACGTTTAATGGCGTAAACCGCCTGTTGATATTTTCACTGCCAACTGAGATACAGGGTGTTTTTGAATTTTTTACCATTTTGAAAATTGCCCATAACTTTTATATTTCGCGGAATAATAAAATTCCGTAAAAACGTTCTTAAGGCACTTTTTTAAGCACAATCCAGTGGCGTTGTCCGTTTTTTTCTATGCTTCCTCTTTTTGTCAGAAATAATATAATTTTGTAAATGGAAATCATAGTCGGCTATGAACTTAAAAAATGAGGTGCTCAGTTTGAACATCTTTGATGATTTTTTTAGAAAACGTTTTTTTAGTTTTGTTCTTTGTTTATTGTATCGATTTTAATTGTAATTACTAATATAGAATCTTAATTTACCGTTTCAAAAGTAATTATGCAGATAAATAATAATACAGAATATTAAATTGTGATAAAAAATAATTAGGCAAACAGGTCAACACAAAATCAAGGCCCGCTTTGATATAAAGATAAGAAACCTAATATTTCTCTCATTCTTAGAAATATATACCATAACTTTATATCTTTGGAAAGGGTTAAACGTCAGCAACATTTTAAGTTCATAGCCAACTATGATTTCCATTTAAAAAATTATATTTTTTATTATTTCTGACAAAAAGAGCAAGCATAGAAAAAAAACTGGCTACGCCACTGGATTGTGCTTAAAAAAGTGCCTTGAGAACGTTTTTACAGAATTTTATTATTCCGCGAAATAAAAAAGTTATGGACAATTTTCAATATTGTAAAAAATTCAAAAAGACCCCGTATCTCTGTCGGTACTGAAAATATAAACAGGCAGTTTACGCCATTAAATGTGTCTCAGAAATCGAGCCCATGACATCTATGTCTGTTTTGCTCTATCTAGTCGAGAAATAGGTTTTCTCTGTTAAAACAGACTAGTTTCGACCACCCTGTACATTAAGGGTGTGAGTAAAAAAGTAATAAAAAAAAATTACAGAAAGTCTGGTTCTAAGTGTTTGGTGGTGATGAAAAATTGAAATGAAGAAAATGAGGTAAAATTTTCTTGACAAAATGGTGAAGGTTTTTTTATTAAATTTGTGTAGTAAACTAAATAAATGTTAAAACTATTTTATTTTAAATGTTTTTTTTTCTTTTTGATATATGAAGTAATGATTGAAACTTTCTTATTTATTTTACTGTGATATCAATGTATACAATTGTACAAAAAATGTACAAATACTTATTTTTTAACTGTGATAATTGAGAGTACTCTGGTCAAAACCAAGAGTGTTATTTCATTTTTGACAGGTTTAAAAACGAAAATATGTACTTTAAGGGTGCGAGTAAAAAAGTAATAAAAAATTGAAATGAAGGAAATGAGGTAAAATTTTCTTGACAAAATGGTGAAGGTTTTTTTATTAAATTTGTGTAGTAAACTGAATAAATGTTAAAACTATTTTATTTTAAATGTTTTTTTTTCTTTTTGATATATGAAGTAATGATTGAAACTTTCTTATTTATTTTACTGTGATATCAATGTATACAATTGTACAAAAAATGTACAAATACTTATTTTTTAACTGTGATAATTGAGAGTACTCTGGGGTCAAAACCAAGAGTGTTATTTCATTTTGACAGAAAAAAGTAAACGAAAATATGTACTTTAAGGGTGCGAGTAAAAAAGTAATAAAAAATTGAAATGAAGGAAATGAGGTAAAATTTTCTTGACAAAATGGTGAAGGTTTTTTTATTAAATTTGTGTAGTAAACTAAATAAATGTTAAAACTATTTTATTTTAAATGTTTTTTTTTTCTTTTTGTTATATGAAGTAATGATTAAAACTTTCTTATTTATTTTACTGTGATATCAATGTATACAATTGTACAAAAAATGTACAAATACTTATTTTTTAACTGTGATAATTGAGAGTACTCTGGGGTCAAAACCAAGAGTGTTATTTCATTTTTGACAGGTTTAAAAACGAAAATATGTACTTTAAGGGTGCGAGTAAAAAAGTAATAAAAAATTGAAATGAAGGAAATGAGGTAAAAGTTTCTTGACAAAATGGTGAAGGTTTTTTTATTAAATTTGTGTAGTAAACTAAATAAATGTTAAAACTATTTTATTTTAAATGTTTTTTTTTTTCTTTTTGTTATATGAAGTAATGATTGAAACTTTCTTATTTATTTTACTGTGATATCAATGTATACAATTGTACAAAAAATGTACAAATACTTATTTTTTAACTGTGATAATTGAGAGTACTCTGGTCAAAACCAAGAGTGTTATTTCATTTTTGACAGGTTTAAAAACGAAAATATGTACTTTAAGGGTGTGAGTAAAAAAGTAATAAAAAAAATTTACAGAAAGTCTGGTTCTAAGTGTTTGGTGGTGATGAAAAATTGAAATGAAGAAAATGAGGTAAAATTTTCTTGACAAAATGGTGAAGGTTTTTTTATTAAATTTGTGTAGCAAACTGAATAAATGTTAAAACTATTTTATTTTAAATATTTTTTTTCTTTTAGTTATATAAGGGTTATATCCGTTATATGAAGTAATGATTGAAACTTTCTTATTTATTTTACTGTGATATCAATGTATGTAATGCATATAGGGTTTTTTGGAGAGAAGTTACTTGGTGTATCCTCAAAAGGATTTTCTGCAAAAAGCTGGTGCAATAACCTCAATTCCTGTGGAATAAGAAACCAAGAAGGGTTTGTACATTCTATAGTAAATTTTTGGAATGAGGCTTTTTACTCGTGAATCTCTCTCTCATTAGTTTTATAATAAAACTTAATTTAGCACATTTCATGGTAATAACTTAACTCGAACTTTGAATTGTAATTAAATATAATAAAACGATAACAATAGAAACTTATACCTTATTGATGTATTAATATAAATTTACTAATTACTTAACGCCTCTAATAAAACTTATTTCTCTGATAATAGAACCCAGAGGATTTGAAAGTAATTTTAATAACAAAAATTGGCTTTATACGCTGCCACAAATTTAGACAGTAAAAATCATCATGTTCTGAAATTATGTCTGGATCTTTTTGAAAAACTCAAGGAATCTCAAAGTTATTTAATATCAATTTTGTACTCTGTTATGTTTCTTGGCATGGTTTATATTACAAAAAAATAAGATGTTAGTTTTTAACATAATCTACCGTAGAAGGTATTGTTCAAAAAGTACCAAATTTTTTACTGCATTTTTAAAACTTTTGAGAAAATAACAGGTAAAAGAAAATATATGATTCCATATTTCGACAAAAAATATAAATTTATTGCTCTATACACACATGATCTGTTAAAATAATTATAGTGCTTAGGGTGTCACAACTTACTGTATATTTCCTGTGATACCAGACTTTACAATAGTCTGCTACTTTTGTGTCGTCCATTATCAACTCTATATCTTTGATTTTTCTCTGTTTTAATGTACATTTCCAAAACAAATGATCTAAAATGAAAAGAAAAATATCAATAAATAATATATTAAAAAACCAGAGAGTTTAGGAGATACAAGATAAGTTAACGAAATGCTTACCTATTTTTTGTAAGTCCGTCGCTTCACAACTGCCTCCCGTCTTCAAATTCTTGCAAGAAGGAACATCCAACATAGTTTTAACCTGAAATATTAAATAAACATTAGTTTTTTGAAGAGTTTAATAATATACTCATATAAAATCTTAAGAAAAGGTAACAATAAGAGGTTAAAAAATAATATAAAGTAATAATTGTTGTTCTCACCGTAGCGAATAGCTATTTCAAAAACCAAAATAATTTGGCAGCATTTCTTTTTTCAATTTTCCAAGATTTTCTTGACTTTATGGTGAAGGAAGATATAATTGGATCCAGATTTCCGATAAATATTCCCTAGAAGTTTGACACGAAAAAGAAATAAGTATTAGTATTGATATAACGACTATAAAAATACAAATATTATAAACTAGAATTTTGTCTTATAATAATAAATATTATGGTTTACCAAAATAACTCACAAATTTGCCACATATTTATACATTTTTTTTTCATAAAATTTCTTACTTAGACATCCAATATATTTTATTTGTACACTTCAGTTTCGATGCAGATGGTTTTATCTAAAAAAATTAAAAAAAAAAACATATTTAAAAACCTAGAAAATTATGAAGCTGTAAGAAGATACTTTCTTACCTGTAGTCATCATCAACAGATTGTTCAACAAACACTATGGTGTAGTCTCCCTCACATATTTAGATAACCTCTTTGTAATTGGGCCCATTGTTGTCTATTGTTGGCTATGCTAGCTCAAGTTATCCCTGCTTATTTTCTAATATCATGGTCTTCTAGGTCTCTTAATTCCTTGTGGGTACCATGCTATAATTTTTCTGACCCATCTGTTGTCCGTCCTTGCCAGGTATCCTGCCTATTCCCACCTGAGGTATTTGACTTTTGAGGGTCTCTTTTCGTATCCACTCTATTCTTTTATGGTCTTTCTTCGGTTATTCCCAGCATATTTCGTTCCATTGAGCGTTGTGCCACCTGCAGTTTCCTTATAAAGCCCGTTTTAATTGTCCAGGTTTCGCCTGTCTAGGTCATGACTGGTAGTACACATTGGTCGAATGTTTTCTTCTTTAGATAAAGTGGCATTCTGGATTTGAATATTATTGACTTTCTTCCAGAAGTACTCCATGCTAACTTAATTCTTCTGTTGATTTCTGGTAGTAGAGATACCGAGGTGTGTATTAGTTGTCCCAAATATATATATTTTTCTACTATTTCCAGTGTTGTGTTATTTATCAGAATGTATTTTCCGTCCACTAGTTCGTTGTATATTACTGTAGTTTTTGCTAAATTCATTTTGAGACCTCCTTTATTGGTGGCTGTATTTAGTTCGTTAAGTTGTGCTTGTACAGGACTATTGGCAATTAGGACTATGTCATCAGCGAATCATAGATTGTTTAGATATTCACAATCAATTTTTAATCCTTTATTGGTCCAGTCCAGTTGACGGAAGATTTCTTCTAGTGGTGTCGTAAACAGCTTTGGGGATATCGCGTCTCCCTGTCTTACCTGTAGTATATATCACTATATATTTTTTACACTCGATATTTTTTTTTCATATTCAAAATCTGTCTTATATCTTCACCCAGCACTCAACACTACCCTCCCAAAAATTCCACATATAGCGCCCTGAAAAAAAGGATATGCAACAACCAATCCTCAATACCTACAGTGCAGCTCATACAGAGAACGTTAGTCCCTGAAGAGCTTGGAGCTGAAAAAATTGAAACACTGAACACGAGCCAATGTGAACCTGTTCAGAAGACATTCAGATGACTTTAAAGATATCAACTTAAAATGACCCTGCTGTGGTTCCTTGGAGACTCATACAAAGACTGATAGTACTAGAGCATCTTGAACTACTTCTGTAAAAAAATAGAAGCAACAAAAGAGTATCATATACATACATAGAAATTGTGTAGACTTCAATTTGACTTCGACATGACTCTCTAACCTGTTGCATACAGCTTCAAACAAAGTAGATGTTCAATCAACATAAATCCATAAAATACAAGAAGGATCATACAATAATCTTCTAAAGGCGTTGAATCCAGTAGGCTGCAGTAGTTCCTGGGAAGCCTCGAACTTATGGATCATTATATTCCGATTCTTGCTTCAAACGTAGTAGAACTTCAACCCATGTGAACCTCTGAAACACAAGAACCCCACAAAAATATTCTGCAGGCATCGACTCAAACTGGCTGCTGTGATACTGTCTAAGGCTGACACCAATACCTGCAAAAAATAGAAACAAAAAAAAAGACTGCCATATACATAGAGATTGTGTAGACATCAATTTGGCTCCGACATGACGCTGACCTGTTGTATACAGCTTCAAACAAAGTATATCTTCTACCAGCGCGAACCTATAAGACACAAGAACCCTACAAAAATTATCTGAAGACTCAAACTGGAAGCTCATAGAGGCTATCAGTCTTTGTAGAGCGCCAAGACCTACTCTTGTAAGAAAATAAACCAGACTTAGATATGACCCTGTTAAGTTTTGGACCTCAAAAATTTAAACCTGAACTAATGATGACCTCAAAAAGTCCTAAAATTTCTACTGCACTACTAAAAAACTCGATTCCTTTTTTCTAGGCCCTAGAATCATACCCGAACTTGAATTGAAAATACAAAAATAAGTTTAAAACATTTAGACTATTTGTATTGAAAATTTAGTTATGGAAATGCTTAGATATTGACATGCGTTTACTCTAAAGTAGTATTAAGTAAAAGAAAGTGAGTTAAAAAATTAGGAAGCTACAGAGAGTTACCTACACCTACACGTTTAATTTAAGAAAATAAAAAAATCTGTTAGACATTCTCTAAATTTCAATTTCACTAAGATAATATGAAGTATGATATTAATTATAGTTAATAAACTTTTATTTTTGAAACAGTATAAATCACAAAGAATCTAATCCCAAATAACGTTAAAAAGAAAACACTAAAACAATAAAAGACTTGGAATCCTCATTATCTTAGCACCCTCGATTCAACATTACAGAGACTAGAATAGGATGATTATTCTATTAAAAAATTTAGTTTAAAATTACAGAAAATACTAATACGAATAGTGACCTAGAAAGTCATAAAAATCTCTACTACACAACATAAAAAAATTGATTCATTTTTTCTGGGGCCTAAAATGATATCTGAACTTGAATTGGAAATATAAAAATAAATTTAGAAAATTTAGACTATTTGTATTAAACATTTAGTTATCGAACTGCTAGATATTGACATGCGTTTACTCGAAAATAGTAATAATTAAATAAAAGTGAGTTACAAAAATTAAGAAGTTAAAGAAAATTGCCTACACATACATGTTTAATTTAAAAAAAAATAAAATAACTGTTAGAGATTTTCAAGATTTTAATTTGACTTAGATAATATGAACAGAGCTAAATATAAGAACATCTAATACATTCTTAAGAAAAACCGATAGACATAACAATCCAACAAAAAGACCGACAGACATAACAACCCAATGGACCTCGGCTGCTTTCGAGAGGAAAGCATGTTCTTTGCTTCTGTGAGGAGCCTCCACAGAGGACGTTAGCCCCTGCGGATCTCAACCCAACGTGCTTCTGCGAGGACGCTCATACAGGGGACTTTAGCCCCCGTAGAGGTCGACTCGACACTCTGCTTCGCTTCTGTGAGGGGCCCCACAGGTGACTTTAGCTCCTGCAGGACCGCGCTCACGCCATCTCCGGGAAAACGAACAACCAAATAAACCAGGAAAATAATTTTAAAAAAACTTACGTATTTTGTACAGCACTCCCCACGATGTGCATCCCTTGTACAAAAATATACGCTCACTAACCTGAAACAACAGAAAAAATACGTTAGCTGAAAATAATAAAAAAAGAAATAAATCTTATAACATACCTGATTTTATCTTGTTCCATGCTCTCCATCCTACTGTCCTTTTCCAGAAGATCTTCGTTCCAGGCCTGCACCAATCGTCGTGCCTCCTCAGAAACAGCCTTAAGGACAAGAGTACCTTAAGGCAACAGTTAGTGAAGAAGGTACTACGACTGAGACCTTGCACATCGGACATCTCAAGGCCACAAAAATTATAGATTTACTACTATAGGTAATAAGAAAAATTTAGGGTGTCTTTAACAGGTTTTTTAGAGAACTCTAAAGATTGAATAATAATAAATGAGGAAAATATGAGTTAATGTTATTTTCCACGAGAATTTACTTCACTCGAAAATACAATTAATGATGTGCAAAATGCATTATTTTAAAATTATCAAATTTAAGTTTTATTATATTAAACATGAACAAAATTACAAATATTTTGAATGATTTTAGTATAAACGTACGAGTTTATTAAGAAACATGGTATCTCGCACCTTTTTTTAAATGTAAATGCAATTAGAGAATAATTAAAAAAATAGTAAAATGATGATAGAAAAAATTAGATTTAATCCTATGACAATGTCCTACAGAAAACTATTACAGAGACTGGAATAGAGTGGTTATTGTTTGAAATTTAGTTTAAAATTACAGAAAATAAAAATTATGTCCTCTAGAATTTTTTAAAAAAAACCTAATCCTAATTAAAAAATAAATAATGCTAAAAAGAGAACACTAAAACAATGGAAGACTTTTGGAATCTCCATTGGCTTAGCACTCTCGATTCAACATTACAGAGACTAGAATAGAGTGATTAAATTTAGTTTAAAATTTCAGAAAATAAAAATGATATCCTTTAAGATTTTTAGAAAGAATCTAATCCCAAATAACACTAAACAGAAAACACCAAAATAAGAAAGGCTGTGAACCTCAATTACCTTAGCACTCCCCATTCAACACTACAGAGACTAGATAAAAATATAAAAAATAATAATGTTTGTTATAAAAATTCTTGAAAAAAAGAAAATGGTTAATTGAAGATCCGATTTCCTGGCACACATTTCATTAAACTTTGAGCAAAAAAAATGTGTTTTAATAATAAATTAAGCATAACTGAGTAAAAGTCAAATTGGTTTTAAATTATTTTGAGACATAGACACCTCGAAAAACATTAAATATATTATTTCTTGTGATTTTTACAAACGACAAGAAATACAAAGGATTATATATGATTCGAATCAAAGAAAGTATGAACGCAAATAAAAAGTGTGGCCTTAAAATGCTGTGAAAAGCCTTAGAACAGCTCCAGAACCACGAACCGACGCGACCGTTATAATTATGCTTTAGAAATGGTCCTTCTACATTTCCTCTTCATCTGCATACTGAAACAACGATAAAAAAAGATCAGTAAAGATGCCCGCGTCCAAAAAGTCCAAATAAATTCAACTCACCTCCATTCCACATTCTTTCACTGGCGATTCCTGCCACACGGCGTAAAAAGCAGTGTCGTCACACCGCGGGAGCGGAAGGACGCCCCTGGTCCCTCAGGAACTACGGACGGTCCCTGGGGAATCCCATTTAACGCGTCATCAGGATCGACAGAACCTGGAAATACTTTTTAGTAGCAGGACATCTAACACAGACCGACTAAATTCACAAATAACACGCGCTGCGTACACGATCATAGTTCTGGAAAGATAGAAATATTTCTGAATTAGATTTATGGAAAAGAACTAGACAGGTGTGTGTTCAGACTTACCTCACTATCACTGACACTAGGCTGAATATGCTGGACTACGGCCCATCCCATCATTCCGATTAGACGTCAAGAAGTATGTCCCTCCCCCTCAGTGTTGGCTATCCATCCAGGGTAAATTTTATATTTTGAAAGAGCTCTATCGCTTTGACATGAGATTATTAGGAAAATTAGTTTAGATAAGATAGAGAGTTGTGCTCAAAAATATAGTTTAGATACAGCGATAGAGCAGAGAAAAATTTGATGGGGCAGAGCAAAATTTAAAAAAGAAATGGTCCCTTATTCCAATCTCTTACAACAGTGAAAAGAAAACCCTAAAATAACGCCAGACTGGAACCGGCACTACTTTAGCATTATCAATTCATTCATCTCAAAGACCAGTAAACTAAATAAAAATTATTATAAGTTTGATTTGAAATTATATAAAAATATAGAGAATAAAACAGTTTAAATCAGAATGAATTTACTTAATTTATACGTGAATGGGAATACTAAAACAAGAAGGCTGTTACTCTTCGATCGTAATTGTATCATCCATTCACAAGAGACCATGTAAAAAAGATTATTTTAAACAAAAATTATGTTTTTTATTTTAGTTTTTAAGAGAGAGAATCTATTATAATCCCATTAACGCCAGAAAGAAGACCTAAAACAAGGAAGGTTGTAAACCTCCATTGCCGTAGCAACCTCGATCCAACATCACTGAGACTAGAATAGGGTGATTATTGTTTTAAATTATATTAGTTAGAATTTTTAGAAATATCCTAACCCCAAATAACGCCAGAAAGAAGACCTAAAACAAGAAAGGCTGTGAACCTCTATTGTCGTAGCACCCTCGATCCAACATTACAGAGACTAGAATAGCATCATTTTAAATTTTTAGAAAGAATATTGTCTCAAATAACACTAAACAGGAAACGCTAAAATAAGAAAGTCTGTGAACTCAATTTTTATGAGAGAGAATCTAATCCCAAATAACGCTAAAAAGAAAACACTAGAACAATGGAAGACTTGGAATCTCCACTGCCTTAGCACTCTCGATTCAACATTACAGAGACTAGAATAGGGTGATTAAATTTAGTTTAAAATTACAGAAAGTAAAAATTATATTCTTCAAAATTTTTAGTGCGAACCTAATCCCAAACAACGTTAAAAAGAAAACACTAGAACAACGAAAGACTTGAAATCTCCATTGCCTTAGTACCCTCGATTCAACGTTAGAGACCAGACTAGCACTAAACAGTAAAATAAGAAAAGATGTGTACCTCCATTACCTTAGCACTCTCCATTCAGCACTAACGAGACTTGATAAAAATAAAAAACATGAAAATTTTTGTTATAATAATACTTAGCAAAATGAGTGGTTTATTGAAGATTCGATTTCCTGGCACATATGCCGTCAAAGTTTTAGAAAAAATATGTTTTAACGGTCATAACTCCAAGAAATAGAACCTGCATAAACCGTTTAAATGGACAGACCAAAACACCGGAGAGACCCAAAGGCACGGCGGGTGATGTTCCAGTCAATTCGAACCTTTACGGAATCTTGGCCAAGCCTCGACCCTCCGATACCAGCTTGATCCTCCATTCCTGAGGACATTTGTTCCTTGGAACCCTGGCCAGACCAAAAATCACCGGGCTACAGGGCGACCCACCTCAAAAAGAATCAGATTAAGAATTTGACGGTGTCGTCGAGAAAAACCATTCGACAACGGTTTGATATTTTTCGAGTAACGAGGCAACCCGGAAAACAAGTTTATATGCCTGCGTTTTTCAGTTTGAAGAGGAGAAGGAAAAATATAAAGACTTTCACTAGTAAAAGCTTTATATTGGTGGTTAATTAGCAAGGCGACATCGGAGGCTGAGAATAACCACATAGTTTTATGACGTTCCGATCGGACAATTTAACGTAACGTCTTCTGCCAGATTCCCCACACTCAAGGACCAGCGTTTACCTGCCCTTTCCGGTCCAAGAGTGCCAGATGATCCCAACCCACTGCGCCCCTTTGCAAGCCTCCTAGTCCTCTAATTGAGCTGAGCCCCACTCCCCAGACACCCTTTACGTTTAGGACAACAACCCGGCCCCATGGGATAGCCTGCATAGCATGATATAAGCTTACGCCCGGTAATGGAGCGGTCGAATAACATACCCACTGGCAGACTACAACGCAACGAGCACCTGGGAACCCCGGCCTGTTACCGGGGCTGTAATAATATGCGAACGAATCCAGGGCGAAACAGTCCCAGGCCTCCGAGACTGGCCCCTCGCGACAGTCCCCACAGCCCACAGATTGCATCGCAACCACCCCGCAACGCTGCTTTTTTGTGTCTATCGATTTTAAAAAAAATACGAGCACTAAAAAGTACTCGTATTTATTATATTAAAATACTAGCACTAAAAAGTACTGGCATTTATTAGATACTTCATGTGAAAGATTCTCTTAAAGTGACATTTATTTAATTTAATTATATTTTCAAATATAGAGATGAAAATCTCTGTTTTCATGGATAAAAGTCTATAAACATTTCTTATAGAGCTTTATTTGCGTTAGAGAAAGAGAGTGACACTTGTGATATTGAACCCAGACTATGTAAAACGACGGATTAATCTAACACGAACTCAGCGGTCATGTCTTTAGAGCCTGATAGTAGAGACATTAAACCGCACGCTTACTAGCTGGGAGCGTTGATGGATTTTCACGTGATAGCATTCCATGAGCCGTCTGCATGGGTAAAGTAAGTGTAGTTTGGTAATTACAATTGTGTGTCCCCATTCGATTGCGATCTGAAAAAAGAAAAAAAAAACTTACAAAAAGACCCCAATAATATATAGTCTTGAATAATAATCAACGACTGGAGTTATTGAAAGTTAAAATAAAAAATATATGTAAAACTAAAAATGTAAAATAAATATACAAGGTATCTCAGAATTCGCGCTTCAATAAAACACCTCAGTTATACAGGGCGTTAAAGAGTGTAGGTCTTATTAACTTTTAACTACTCTATATGTGACAAAGAAAAAATGTTTACAGAGAAAAAAGTTTAAAAACTGTATTAAAAAATATTATAAGTTAAGTAACTGCGTGAACCCCCTGTATACTGTCTACAACCAAAATTTATATATATTATTTAATAAAAAATTATTTAAAAAATATATTATGTAGATGTCATTAAGAAATAGTAAAATAAAAATAAAATTACAATAAAGTAGCCTGGAAAGTAGCATTATTTTAGGAAAATCTAATTAAATTATATCAATGAAAACAGCTAACTTTTTTAAAAGTTTTTCTTAAAAATGTCTATACCAAATGTCCAAAAAAGAAAACAAAAATATATAAAATATATTTCTGTAGAAATTAGTAATGGACGAAGAAATAGTAAAATATCTATAAATATTTGAAAAGCTTAGTGTGTCTGTGTTTAAAAGTGTGGATGAATAATATTGTAATTTTGGTTCACCCTATAGGTATATCTATATAGGTACTAAAACAATTGTTACCAAGTAATTTCAACAGCTATTTAATAAAAAAGTATTTAAAAAATAAATATAGATAGATAAAACAGATAAAAGTCATAGAGACAGAGTGTAACAGAGTATAAATAAAATATTACAATAAAGTACCATTAAAAAAAAAACAGCTGATAATATCCCTTAAAAATTTCTTATAAATAAATAAAAATATATACATATTTCTGTAGAGATTAGTAGTGGATGAAAAGTTAATAAAATATCAGTAAACTATTTGAAAATCTTGCCAGAAGCAACAAAAAGATATTATAGTTTATCAACCCCAAGCACAAAGTCTCTAGGAAATAAATAAAATCAGTGAATTAGCAAGCAAAATTTACTAGGTTCGGAAAAACTATCAAAAAAAAATAAACTCCTATATTAATTTTCTAAATGTTATTTTGTTTAAATAAATCTATTGTAAAGAAAACAACATCTAATCTACTACATCTAACAAGTGCTTTTATCAAATGAATGCAAATATATTTAGAAAAAAATAATCAATGCACAATTAATAACATAGACTATAGAGAAATATTTCACAAACTTAAAAAACAAGGAACCAGTATTTTAATTTTAAGGGTTTAGATCAGTTTCAAGAAAAAAATCAGCTGATTATCAATATAAATTTCACTAGTTATTCTTCATTAAATATTTCACTAATTAAAGCAGCTACAGGCAGATGCTATTCTGTGTGTTACAGCTTTCTAAACTTTATTAAGATTATTTTATAAAAGATGTAATACATAAGTATATAAAAATAGAGAAGAATAAAACGTATGTAATGTATAAGAAAAAGAAAAACCATATCAAATGCCACTAGGTACTATTAGACATATTCTTCAGAAAATCGAGTGATTATTATATATTCACTTATATAAAGGCTTTTATTTCTAAAATCCTATATACATCAAGGTATCTAAGTCTAAAAATTATTTATTTTAATACATAGATATCCTATACAACCATAAAAACATCAAATTTAGAAAACGGTCAATCCACAACAAATTACATCTTTTTATAGCAGGCAGAAATTATAAAAAAGGCAAAACTTTTATACACTGCCCGATAAAATTTCGACCAATCGGAAAAGAAATGACGTTACATTCAACCAATAGAATTGCTTTCAAGCCAGCCGCTTTAAGAGCATCCGATATGTCGAAAAGTATCAGGAAATTGATAGGAAAATGGTTGTACTTACCATCACTCGAGTCCAGCTGGGCCCTACCCGCGATTGTACCGAGTAAAATGTGTAAAGGCGCACATTCACTCCCGAAGTGCAGCACGTCTGGATACAGCGCCCGAGCTCAGGTACGACCTGAGCTATATGACGTGTCCAGACCCATACCGATCCTTAGTCCATTCCATCCAAAGGCAGCCTGGTTTCTTTGCAACTTGAAGATCTGTTGCTGTGTTGGTGTGTTGTTCGTCATCTCCTTCTTCAATGGCAGCGTGGTCCTTGGATATCCGTAACCCTGGATAACTTGGGGCATAATCTGAAACAAGACAAATATTTTTTAGTTACATAGAAACATAAAAACCTAAGCAAAAAGTCTCTAAAATACATCCTCGTACATACTTTAGGTTTGGAATTAAACGAAATTCACAAGTTTTTTATTCTAGAAGCTACGACAGATGTCCGACGCATTAATGCCGAACCCTGTACAAGACAAGAACATTTAAAAACATAAAAACCTAAGCAAAAAGTCTCTAAGAAATAAATAAAATTAATGAATTAGCAAAGAAAATTTACTAGCTTCAGAAAAACTATCAATAACAATCAATTATATAATACCTATAATATTAAGTACTAATTATTACCTTATATTAAGTTTCTAAATGTTATTTAGTATAAATACAGGCGGATGTAATTTTTCTGTATTTTTACAGGTTCCTAAACTCTATTTAGATTATTTTATAAAAGATTTATTACGTAAGTATTCTTTTATTTTATAATATATTTAAGAAAAAACATATCAAGTGCACTACTATTAGAAATATGCTTCAGAAAATTGTCTGAATATAATTTATTCCCTTATATAAGGTTTTATTTCTAAAATACTATATTCATCAAACTATTTAAGTTTGAAAAAGATTTATTTTAATACAGTACGACGTAGGACAACCATAAAAAAGAACTATTTATAGCAACAGAAAGTATAAAAAAGCAAACAGAAAGAAACGGAAAGTTTAACAAAAAAAAGGTGGCTTTGACTTTTTTTGTTGATCTTGCGCTTCTACCGGCCGCCTTTAGATGGTCGGATTTTTCGAAAAATATCAGGAAATTCGTAGGAAAATGGTCGAACTTACCCTCTCTAAGAGTCCAGCTATGCACTACACATGATTTCCGAGCACAATATACAAGAAAAAGGCACTTTTCCTTAAAAATTCTGGAGAGGCAACCGACAAAGACCTTACATCGTTAACGGTCCGTCTAGAAATGACGAAAATGGACGCAAACGACCAATGATATTGAGTTCTGGCGCTCGGTCTCCGATTTTTGACGCTAGAGGGAGCGCCGGCTGGCGCTTTTCTTCTGTTTTACCGATGAAAAATTATGTAATTTTATGACCTAAATTTCAAGTTTAAATGAAAATTTAGCAATATAAAGCTACATTGGAGACAAAACTACTACCAGAGAAATGTAGCTACATGTTTTCCGAATAAAATGACACCAAACAATAAACGAATAAAGCAAAATTCACATAGATATCGCATTTTAATTACCCCAATGTCCCTAATTGTTAATATCATAAAAAATAGATTCTTGCCTTAAAAAAGATTTTCAAGCTTTAAAATAGTTAAAGAATTATAGATTATCATTAAATATAGTTAATTAAACAGTTTCAGACATATTAAACCCATGTAAATCAAAATAAAATTCAAAAATATGGTGGCGATTCGGTAGCCTTCAGAATCTTCAATTATTATAACTTTGTTGTTCGACATTTTCCGAAATAATGTAATACTTAGTTAAATAGAGACTTATTACATCTATAAATTATAAAACAATGCAGTAATACCCCTATTTATAACTTCTACAAGACATTTTCTTAGTCAATGTAATGGCCAAGACTTTTTGCATTTATTTCACCAATTTTGCTATGAAGTCGATAAAAAAACTCATTTAACATGATTCTGTGCTGTAAGAATTATGTATTTGTAGTTTTTTTATCAATTTCCAAACCCCAAAACTCAAAACAAGAATACTTTTACATATACATACTTTTACAAGATATTTACTTTTATTTCACTAATTTTGACATGAAATCAATAAAAAAACACATTTAACAAGATTCTGTGCCCTACTAATTATGTTTTTGTAGATTTTTAACAATTTCCAACCCCCAAAACAGCCCAAGAGTAAACAAGAATTTCTTGCCTCCTGATACAAAATTTGTTCGATGAAAGCTTCGAGCACTATGTATAAACAGGATGTTTTCTACATATAGTCTAAAAAAATACAGGGTTGACTGCTCATGTATTTTTAAGAAAAAAAAGCTCATATAAACATAGGGTCTGTCTAATCTTCAGGGTGTTAAAAATCTAAAAAAAATATCTTTATGTTTTATCTTTTACTCTTTAGAAGGGAGATTTTGGGGGAAAGTGGTTTATGTCGTAGAATACATTGCAGTATTTAATATCCAGTACTTGGTATATTGATATATATATATATATATATATATATATATATATATATATATATGATATTGGTATATTTGAAATTTGAAAAATTGAGTGGGAAAAATAACTTTTTGATTTTCCATTGATTAAAATTGCAAATGGTGTTAAATTAAAACAATAGATGACTCTGACCAAACACTTAATTGATCCTTAAAAAAGTAGATTTCTTTAAAATTTTAGAAATAATTCATAGTACATCTACTCATCTATCAGATGTCGCACTATTTGTTTATAGAAACCTCATTTAGTTTAATAATTATAGTTCATCTACTATGCAGAAGATCGCGCCATTATCGATATTACAAAAATACCACCACTACTCGCTAGATGTCAACACTGTAACCTTACAGGACCCTAGCTTGCTGGAAATTTAGTTCCGCTACACTTTCACCGAAGGCGCTACGGTTGAATTTAATTAAAGAAATCGCCACTAGGATGATTGGGCGCTACAATAGGTTTCGCGGGCTGGTAGAAAAATTTGAAATGGATTATTTTTGTTTTGGACAAAATATTATCGTCTTATAAACGAAATTGTTCTTTAAAACGTTAAAAGTAATTTAATAACCCTTTAGTATACTTTACTGTTAAGAATTATTCCGAAAAATTAAAATTCATCGTGTAACGACATGTTTTTTTGGTTGCCTGAATAAAATTCTCTTTGTTCTGTACGCTGCATAGGTACACTGCCAAACGCTTTTGTTGATTTTTATATTATAACTTTTAATTAATATAAATTAGCAAATTGTTTGACCTTTCTAAAGTGAAGTTCAAGAAGTGAAAGTGTATAAATAGCTGTTCTGGTTTAAATTAACCACGACACATCATCAAATGATAGAGTGGTTTTATGATCTTGGTTTTTTTCTTAAATTTCTTAGAATAAATTCTTGTTTATTTTTTTATTTTAACAATGCTGTGATATTTAATTTATTCTTAAGTAGATAATATATAAAATGGCCTCCAGGACTACATCAATAACGACTTTCATAGTTGTTGTTGTAGCTCTTATATTTGTCGATGTTTTTTGTAAGTATATTAACACAACATTCAACAAGGACCCGCATGTTTTACCTACCTTCGTACCTTACATAGTTATTTCCTAACATTTCTCTAAATAAATCAGGCGCAGACGTTACAAATACTCAACAAACAAACCCATGGAAAATAAATCAAAATCCAGGCCAAAAAGCAGATCCTTTACCTGGAAATGTAAAAAGTACCACTCCTTGGCCTGCTCTAGGGCAAAGATGGACCGAAAGAACGACTAGTCCTAATATTAGGAGCCCAGCGACGACACAGGGCCCCAAAAAATGGATCCAACAAAACAATCTATGGATAAGGAACGAACAGGTGGCTTCAGGTGGATTTCCATCAGCTGTAACAGGACAAGGGAGTGTAAATAATAATAATAAGCCGAATTTAGCACCTAACTTACCAAATTTCGGTACAAGTACTACAAAAAAACCTGTAAGTAATAGTCAAACGTCAAACGGTAAGCCGGTAGGCTCATATGCTGCAGCCATAGCAGATAAAACAATGTCCACTACCTCTGTACCTCTTAAAACGTCTACAAAAGGTTTTTCTCCTGTAACGGGAGCAGACAACAAAAACTTACTTTCCACAGGGTCCAATAATGAAGATTTAGTAGGCAACAAACAGGCGGAAGATTCCTCTTCAGATACATCAGGAATCTCAGATAACGAGCTCAGAGAATTCTCGGAAATGTTGATCAGGAAGGATACTAACAATGCCATGAAGTATGTTACTTTAAATCTGCAAGGGAAGACCACATCAAGGTCCACAAACGATGAAGCCCCAGAACCGTAAGTAAAAACCTAACCTTAGTTTACAGAAATTACTTAAATAATGGTTTTAGGTTGTTGAAAATTGATAGTGCAGCTTTCCAGATTCCTTCAGTAGAAAAACTGAGGCTGTTGTATAACAATTATTTGTTGGAAGCAAGTGAAAATGAGGTTTATACACCTCAGGAACGCATCGAAGAGAATAATCTTCTAGATGCTGTCCTGGCAACACCTGTAATGCAGTTTGCACGTAGTTTTTTAATACAGAAAGGTAGCTAACTCAAATATAATTATGTAGATATTTTTCTATAGTTGAAAAAATAAAGAAACATGATGAAAAATGCTAGTTTAGAGGGTTTGAGGTATTAATATCATAGTTTTATTGCAGGTAAAATAGGTAAAGACCCTAGAGAATTCAAAGACTTACTCAGGCTGATCTGGTTCAACATGTACTCGAGAGGCAGAGGCAGGATAGGCTCGAGCGGATTCGAACATGTTTTCTTGGCCGAAATCAAGAACAACCAAGTCTCCGGACTACACAACTGGCTGTATTTTGGCGAGGAAGAACGCCAAAACCACGCAAACTACTTGGGATATATGAGAAAAATAGACTTGGGAGAGGTAAACTACCTCAAATCTATCAAATATCTCTCTAATATTGTTTATTTCTAGAACAAAGGTGCTATAGTAAAGTACCATTTTCGATTCAATGATATTGACAAACCTGTGGGTTCTATGTTCGTGGGTACCAGTCCTGAGCTTGAAATGGCTGTTTACTCGACGTGTTTTATTCTAAGACCTGATAAGCCTTGTCCATTGAAAATGGGAGGCAATAGGTTTGTTGTCCGGACTTACACCTACAGATACAGGAGCAAAAATATGATTGGCAGCGCATTCCCTGAAATATAATATAGTTTCTCAGGGATTAAATCAAGTTTTATCTGCAATGTGTCATTTAATACAAGTTATTTTATTCTATTTTATATGTAAACCATGATATCTTTAGGCTTTTCTAGTTAAGTAAGATTTTAAATAAGGTTGTAATATACCAGGAGAAATTAAATAAATAAAACCTAAAAAGTGTTTTATTTGTATACCTTACTTCACTGTATGATTTTTATTCCTTTTTACCGTGATTTTGCCTTAATATTTTATGTTTTCTACAAGTTTACATTTTTGTTCGACATTCTTAAAAAGCAAGTTGCACAGAAAAAATATGTAGAGCTATTGTAATAACTAACCATATATTATTAATCTTATGGACTAACAGTAAAAACAAATAATTCTCACTGGGAATATAACTATTTAACATTATTAATAGATTTTTCAAAATAAAAACATAAACGGGAGCGAAAATTTAAATTTTCTTAGGTTAAAATCACGAAAAGTACAATATTTACATAATAGATGGCTCTGATCAAACACTGTTTGGGACCTGAAAAAAGTAGATTTCTTTAAAGACAGACTGTAATACGGTTACTAGCATCTAGATGTCACAACTGATAAATTTTACAGAAATCTAGATATAATTTAAACGTAGTTTAACTACTTATTAGCAGATGACGCTAGTGGATAATTTATTGAATAAATCTACTATTATAACTCCTACCCAACAGATGGCGCCACGTACTAACTTAGTTACGACGCACACTGCAATAACAGATTGGCGCTGTAATCAGCTTCGCGGGCTATAAGAAAATTTTAAATTAAAGGAATTTAGATAAAATACAGTTTTACAGACGAGAACATTGGAATTTCTGTTTAAAATAATATATTTAATGAAACAAATATTACATTCTAGAGAAAACCAATAGAACTAGTAGAGAAACGATTAGTATTAATAAATTCTTTACTACATCTACCAATTATTTTAAAGTTACCCTTGATTAATAACAACAAGAGCCTAAAATAACAATAACAAAACCATATTAACAGAAAAATAGACTTTTATTTTATGTATTTTCACGAAATAACGACACAACAATTCACAGAATATTTTCGTGACTTGTTTTAACTTTCTTCGATTCCTGTACGAAACAAAGCTCAGAAATCGAGAATAAAAAGACAAATAAACCTTAGAAAAGGTAAATGCGAACCTACGTGTGATTTAAGGAACCTTCGGAATCATTGGGTATAGCGTTCTGGGTCTTGAAGGCGTAGAATTGCCGCCTCCCTGGTAACAAACGAAATATCTTGGGGTGTCAAAAAGACGAACTGCAAGTCGGGCTTGGACCGCGCGTGATGCATAAGAATGTCGATCACTTTCGTGCGATTTAGTTTGTCCTAAAATAAAAAAAAAACTACTACTATAGTGAACCTTCTTACAGAGAGTCCCATTTTTGTTTGTTTTACAGGTTTTCTCGTTTATGAGTAGGCAGTTTCTATGATATTAGTCTAATAACTAATTAGTCAACCCAAGCAGCATTTGGACGTCGGGACTTACGTTGTATCTCGCGACCAAACGTCGGGGCGCAACGTCGGCACAACCTCGTGCCAACCCTAGTCTGCACTAGTTTGGAGAATAATTTTTGGGTTAACCGAGAGAAACGACGTTGGATACCGACGTTGGCTAGCAGCCTAATTTAGTACAAACTGCAACGTTGTTTAAAATCCTAATTCAGAGAAATACAAAACTATAATAATATGGCGTCTAAGTCGCGTTTTATCATAAGTATCGTAAGTATTTAAGTGTGGAGGATGTTTGAAGATCATAATTATTGAAACACTTTAACCGACTCTCTGTAACTCGTTACCCAAGGCAAAAAAGTTAAACGCAAACAACTTTATTGATAAATGTATTGTTTCTATTTTGAAAAATACTAATGGGCCTTAAAATTAAAGAAGTTTTCAAGAATTCAAGAAAAATTTCTTGAATTTTTTTTTAGTAAAATGAGAATAATTTCGAAAAAATTGTTTCCGCGTGTTGTTTTGGGTCAAATATTTCAAGTTAATGTAATCAAAAAGCAGAAATTGCTATTTCAGGAACGAAACATTTTCTTATTCAACAATATGGCGGCTTTCACTTTGTTGTTTTGGATATTAAGATGGAGTAGTTCGAGTAGTCCCATACTGGACTAATAAAGTCGCAGTTCAGCCTTAACAGGTAGTATACTAGTCGCAAGATTGCCTAATTTAGTCATCCTAGAGTCTAGCTTGTGCCGCCCTCTATATCCTAAACAAACGAGAGAGTGGATAAAGTATCGGTAATATGTCGATGTATATTTAAATTTAGTTTTATATGTGCCTTTCTTATGTCCCATTTTAATTAAGTTTTTTATAAAAACAAAAACAGTACTGAACTGTCTGACTGAACAGAACAATGACGTGAAAATTTAAGATTTAAGGTTATGGTTCAATACAGTTACAAAAAGGTAGTGGCTCGACGTCCTACCAACGTAAGAATAAGGAAATCTAAACAACGTTGGAATTAGTAAAACAGGCGACGTTTGCATAACGTTGGAATAGGTCCTGAAAGTGACGTCGGAAAACTCTTTATTGCCCAACATTGTAACTACGTTGTCCGAATCACTTAAAGATCGCTTAAGCAAAATAGGTTACAAGACAACGTTTATTCGACGTCGCAGAAGCGTTTACTTTGTTGTAGTACTAGTTCAACGTCGACACAACGTTACAACAACGTTTACATTTATACGTTTTTTTTACGTTTTTTTTAATTAATTTGTAATCTTGTGACACCCTCTATAATTTATTTTAAAAAAATATATTTTATTTTGAAAATAATAAATAAGATAGATATTTTAATTTTAATTTTAACACTCGGTAACTGTAAATTCATATATAGTAAGTATCTAAGACAATTTTTTAAACTCAGTGCCTTTTGATGGAGTTGTTTTGTTTTTATACTATCCGATTGAAATGAATCTTTTTGGGCATTCACCTGTTAAGCTTGAACTCCCTGTGACTGTGACTACCTGTGTTGGTAACTATTGGTAACTCAAAAGATCTACATCATTCAATATATCGATATTTGAAAAAAAAGTGTAAGTTTGATATCTGCAGAACAAAGGCACGAAGGATTTTAACAAATAATATACATACAGTAGAAAAGTACATACCTTTGGCAATCTTCAACATAATTTGGCTTTCTAATAAAATGTATAAGCATTTGTAAATATTTTGTTTTCGTATGATCTCTGCCTTGCTGAGCAGAAAACGACCAAATTTGGTTGATAAAAATGTATCGAAATACAAAGAATATTCATGCATTTTTTATCAATTGGAATGTCTACTATTTATTCTTATCAGTACACATTTTTTGGCTTATTTCTAACCAAACGCTTTTGTCCCGCTAAATTTATCTTCCAACGCACTGTGCGCTCGTCCGTCAAATGCAAAAATAACTGTCACTGTCTAAAATCTTTAGCGCCAACTTCAACTCGGTCAGTAGATGACGTAAAAAAACTGACAGTGCAGAAAGATAGGAATCGAACTATCCTTATCTCTATAGTATCCTTGGTAAACGCCGACCTAAGGTTTCGCTTGCCGGCAGCAGCATTCATAAAAAAGTAACAAACCGCATCTTTGTGCCTCTACTTGCAAACAAGAAAATCTGTAAAGCGCACAAAAACGGGACAAAAATCCCACAAACAAATTTACTCACCATATACACATCAAATTCGTCCAGAAAATAGAAGGGAAAATCCATACACTGCCACAAGGCGTACAGAAACGCCACCGTGGAAAAAGACCTCTCCCCCCCAGACAAATTCGAGGTGGTCCCCTGGCCCTGGGACCCCTGCTGGGGAATCACCACCAACTCCAGCTTCCTTCCCTCCATATCTATGTCGATAGTCCCTTTAAACTGCCTAAACTCTAGGATTTTTTTAAAGGAATGCTTCATGAACGTGATAAAAAAGTTTTCCGTAAGTTTGTAGTGTTTGTGACGTTGTTCCACCGAGTGGCCCAAGATGTCGAGGTTTTTTTCGAGGGCTCGCATCACGTTTGACACGGTGTTATATTTTTCGTGCAGTTCCTTGTACCTCGAGGCCACCTGGTCAATATTATCAGCTTCTGTCTCGATGCGAGCGATAGTCTTCGAGATTTCTTGCACTTCCTTGAAGATTTCGGGCACAGTTCTGTTAAAAAGTGTGGTTAAATTTTAAAAAATACCATAGGTGAGTACTTTGGAGCCTCCTATACGAACCAGAGACTCCAAGGAGAACGACGTTAAGAATTACACATCAAAGTTGTGTTTTTATAATGGAACACACTGTATATTATATTATTTAAAAAATTCCGTGTTTCAGGAATAGGCAGAACATTAATAGTATTTTGAGGAGATACAAATTCCCCATTAAATATGTTAATAATATACTGGATGTTCCATTTAAAATAAAAGAGTATCTTGCTTTTAAAGGTGGCCAATGTTCAATATTAATTCTGTGTATCTCAGAAACTAAGCATTTTAGGACAGCTCAAACCACCCTGTAGATAACTTTTATTGAAATTTAAAATTTATTCTTCATTTTTAGAAAATGTTAAATACGTCAAAAACCTTACATTTTCGTTATATTCTTCTCTAATAAAACTCACCTTTATTTTCTTCCTAAATCTCGAAAACCAATTAATATATAGGGTGTTCCGTTACCAAAAACACAACTTTGCTGTGCAACTTTTTTTGGAGACACTCTGTAGGACTCTTTATATTTTAAAAAAATGCTTTTAATAAACCTACACGTGCTCAGAAAATTTCATTTCAATTCAAACTGTCGCGTCGTTCCCCTTGGAGCCTCCGTGTTGTGCAAAAAGCGCCACCCTGTATACACTCAGAAAAAAAAAACGCCGTCATAGCTGTCAATACAAACTCACCTCAATTCCGCAGGACGCTCTCCCAGTTTCGAAGCATCGATAGCCTTCTTCCTGGCATTCTTCTCCTTGCCATTGACAATTTCCTGACCTTCGTTGACCTTTCTTTGATAGTCCTGCAATTTTCTTTGATCATAATCTTTGTCCACTGTCATCTGGCGTATTTTCGCATTGTGCTCCTCGATTTTCTCCAGCAAGGAGCAGGTGCGTTCCTCCAGCGACTTGCAGTCGTTCTTGGAGCGCAGCAAAAGCTCCTTGGCCTCCACGATCTCCTGTTTTATCTCCTTTAATTCTTCGTTTATCGATTCTAACTCGGCTGATTTCGTGGTTATAATGGTATTTACTTCTTGTAGAACCGTTTCCTGTAAGATAATATTAATTATTGTATAGCACATTTTGTACCAAAAAGATTAGTACATATTTTTTAAATCTAGTACGTGAAGTCTTACCAAATTAGTGACATCGTGTGCCTCGGGATCTAGCTCATTGTTTAAGTCTTCGTATCTGGTACTGATTCGGCTTTTAGCCAAATTAACTTTCCTGATTTTCTCCTCGAGTTCTTGTTGCTGTTGGTACTGGCCTTGCATCTCTTTCTGGAGGGCTTTCAGTTGGTTACACATCACCTGTCTTTTGTTGGTCATGTTGGTGATATTTTCTTCTATTAATCTGCAATGATGATAAAAAAAATTATGTTATATTTTGATTCCAACAAATTTTAATTTACTAATAATTTTTTTATATATATCGGATATATATCCGATATTTGATATTTATATAAATATCATGATATTTGCCAACCTTGTTTAAAAAACGATTAGTCTTTCGGGAAAACGCTTGGACACGCATAATTTATTTTGTTTTTTTTTACATATTTTGAATGTTTTTAAAAAACACACAGGGTGTTCCAAAAAGTTCTGTAATTGATTAACCACGATTCTGCTTGACGTAAAAAGCTGATTTTTGGCAAACAAATTTTTCGAAAGTCAAATTCCAACGAGATGAAACTACTCCTCAAATATTACCAAGTTATATAATAATATCGCCATATTGTTTTTTCTCATGCTGACATAAATGTGAGAACATTTTATCCAGTTTGTATGAGAACAGAAATTCTTGCTTTGCTTTATCATCACCATTACAAATGATTAATTCGACGCGAATGAAGTCACGGGTACACGCTAGTATTAAGTAAATCCTTATACAGGGTTGTTCACCACATACGACACGGAGTATTGTAGCTAAACGATTAGATTTTTACAAATTGTAAGTTTTGGGTTCGATGAAGGACTATTAGAGGTACAATTTAAAAATAATTTTACAAGATACAGAGTGTCCCAAATAAGTAAAAAATATCAAAGTTGTATTTTTTAAATGGAACACCCTGTATATTATTACATTTTTAGTTTCTACGATTAAAATAAAGGTAAATTTGATTAAGGTTTATTATACTTAAACCTTACCGTTTTTGAAATATTTTCAATTTTGTGCAATTGCAGTAAAAATTTTAAAGCTTCATTTCTCCAAGGCTATCAAAGTTTTTAATACTAAATATTTACTGAAGTTTATTTACTGATCAGTTATTGTGTTGCAATAATAAAAATAATACTACCTTATACAGAGTGTCTAAAATTTTTTTAAATAATTATTAGCTTCAAACGGCAATAACTTGTTTAATTTAAATGGAATACCCTGTATATTTTACGAGAATCAGATGCACAATTTAATTGTCTATCAAATTATATTATACCATTTTTTACCTATCCCTTCAAGTTTTCGTAGAAAATGCATTTTCTTGTAATTTAGAACTTATTTATCAATATACCCATGGACTATTGACATTTTAGATTATTTTTAAAGATGTACCAAATTTTTAAAGAGTACAGATACTAATATTGTCGATATAATTAGTTTATTTCATTAAAAAATAAAAAAAACTGTTTAAATATTTGTTAAAGAGGATCAATTAATATGATTCCAGTATTCAAACTACATTAACTGATTGTTTGCGTTGATTAATAATAATTGCTCCAAATACTAAAAAACTGAATTTTGTATGGGCATTAGACAGTGTGATAAAAAGTAACACCTTAAAAATGATATTTCATTTTTTAATAAGTGCTTATTTATAACAACAGAGACTTTAATTTGATAACTTATTATTATATTGATTTCTGACTCAAATCCACATTTATTTATAATAATTTATTAACGAACACAATTAAGTATGTAATTAATTAGTATATGGGCGGAAATAATGGTGTTATATTTAATTAATGGTATACTCTTTTATAAAAATTTAAATAGTTTTCTTTTTGCATACAAAATAGTAATATTATCGTTTTGCTAAAAACGATAATATTACTAGTCTGTACATTTTGTACATTTGTTGCTTTAAAAACAATCTAAAATGTCAATATTCCATAGATATATTGATAAATGAAATCTAAATTATAAGAAAATGCATTTTCTACGAAAACTTGAAGGGATAGATAAAAAATGGTATAATACAATTTGATAGACAATTTAATTGTGCATCTGATTCTCCTAAAATATACAGGGCATTCCATTTAAATTAAAGAAGTTATTGCCGTTTGAAGCTAATAATTATTTAAAATAAATTTTTAGACACTCTGTATAAGGTAGTATTATTTTTATTATTGCGACACAATAACTGATCAATAAATAAACTTCATTAAATATTTAGTATTAAAAACATTGATACCCTTGGAGAAATGAAGCTTTAAAAATTTTGCTGCAATTTCACAAAATTGAAAATATTTCAAAAACGGTAAGGTTTAAGTATAATAAACCTTAATCAAATTTACCGTTATTTTAATCGCAGAAACTAAAAATGTAATAATATACAGGGTGTTCCAAAAAAAATACAACTTTGATATTTTTTATTTATTTGGGACACTCTGTATCTTGTAAAAATATTTTTAAATTGTAGCTCTAATAGTCCTTCAACGAACCCCAAACTTACAATTTGTAAAAATCTCATCGTTTAGCTACAATACTCCGTGTCGTATGTGGTGAACAACCCTGTATACACTTACTGGGCGTGCTCCTCTGTGTCAACCTGCAAAAACCTGGCCCTCTTATACGTGGACGCGTAGGTTTTATAGTGAGGATCGGGATAATAACGGTCACCTCCGATCGTAACAGCCTGTGCACAGTTCCTAGGCACTCTCTCCCTCTGAGACAGCAACTCGATGGCTCTCCTGTTGTCCTCAACCAGCAGGATGTTCTCCACGCTCATCTGATCCACGATACAGTTGGACACGATGGGATCCTCGATGGCCAGCACGCTGTACAGGACGGCGCAATCGCTGGGCGCTTTTACAAGGTTTTTCCTCACATCGTGTTTCTACAGGGAAAAATATTTGTTTAGCAGTCAGAGAGTCACTGTCACACATCCTCAAGTTGTACATAATATCAATTTAAAATAATATGGAAGTTAACAGTTAAGCTTTTTTTTAATACTACATATAAACACGCGTGCATAGAAATCGGCCCACTGTAAACTTTTGACTTTAAATGTGTCTTTTAGAATCTATTTATCAGACCAAGAAAAAAAAATATGACCTGTTTCAAAGACAATTTAACATGCTCTAATATGAGTATAAATCATAGACAAACAAATAAAAAGAGACTGGCAAATTAAATGGTAAAGAGAGGGACAACGTTCCCGTAGCGCAACTCGGAACGTAAAATTTCGTTCTATTTATGTTGATCTGCGCATTGCGTCTATTGGGCCCACTATCTCATTCTAATATAACAAGAGAGAAAGAAGCAGCCATATAAAACGTAATTTCTAAATAGGAATTAGAACAATCGCCTTTCGTTTTCGTCATCATGACAACCAAGATGACAACATCATGACAATTCGTCATGTTTGTTAATTTTTCTTTTGGTGATTTACCTTTTTTCTAAACTCTCCATTTTATTGACTTATGAATATGGATAGGGAACAAATTCCTTTGGTCCATATAGGTATTTATATTTTGTAACTTATAATTTTAGGTTATACTATTTGTTATTTTATTTGCTGCAGGAACCAGTATCATCTATTTTTTATATGTATTGGTGCCCCCTTTCTCTGATAGATATGTTAAAGACACCCGGTAAAATAAAAGTAAGTAGTTATATTTATCATCTTATTAAGAAAAAAGTAGAAGTAGTAGTGTCAAAAATATTTCGAACCTCTCTCAACATAACAAATTAATACAATTAATTTTTTGTCATTTTTTGGGTAGGTAGTTTATAGCTGGTTTATAATAACCAGAAACTTTATTAATATACCTATTTTACTTTTGTTTTAGGATTAAAACTGAACTTGAAAATGGTTCAGGATCATGATTCTCGAAAAGTCTTCTTTGCTTGGATATTCACTTTGTTATTGCAATTAGGCAGTTTTTTCGAAAATGAGATTTTTAATGCCCTTTAAAAAAATTGGCCGATCGTTTCCTGCAAGTCAGTTCTTCTGCATTTAAAATTGGTAGGTGGGTGGAATAAAAACTGTTATTTTTTGTTATTATATTATAAAAAGTTTATTTATTTTTATGTATAAATAAATATGTTAATAAAACAGTACAATTTTTGCTTTTTTTATAATTTCCCTTATCATAGTAGTATTCTTTCGTTCTGAAAGAAACTGCAAATTTTCACTCACACTGATTTATTCCCTATACCACGTTCCCTTTACGTGGTATAGGGAATAAATCAGTTAAGTGAAAAATTTCAGTTTCAGAATGAAAGAATACTACTAATAATGGCTAATTTAAATTTTCCGCCAGCCAGAATGTGCGATAATGTCTTACGATACGTTTTATACCTATCTCTTACTTTTTCATATAAAGCACACATAATAAAGAAAGATAGCAATAAAGACGTACGTCCTGCCATGGTCCTGCTAATTGGTTTCAAAATTGTTATTCTGAGTTGCGCTACGGGAACGCGGTCCCACTCTTTACCATGGGATATGTCAGTCTCTTTTTATTTGTTTGTCTATGGGTGACAATAAGAATAAAAAACTTATCAAATATTGCAATTACTACTTTACTGTTACTTTGTAATCGAAATTTGCACATTGTTCTTTTATTGTTTGATTTGTTGTGTTTCATTGTTTGATTAGTGTTTCAATTTAATGCATACATCACGGAAAAAAGCTGTCAAAGTAATCGCTTTAATTTCGGGGCCGGAAAGTGAAATAGCAAAAGCGGTTCCACCGTTTCCACGGAAATCTCAAATAAAATAGTTCCAGCCCTAGCCACTAGGTGGTAGTGCAATTAATTTTTAGGTTAAGAAGTTGCTACTAGTTATTGCCAGATGGCGTTAAATCAGAATTTTTTTGTAGTTTCCATAGTTTCCAACGGCCATTGTCATATTATTGTCAAATTCTCAAAAAATATTGTCGTTGTCATAGCGCCAATCATAATATTATCAAATAAATGATTATCAAAATGTTTTTCAAACTATACTACAATTTGTTATATGTGTTTTAATTAGACAATTCCTTTTGTTTGTGGCCCTAAAAATATAATGTAAGTCTTTTATTTTTGCCATCATTTAAGTACCTATTTATACCGTATGATCGAAAAAAAACGGCGTCCAGTTGGCTTGGAAATGACGATCGATGACATTTCCCATATAATTTCACATATAAAATGACAGCGATCTTCATTTCATAGCCATCGCTGACGCCGTTTTTATTCGATCATACGGTATTTACTCCATTTAGAAAACTTTGGGCGTATTACGTTAGTCTTGTTTTATTATAATAAACGATGTTTAAATATTTGACTTATAAATAAAAACTTTATAATAAATAATATTTCACATGTTTGGCTTTAATTTTATTTAATAATTGTATAAATTATACTGTTAAATCTTATTTTTTACACGTCACAACGATACTTGTTCTTAGTATTGTTGAATTTGTGTAAAAAATAAGATTTAATAATCAAATTTAATTATTTTAGAGTAGAAATCAATAAATACGCTCATTTAAAAAGCCCGCGCTTCGATCCATTTAAAACAAGCCCTACTCAATAGATGGCGCCACTTCTGTAGGACCATTTTTCAGTATGGCAGAGTCCATTCTTTTTCTAGCTAGGTATATTCTTTACTTTAATTGAAAATGGACTTAAAACAGAGAGCTGTTGCTCGGCAACTGCATATGACACGCGGAGCGGTTCGAAGAGTGTGTGAACGATATGAGGAGACTCGATCCTTTCGTAGACTACCTGGAACTGGTGGAAAGAGATATACAACGGATCGTGATGACCGCTTTATTGCGTCAACAATATTAAGAAATCGGCATCTTAATGCTATTCAGGTGCAACAAGAGCTCCGTGAAACACGGAGAGTGACTATTAGAGGATAGTAAGACGAAGATTAAAGAAAAGTAACATGACCCCCAAAACAGCCGTAATTGGTCCAAAACTTACCCCAGCTCATTGTCAAACACGCCTGCCTTTTGCACGGAACATCTGAATTGGCCACTAGAACAATGGGAATGTGTTTTATTCTCAGATGAGACCAGGATATGCCTCTATGGTAGCGACCGAAGAAGAAAAGTGTTCCAGTGGCCAGATGAGCGATTCGCAGAATGCTGCATTGAGGAGCGGATTGCTTATGGAGGTGGTTTATGCATGATCTGGGGTACAATTTCTATGACTGCGCGAACCGACCCAGTTTTTATCCGTTGGGACGACCGTCGGCATGGGAGAGGAGGTTCAACTGGTGCTAGGTATATTGGGGAGAGCTTAGCAGTTCATGTGGTACCTACTACATTGGAAGCGAATTCACTTTTATGCATGCCAATGCGAGGGCACACACATCAAGAATCGTACACGATTACATTTTAGAAGTCGGTTTTCGGGTTATGGAATGGCCAGCATGCAGTCCAGACTTAAACACGATAGAACATTTATGGGATGAGCTAAAACGAAGGATTAAGAAAGGCTTACAACATACAAAACTAATTTTCTATGTCTGGACATGTAAAAAATGTAGAAAATTAATTTTCTACGTGTAGAAAATACGGTAGAAAATATAAAATTTTCTACCTACCCAACCCTGTTAGCAGTATTCGATATTTTGTTAAATATTCCGTATAATAGAAAAAAAAAACAACGTCGTACTCACTTTGTGAATAAACCTCGAGGTAATAATAGTAGGCTGTCGTTCGCCCGCTTCCATACACGTGGAGAATATCTGCCTCAGCAATTTGCTGTCTTGCTGGTTGTCGACGGTGAAAGCTCTGAGCATTGCCTGGCCCAAGTAGCCCTCCACTGCCACCGCCCATTTTTCGTCCTTGAGTTTGATGTAGGCGCCCAAGGGACCCTTGGGCACTTGCTTGAAGCGGGCCTTGTTCTGTTCGATCAGTTGCAACACTCGAGGCATGCTCTTGCCGTACAGCATCAGAACGTTGCCCGATCCTTTTCTCAGGGCCTCTAAGCTTCCCTTTTCACTCGCTGTTTAGGGCAAAATTTGAAAAAATAATCTATTAATTGGTGAATGCGGTGTGTATTTGCCAATTAATAAAATGTTTAAGTGTTTTTAATTTATCTATGTACGGGTGGCCAACTAAGAATGGACGCCGGCTGTATCTCAGAAACTATTTATCGTATAACTTTGGGAAAAAAATTCTAATAAGTAAATCGACCGAGAGAAATCGCTGGAAATTATTTTCAAGCTCGAAAAATGCCCGCTAGGGGGCGTTTCTCTAATAGCCAATCAGAAAACAGGGTTTTTCTCAAAAATATGCAGGTGAACAGGTATTTTCAATATTACTATTGTAATCATCGAGGAATTTGTAATTTTTTTGATATAGAGTATTTTGCTCTATCTCATAAAATAAACTAAGTGCAAAGATAATAACTGTGCAAAGAGAAATATAGCCTCCTATTAATTTTTTTTACGCAAAAGCGCAATATATGTTATGATGTCAAACAGCGCCCTCTAGCTACCACGAAAAAAATTGTAGAAACAAAATTTATACTGGTGATCATTAAGGAAGAAAAGCTCTTTTAAACGAGCCCTAGTATGTTTAAATCGCATAACCCAAATCAGAGTTATCCTTATTTTAATAAAAGCAAGTTTAACCGTCCCCCACCACTTTATTTTATGAGATAGAGCAAAATACTCTATATCAAAAAAATACAAATTTTTCGTTGATTACAATAGTAATATTGAAAATACCTGTTCACCTGCATATTTTTGAGAAAACCCCTGTTTTCTGATTGGCTATTAGAGAAGCGCCCCCTAGCGGACATTTTTCGAACTCGAAAATAATTTCCAGCGATTTCTCTTATTTTCCAGCGATTTACTTATTAGAATTTTTTTCCCAAAGTTATACGATAAGTAGTTTCTGAGATACAGCCGGCGTCCATTTTTAGTTGGCCACCCGGTACATAGTTTTAACTTTTTTTTTTGCAGTTGACATAAATAATGAATTTAAAAAAAAATTAAATAAATCGCCAAAAAATAGATATGACTTAAAACAATAAAAGTTGAGAGGTGTTGTAAAATCTATTAGATCTATAGAAAAAATAATATATACGGTGTGCCACTTAAAAAGTTGAGATTTTTAACCCCCTTAAATATTAGCGTATCACTAAGGAACACTCTGTACAGGGTGTCATTAAACAAGTTGCTATTTTTAATAATTAAAAGAACCAAAATTCATAAATTAACTTTGAACACCCTGTAACTCAAAAATTTGTACACATATTTGTTTCTTCAAAAGATGTATGTATGTAAAGATTTTATCAGTTAGATGCTACAGGGCGATAAAAACTAACAAATTCGTGATTTGAATTTTGTTTCTTTTAAATTAACAATAGTAAAAAAAGGTTTTAAATTAAAAATGGTAGTAAATATTTTTTAAACAATTGTAGAGTGATATTATAAATAAAACTTACCAATTTTATGATTGAACTGTTCAACTTCCCCTTTTAGAGACAATTCATCCTCTTTTTTCCTAGCCAAATCACTTTTAATGTGAAACAAGTCATTTCTTGCTGTTTCTAAGTGCTTATCAAAGCCACTAAGTTTACCTTGCATGTCTTGTAATTCCTTCATTCTTTGCTGTTTTTGTTGTTCCACCTTTGTCATACTAAAAAAGCAGACTTTCAATTAAAAAAATAAATTAAACACCTTTAAAAAACATACTTATCATTAGCTTCGGATATTTCTTTTTGTAACGTTTGAACATCTTTATTTCTAGAATCAATTTCAATAGAAACATTCTGTTTTTCCTGTCTTTTACGGTTATAAGCGTTCTGAAACTGTTCCATGCGAGTTTTGTTATCGTTTTCAGTCCTTCTATGAAGATCCAACTGATTTCTAAGCTGTTCATGCTGTTGGTTATACTCTCTAACATTCTCTTCGTAGCTCTGGATGTCTTGTTTCTTATTCTGAGTGGTTTTCTTGAAATCTTCCATCTTTTTAACTATTTTATTCACTTTTTCTTGGTCCTGTGCCAGTTCCTCTTCGGCATCTCTAACTTCAGCCCATAACATTTCTGTTTGAAGCATTATTTTTTGTTCTTTCAAATTCACAATGGATTGATGCCCATCGATTTTACGTTTTAACCTGTTTAGTTCATCGGCTAAATTTGAAAAATTCTACGAAAAATAAAAAATACAGTTTCAAAAAAAAAGATTCTTTTACATACTTACGTTCTTTTTATCTTTTAAAGCCTTGATACTGTTGTTTCGATTGTTGGAAATAATTTTAAATTCAGATTCCAGCATTTCCAACTTTGTTGCTCTCATAAACAGAGAGAATTTATTCTTTGGATCGTTACTGCTCAAGAAATTCCTCGAGGTATCTTGAGTTAGCACACAAACGGGATTATCGACTTGAATGTTTAAACTTGTTGTGATGTTTTGTATTTCTTTTGCCAAGTTTGAAATGGTTTCCCCTTAAAACACATAAAATTACAACTTATTTATAACAAATTAAAATAACCACTGTACCCGAAGCAGATTTGATCCGATAGGTAGACGATGTAGGTGTCAAATTCCTGATAATTTTTATAGATTTTCCGTAAACTTTGGGCTTGTATGCCATAGGACCTTCGTTGCATAATTCTATTTCTACACTACAAGAGGCCTTTCCTGCTTTTATAAATCCTAGAAAATCATGTATCTCTATAAAATCCCCTCCTCGTTATCTCTAAAATATAGTTATAAATACCTTTAACATTGGTACCTCTGCTTGTTAAGTTTGCTTTGCCACCTAAACCGACAATTAACGCTGTTAGAATCGCGCTTTTGCCACTACCGTTCCTTCCAATAACGAAAGAAACGTTGTTGCTTCTAAAATCGACTTCCAGCAGTGAGTGGCACATGAAATTCTTCAGAGTCATATGATTGACAGTACCTGCTCTCCTCTGAAACCAATAACTCAAATTATTATATCACTTTATTTCGGGATATTCTTGATAGGAACTTACCGAGTATGAATCCTGATCATCATCATCTTTCTTAGACTTCTTAGAAGCCTCCTCCAAAGAGATATTGGACAATGGTTTGCGTTTTCTACTCATTGTGTATTTACAGCAAACAAATTTTATATAAATATATACATATAGTAATCGATACACTTACTATCACGCACGTATTAACAAACTGATAATAAACTTAATAAACTAATAAATGTTATCCAAAAAACACATAGAGAACGATTACGACAAAAAACAGTTTGACAAAAAAACAGTTGAATAACGAGGTTAGAAAACAGCCCGCCATTCTGCTTGTCAATGTGTGAGGCAACCAGTAATACACAGTAAGTGGTGTCGGTATTACAGAGTTCTGAAATCTATTCGTAATATCAGGGACGAGACTTTTACGGCTTTTACCCTCCGGTGTAAAATGCATGTAAAAAATGTAAAATTTGATAAAAATCAACTAAAACATAGTAAAAATACTATGTTAAGACTTTCCTCTTTATTCCCGTCTTACAATTACAATTGTGTGGACGTAAATTTATATTACAGTTTTCTTTTCCTTTAATTTTAAAGTATGGAATCTGTAAAATAAATTTTTTTGAAACTCAAATTTGAAATAACGCGGTTTCTATGGAAAAAGAAGTTTTATCAATCTTTCAAACTATTCGTAGACTTTATATATCTTTTTATTTATTATTTTATAATTTTTTACAATGTCCGGCACAGGAAAATTCAAAAGTAAGGCCGGAAAACCCAAAGTCGCATCAGGCGATCACACGTAAGTTTATAAAACATTCATTTTTAATTTAAAAAAAAACTTATTAAACCTTCTGTATCAGTCCAGATCAATGCAATCACCAGATAAACGGTAAATTCATCCACTATAAGCCGAAAACCGCATACGAGGGCAAGGAAATGGTGCTCTCGATCGAGAATTGCGGTACTCGAAGCTTATTAGTACCAAACAGATACCCCATAGACACGCCGGCAATATTGCCCAAGTCGGAATTCGACAGGCTCAAGCAGAAAGCCAAAGTTTTAACGTTAGAAGACCGCATGCGAATGCTGGACGAAGCGGAAGAAGAGAAAAACAGGGCTGTGATGGAGAGTACCGCGCGCAAAGAGGAACTTTTGCGCATCCAGATGCCCCAAAAGAAAGGCACGGGCAGCAAACTGGAGTCGGTCGAATCGGAGGCAGCAAAAAAGAACTTGTACTTGCTGCAACGATCCCAGGAACTGATCATCGAGCAGGACGAGCGCGTTAAGCAAGCCAATGGGATGATTTTGGCCACCAAGTGTCGAGCCATTAGAAATGCGCAGATTGCTGAGAAAAAACTCATTGAGCGTCAGTTGAAGGAGGAGGAGCAAAGGTTAGATAAGATGATGGAACAGCAACGTCAAATTAAAATAAGAACAGAAGAAAGAAAGCTGGAAGAAGAGGAATATCGGAAACAAAGGTATCGGTTCCAAACAACCAATAGTAGGCATAATTTTTACTTCTTCCTGATTGTTTTTTTGCGATAAAAAATCATTAGACCATATAACAACTAGACACCTACCTAATTTCGTGGGTGACGTGTAGCTAACATTTTTGACGTCAGTTAAGGGCAATAGAAATATATTATGTTGTATAATTTGTTTTTTTTTCGACTTTTTGAACAATAACATTTTAACTTTTGGCAATTACTTCAAGGTATGTCAAAGAAGTGATGCAACAAATGAAAGAAAACGAGCTAGAGCGCCTTCTAGAAGCAGAGAAAATCGAGGAAGAAAGCCGAATGCTGAACAAGGCCCTGATCGAGCTCCAAAAAGAGGACGAAAAACGCGAAGAAGAGCGTAAACAACTCCAGATCAAGATGAGGGACGAATTCAAGAAAGCCAACGAAGAAACCCAACAATACCGCCGCCTCAAAGCCGAAGAACAACGAATTGCTGACTTGCGAGTGCAAGAATTCATGCGCCAAAAGGCCGAAAGGGACGATATGATCGAAAAGGAAAAACTGCTGGTTAAGACAGCCAAAGAAAAAGAAATAGCCCGTCTAAGATCGATGCAAGAGAAGAGCCAAGACCTCCAAGCGGCTCTGGACGAACTAAACGCTCTAAGGGCTCAAGAAGAGAAAGAAAGAGAGTGGAGGGAACAAGAAAAGGAAGTCGCCCTTCGCAAAGCCAGAATCGCGAAAGAGCTTGAGGAAGCCAGGGCGAAACAGGTGGAGGATATTAGGAAGACGCAAGCAAGAGCTCTGGCAAGGGATGAGGAAGATTTCAAGAAAGTAGCTTCAGTGCAGCATGAGCTACACAAAAAAGAGTTAGAGAAGTTGGAGAAGAAGAAGGAGGCCGTGGAGAGACACAGGCTGGAGTTGTTGAAGCAAATCAACGAAAAAGAAAGAGAGAGGATCAATTACCAGCAAGAAAGGTTCGAAGATGGTAAAGCCCAAAGGATGGAATTTGCCTTGAAGGATAAGAGCGTAGAAGATTACCTGAAGAATAAAATTGAGAAATTGAGGTAAATATAATGTAAAAAAAAGGAGTTTTGTATAATTTTAAATGGTCTGTTTCAGAGATAGCAATGTTCCTGATAATTACATCAAAGATATCGAGAGGCAGTTGAAACTAGCTGGCAAAGGTTGAATAAAGCAAAAAGACTTTATAATGTTATTTAGTTATTGTTTAATTATAAAAATTTATATTTCTTCTTGTTGTTTTATTTAATAATCTCTTTAAATAACTATGGATTTTTAATAGGATATACAGGGTGATCCGAACTATATTCCGGAAACTTCGGCAGCATAAAAATAAGTAAAACAGTTCGTATAAATGTATATCCTGAAATGCTTAATTACGGAGATACCGGGTGTAGGTTTCATTTTTATTTCAATTTTTTTTTCAAAAAAATTTCTGAAGTAAAGTTAATATTTGGATGAAAATTGGTATTTGGGAGTTTTTTGACATGAGAAATTTGATTTTGATGTCAGTATGACTCCTACTTTTAGAAGGCGCCACCTACATATTTTTTAACTAGTTTGAAGTTTAATAACTTTTCGTTTGTACCTGTACTACATAGTTATTTGAGTGAAATCATAAATTTGAAATATTTTCGTGCCAAAAGTTCAACAGAAACTGTTTTAAGTATCATTTTTTTTGAAGGAAAATTGATGATTAATAAAAATAAATTATAAAACCAGTGAAAAAATATATAGGTGGCGCCCTCTACGTGTAGGAGTCATATTGACATCAAAATCAAATTTCTCATGTCAAAAACCTTCCAGACACCAATTTTCATCTAAATATTGACGTTACATCAGAAATTATTTGGAAAAAATCGAAATAAAAATGAAACTTCTATACCCTGTATCTCCGAAACTAAGCATTTTAGAACATACCTTTATACAAAGTTTTTTACTTATATTTATCTGCAGAATATGCTGCCGTCATTAGAAGTCTTATGACATTTTTCGTTTATTTTTCGAAAAAATCCCTTTGCGCTGTACGCCACTGGCCCAGCATCCTTTTCCCGACGCGGAGATTCAGTAATAGACGCCGCGCGTCGTCGTACAAACGCCCCACGCCTACTAGATCCACTTTTAACCCGTTTGTTTTGTTCCGGCATTTCTTGAGCTGCAAAAAAGCTACAAAATGTAACTGTGACTATTTCAGCACTTTTATGATGTGACATATACGTGATATAACCGTTTAAGTGGACAAAAAACATGATTAAAAAACTAAATAGAAGTGTGACGTTGTGGCTTTTGATCGCTGCACTGCTCATCTGCAAAGGTAAGTCTTTTGATGCAGAGATGCATAAATATGCATCTTAAGCATGCACTTGAGGTACATAATTAGGACTAACTTCTTTTTAATAGATTATTTTAATAAAAAATGAGATAATCTCAAAATATATGAAATTTATATTACCTAAATTATTATATTTTAATTAGTGCTTGGAAATTCGACTTTGCCTACCCCAAATGAAGATGACGAAGATTGGGATGAAGAAGAAGAGTCTTCAGAAATCGAAGATGAAGGAAATAAAATCTACAAGAACCCTAGAAACTCTCCATCTACGTTGTGCCCCAGAGATGAAGAACAAGCAACTCTTTTGGTAATAATTATTGGATATTTTATTTATAATAGATACTATTTAAAAAAAAACTAGTTGTAGAGGAATTTTAAATAAACCATTATATTCTAGGGCCAGAAATGCTTGAGAAAATGCTCTTCCGACGAAGACTGCAAGAGCAAAAAGAAGAAATGCTTGTGCGACGGAGCATGTGGCATGTCTTGCATTAAACCGGACCGTGAATGTCCAGAACCAGAAGAGATTGCTTTTGGAACTGTTACAGCCAGTGGGAAACTGTTTGGTGCGAGGACATCTTACTCTTGCGAGCACGGATACCACGTTGTGGGGCTCCAAAGTCGTACCTGTCAGGCTGATGGACAGTGGGCCGGACAAGCACCAGCCTGCAAGCAGAATAGTAAGTCCGATAAAAAATATATCCGTTATTTTGAATTAACTGTATATTTTCTACGTAGTTTATTGTTTGTCCCCTCCTTCTATTGACCATGCCAGACACAATGCCCTTCCAGAACAAGCCACCTTCGATTTAGACTCCACTTTGCAGTACTACTGCCACACCGGCTACGTCACCAATGGGTTTCCCCGAGCAAAATGCTTGGCAATCGATGGGCAAGCCTCATGGTATGGGCCAGATATTTCATGTGAACGTAAGACTGGATTTTCCTATTTATAATATTAAATTATAAAATGTTTAATAATTTTTCTAGCTAGATCTTGTGGAGCTCCAACAGATATATCCCATGGCTGGCACGCAGGGGAATGTTACACCTTCGGTTGCAGGATAACGTACCATTGCGCCGAAGGGTACGAACTGGTAGGTCGTGCCGAACGCAACTGTCAAAGCGATGGTACCTGGACACCTAAAGAACTGCCCACTTGTGTTCGTAAGTATTATCCAGAGATATAGAGTTTGTAAAATGTACAATTGTAAATACTTTAATCTATTACTGAAGGTCGTTATACTTTCTCTATATTTCTCTGGTACTCTGTTATTTTGGTGTTTTGTGTGTGATGAGTGGTATCCTTGCTAAACTGGTCGGTGCTGCGTAGTGGTCACAGCTGTCCAGTGCTCACCTCCGGAAAACCCGAGACACGGCAAGGCCATCTACACGTCCTGCAGTTACAACTCGGTGGTACGGTACGAGTGCAAGTACGGCTACACCTTGGTGGGGGAGAGTACCAGGAGATGTGGAGCTGACAGAAAGTGGAGTGGGAGTCAACCTGTTTGTAAAGGTATGAAGAAGATAGGGAACATTATAATTATGATATTTTTCCGAATTCTATATTTCTAGAAATCAACTGTGGTCATCCAGGTCGTTTGTGGAACGGATGGTTAGAAAATATAGAAGCAGGTACCGGTCTTGGAGCTTCCATCATCTTCCGATGCCACGAAGGTATGCTTCTTGAAGGCAACTCCTCCACAGTATGCCAAATTGATGGAAAATGGCGCTACGCACTCCCGAAATGCCTCGCACCTTGCGTGGTACCTCACATAACAAAAGGCAGAGTTATTCTTCTATCTCGCAACGATACAGCCCCCACATCTGCAGTAGTAGTTCATGGAGAAGTACTGGCAGTTGAGTGCGAAGCAAAATACGAATTTATCTCCACCTTAGCTCATGTTAGTTGCAATAACGGTACCTGGACTCAGATGCCTCGATGCGAGCCTGCCAGATGCCAGAGTTTACCCAAAGCACCGAGGCATGGAATGGTCTCAGCCCCTGAGATGAAGCACGGTATGAGAGCCAAGTTTAGATGCAAGGACGGGTACCAGTTAAAAGGACCAATTTTCGTGGAGTGTTCTTTCGGAAACTGGACTGGTGCAGTACCGAAATGCGAAGAGGTATTTTGTCCCTACCCTGGGATAGTGGAAAATGGGAAGATCCTACTTGTAGGGAACATGGGGTTATACGATTACAGGCCTTACGTAAAGAAAGTAGCGAATAACAAACAAATTATGTACGATTGTGAAAAAGGGTTTGTTCTGAGTGAAGGCCCACCCGGAGCAACTTGCGTTGGAGGAAGATGGAGTCCTGGAGAGCTCCCAAAGTGTCTCCCTGGACAACATCCGAGGTTCAGATGGAACAGAAGAAGACGCTCTATCGTAGTAGAAAAACTAAAAAGAGCCTTCATCAGGAACCATCAACATATCTATCAAAGAAACGATAAACGCAGAGTTCATAACTTCTTCCATGAACTACTCCCCCTACATGATTTGAATTCGTATAAAAACAGACAAAAAAGAAGCTTACCAGAAGTGGAATATGTTATTCCATCACCTATATTAGACGAAATTGATGATGACAATGCGGAAATCGTTTATAAAAAAGAATGGTTTGTACCGCACAGCAGAAAACCCAGAAACTACGATACTGTCGAGCTTTTGAAGAGGTTTATAAAGATTTTCGATCATAAAAGACCGAATTTGTTTAGAAGAAAGCGGGCTTTGAAAGGGGGTGGTTCAAGTAGAGCTGTCGGTTCGATACACAAGAGTTCAGGTTCTCAACATAGTGTTAGGTGAGTAGATTTTATTACAGTCAGAATTAATTAATTTTTTGTTAATCTATTATATACATAGACGTGGCAACAAAGGCAGAGACAACATGGTCGACGAAGACCTCCCAAATCCAGACAGTCCAGCCACGCCAACCAAAAAACCGAAATTACATAACAAAACCCGCAGCGGACCTTGCGAAGCCCTACAAGACGAACCCTTCGTCAACGTCGAGGTAGTAAAACAAGGAAAAGATCCGAACGCTACCTTTGGAGCTGGTACCACCGTACGACTTGCCTGTGGTAAAGGATACGTTTTAAATATGGCTGAAAATCGTACAGCAAAATGCGTCCGAGGAAAATGGAAGCCAGTTAAGCCAGAATGCAGAATCATACCCTGTTACGTCCCAGAAACGCCTTTCGGAGTGTACAGGTTCCATAAGAGCGACAATATCAGTACCAGCGATCTGGAAACACCTCTAAACCTCACTAGTGAAGTACCAAACGGTCATGTAGTCGAATTTAGCTGCGAGGAAGGTTATAATGTTGAAGGATCATCAAATATGAGGTGTTGGCATGGTGAATGGGCTGTAACGACTTTTCCAGAATGCTTCCCAGCGCCTTGTATCCTTCCACGCATTCCCTTAGGACAGTACACTTCAGGATACAGGGCAGGACTCACCATAGCCAACGGTTCTTCAGTTACATTTCAGTGCGACGATGATCAAGGTCCAGGAACTGCGCAAACAGTTGAGTGTCTTTTAGGAGAATTACACCCCAAGAGTCCTAATTGTGGTCCTGAAGTACAGGGAATCCCAGAAACGCACTATATTGGAGGGAAGGATATAGTAAAAGGAGGTGATATCACTGTTATTGAGTATGGAAGTTCTAATGGAAAAGCTTGTGGTCCTCCGGCAAAGTAAGTAAAATATCTGATTGCGAGTGTTTTTATTTTATTCTATTTTAATAACAGAGTAAGAGGTTCCCTGGTCTATCGCAATGGAGAACAGCTGATAGATGACGAAAATAGCTTTCCAGATGGTAGTGAAGTCACTTTCAACTGCATAGAGAGTATTATGGGTGAGAAAACAACATGGAAGATAGTCTGCGAAGATGGCAGTTGGATAGGAAGATCTCTGAGCTGCGGTAAAATCACCAAGCACACATTATATTCTTCTGTATCACCTTTAACTCTGTTACAGATGTAGATGAACTGATGCACCACCAAACAGTCATGGGTAACAGTACCTGCGTCTTCAGGAACCAGGAACCCAACGTTATATCTTTTTACAACGACCAACAGATTAAAGAAGCTGTTATTGAGTTTCCAGCTGGAGCTGTATTGGTTTCCAGGTGTATAGACATCGGGAAATATGCAATGGTTGGTGAGTATCAACGTCATGCATTATAAATTGGAAAATTTACCTGTTAAATCTTCAGGTCCAAACAGAAGACGTTGCATGGGCGGCGAATGGGACGGTCCCAAACCTTCCTGTTTCGGTTTGAACCAAGAGAACGACTATTCCATGGAGAAACCACCCACAATCTTATTCAGACATCAATTGGGACCGATAGCTCAGTCAAACGACGGAAAACTAATAGTGTATCCAGGTACAATCCTTCACATGGAGTGTCTGTGGATTCGACGCTTCGGAGTACCGAAATGGACGGTCAGTCATGATTACAGGAAGTACCCGGAAGGCTGGACGACGGATATAGGAAGAGACTCCCAGTTGGAGTACCGTTTAAGCATTTTCCACGCAGCCAAAGACGATTCTGGACTGTTTACTTGCGTTACACCAGCCAGGTACTCGCATGCAGTTCAAATAGTGGTTGCTGCCATTCATTGCCCGGCTATACCGCAAAGAAGAGGCTTGACCCCGAGTACCCAAAGTACCAAGATGAATTCCTTGGTGAAGTTCTACTGTGTTAATGGAAACTCGCTGATTGGAGCTACGGAAATCGTTTGTTTACCTTCGGGAAATTGGAGTGCACCGTTCCCTGTTTGTGAGAGTAAGTTAGAAAAAATATCATTTTCATTGAATTAAAAACTTTTCCTTCATTTTAACCCATATAGGCGTAGAATGCGGTGATGTTGGTCCCAGTCCAGGCTCCCACCTTAAAGTCCTTGTAGTCTCCAGGGAAGTAGGAGGCAGAGCAGTCTTCTCCTGCGATCCAGGCTACGGTTTACGTGGTCCCCCCGAGACAGTGTGCCAAGCTAGTGGGGACTGGGCTAGTCCCTTCCCAACTTGTGATGAAGTGAGATGCCCTGAACCAGAGGCCCCTGAAAATGGATACGTGCAGGGGGGACAGGGACCTTACAAGGCAGGGGACGTAGTGCAAATCAGCTGTAACCCGGATTACATGATGGAAGGACAACCCATCATTGCTTGTCAGGAGAATTCGAGGTGGAGTGGCAAAATGCCAAAATGTAAGTAGTGATATAGAAGAAGCAGAATTTTTTACTAAATGTTTATTTTTAAAAAGGTTTGCAAGCCTGTTCTTATCCTGGTACCACCATCAGTGGCAGGATGTCTTCGGTGAAGTTCTACTACAAGATCGGCGAAAATATCACCTTCACTTGCGAGGAGGGGCTGCAGTTGAGGGGGGCAGCTATGCTCAAGTGCCTCAAGAATGGAAAATGGTCCAACGCCATACCGACATGCGTGGGATCGGAGGGAACCTTGAACTGATCAGCTGACATATAGTTTTTATTAGAATCTAGTACCTAATATGCATTTTTTTTGTTAATTCTGGATATATTCTATATAGTTGTGCAATAATAAAATTACTTATAGTACCGATCAGATCAAATACAAACTTGTATAGAATGATAATTACAAGTATATAAGTAATAAAAGTACGTTATCCAAATTTCTTGATGTTTTATTTTAAACTAAAGCGATCTTTTTCAAAGATTTTCCTTGATTTTTGACTCCTTAAAGGAATGAGTAGATATTGCAAAGCAGTATTAATGAGAAAAACCCACTATATCAGTGGAGCTATTTTCTTGAAACTATTTAAATTCAAGGTAAAATTATTCAAAATAAATGCCAAGCAGATATTACAAGACAATAAAAAGGTTTTGCGATACCGATATTCAAAACGCAGCCTTGTCAATTCTCAATTTTCCAATTATAATTATCGGAATTTGCGTGTACATAGCTTAATCGTATGTTTTTTTTTACTTACACCACAATACACCAAAACATTTTAACACTGGACGCAGCAGATGATTAAAATTCAGTTTTCTGTTTAGTTTTAGATGATTAAAAATCAGCTTTAATCGGGGGCGGATACAGAAATTTATTTTAGGGGGGCCCCAAATCAAAAATAATGTAAAATATGCCTTTTAGGGTGTAATTTTTAACCCAAAAGGCTAATATTTAACCCAACTTACCGGTTTTAGGGGGGGCCCGGGCCCCATGGCCCACCCTCGATCTGTATCCGCCACTGGCTTTAATCATCTGCTGATGCTAACATGGTTAGCAAAACATACTTGTCCACTGTTAAAAGTAAAGTATTTTGGTGTATTGTGATGATTTAGTATACCTATATGTATTTGCTGTTGTAACACCAAAAGTTCCAACCCCCACTGTAATAAAATACAGAGTGACCAGAAGATATTATCCTTAATGGCAATATCGTTTAACTTGTTTTCCGCTTTTTTTGGCCTTACTAAAGCTGACATATTAATGAATTTTTTTCTACACCTTGACTAAAACACCTCTTATCTATGCTTGCTTCCCCACCTGCATTCTACCTTCGTCCTTATCTGTTTACACTCCGGGCAACGCTGTGACTCATCGAAACAAAAGGGCATCGATATGGAAGGTCCCCCTGTCCCCGGAGGAAAGGGGGGAGCCAAACCGCGGTCCCGAAGGCGGCCATGGCGCCGCGCCAGGCCAGTCGCGAACAAACGACATTCGAAACAGCCGACAAACGATCTGGTTTTGTAACTATCGCAGTGGTCGTGGAAATCCTGGGAAACATTGAGAAAAAAAAAAGAACGAGCGGAAAAAAAGGAATAACGCGGGAAGTTTGAAGTGTAGTGGTGGTACTATGCGGTACGATGGTCGACGAGAATGCGCCGAACGAAAAATTGGACCCGGAAGACGAAGATTTAAAAGCCGAGGAGGATAGTGTTAAAAGACCGTTTATAAGGGTAGGTTTCGGAATATTTTAACTGATATAACAAGAAAAATTATATCTGATGAAAAAAATTACTACATATAGTTCAAGCAGAAAGGGTTGAAAGCTCTAAACTTCAAGAAAACATACAGCAATAATATATACCGTATGATCGAATAAAAACCGTATCAACGATGGCTATGAAATGAAGATCGCTGTCATTTTATATGTAAAATTATATGGGAAATGTCATCGATCGTCATTTCCAAGTCAACTGGACGCCGTTTTTTTTTCGATCATACGAAAGTAGACAAGAAAAGACAGAACTAATAGATATTAAAAAATTTTCATACAGTAAAAACAAAAATATTTTAATTTTAATTTAGTTTAAAACTTTATAGTACCTATTCCTATATTTTTTTTTGAATCATCGAAAACGCAATTACCATTCTATGAGTACTTAAAGTCAACTCTCTATACAGGACCGGTAGTACTTATCAAACATGATATATGTATGCATATTAATAAAGTATTATCCTTCGTTACAGGCTGTGTAATGAACAAAGAGGTCTTTTAAAATGCCAGACGGTTTCTTTTGATTATGACTTGAGGGGTCTCTAGTGTGAGAAGTTCATTAAATAACATTAGCCTTTTATCTGTAATCTTTCTTGTTTGACAAAAAAACCCGCTGTTAGTAGAGAATAGCAATTAAATTAATAATTAATTCGTATTTAATTTAGTTAGTGGTATAATGAACATAATAAAATGTTTTTTTTTGAAAAATAGTTTAGATGAAGGTAATATAATTCTGTTGATTAATATTTTATTTAATTTCCTTTAAAAAATTGGTTTCTCGGTCAAAATCAACTAAGAAACAGGGTTATTAAAAGAAGATAAATCACTATAGGTGCTAAGTCTGGTTGTTTTGACGGCTCGCTACAATGCACAACGGTGGTACTGTCCTTTGTCGCAAAAACTTTCACTTTCAGAACCGATTCTGTGGTCCAGAAAGACAAAATCACCATCAAAAGAAATACCTTAATTTAATTTTTCCTTTATTTTTATAGGTATTTAAAAAATAACTGTCGTATCATTTTTAATATTCATAAATCTTTCTCCCTACGTATAACGGGTTCTATGCTAGAGAAATATGCAGCCAAGCCTGGCACTCCTATAAATTCTGTTCGATAGAGTTCGTTCGTTATTATTGTGCGTTCTATGGTACCTTGGTACTATTATTCTGGTGTTACAGCTCGGGTACGACGTCCTTGTTACTACGGTACAACCGAAATGTCACAAAAACCTTTTAAATGCGATAAACGAATTAGTTTTTTAGCACGTAGTTTTGCTTAACAAGTATAATTTGAATTACCTAAGTTTAAAATTGATTTTTTTTTAAAAAGATCTTACGTACTAGTGATCTCATGGAAAAAATAGTTTCGCGAATAGTTTAATCACTCCTTAATTTCTATAAATTATAAAGTTGTCTAATAAACCACAGATAACTTAGAATAAGTTACCTGGGATATCAATAAAAAGAAGCCCTTTAAAACATTCAATTAACCTTGATAGCTTATTCACGTCCCTGTTAGGGCTTCTTAGAAGTTAATCCCTATATATACGAGGCGTTTTAAAAGTTTTAGACTACATACATATTTTTTTTAACTTCTTACTCTGGGTAGTTTTTAAATATTTAAAAATACTATAGCTTTATTTTCACTTTTTAAATATACTATATCTTGCACTTTTCAATCATTTCTGGATGCACTATAGCTTGGATGAAATAAAAAAGAAAAATAGATTAACTTTAAGTTAAACTATGTTAATTGTTTATATGGAATTAGGACTCACTAAATCTAAACAAACATCATTAATTCCTTTTAAGTAGTGACTCATTTCATTCCAGCTTAATCAAACTCATAATTAAAAGAATGCCGAGTGTGATTAAAGGTGATAAATTTCATTATTTACCTCTGACTGTCGAGTGTGTTTGCCGATATACCGCTTAAATACAGGTAGTCGTTGCTTCTTATAAATAAATGGTATAATCTGCCGGGCTCATAGACGCCATGCAGGAAGTAGGATAGGTTTTTTTGCGTGTTTTCCTTTGATGCCGCAGCATCAGAAAGTACTTATATACGCGGTACCGTTAGTAAAGGTCGTCGCACACGCTAACTTTTGAAGGCAACCAAATCTTCAACTTCATCCATTAAAATCTAATAATTTCTTGAGATATAAGTCTACAGTCTCAGTGCTTTCACAAAAGCTAGTATATGAGACCTGGGAAATTTCTTCGAGTGTCTTTTAGACCATTGGAGGATTCCAAGTCTCATAAAAATTGGTAAAAATTACATTAGAATGATGACCTTACAAACCTACAGAAATAAAATATCCTAGTTCCACCTCTGCGCCCTGGGTTAAAGATGGTCAACGACTACATTGACTATTGTATTGCGTCACTGGTATTGTTCTTTTGTTCTCAAATGATCGCAGCACGCCTAGGAATAGAGTGTCTTTTAGAAGGTCTTTGCTATAGACTTAATTATTAAAATTGAATAGTCGTACCTCTGTAAATACTCTAGAAATATTTGTAGTATTCTATAGCAAGTTGAAAATACAATATAACGGAAAATGTTGGTCTGCGCAATTGTGGACACTCTGTATAATATGCAAATAAGTATATAACAAGCGATAATTTAAATCGCTCAGATCAATTTTATTCTCAAGAGCGATATCAAGGAATGTCGCTGTTACTTTCTAAACTGGCCACTGTAAATGCTTGGAAAATAATAATAATAATAATAAAATAATCCGTACAAATTACGAATGCATACACACACACTCACGGACTGTGGCAATTTTCAATTTTGCGATAATTGTAAAATTGGTATAATAGTAAATAGCATAAAACCTATTTTATCATTCCCTGTATGCTGGTGTATTTCAGCTATTCTTTTCATGAGCGTTTTTAGTTGGAGCTATTTTGATTGTTTGCTCTTTTTGCGACTATCTTGATGAGTTTATAATGGTCTTCTTCTGGGTTTCTTCTTCTAACACTCGATGCAATTTATTTTTTTGGTTTCTTTTGCGGATCTACTAAAAATTTCGTACACTTGTATGCATATCAACATGAATTTTCCTAAAATGTATCTACTTTTTTCCCATTTTTGTCATAAATTATTTGAATTTTAGACCATAAAATGCATAGACACCTTTCTTCTTGACGCGCTGAAGCTAACATAATTCAGGATAAGTTTTTTATATCATACCAGAGAAATTTTCTATGAACATATTATTGAAATATAAAATATTCTTATCTATACTAATATATAAAATCCCATACTGATTAATCACGATCCTGCTCAAACCACTCAACGTAAAGAAGCTCAATTTTGGCATACAGGTTGATTCTAGGGTGTAGAGGTTCGATAAGAAGGGATTTTTCGAAATTCCAGTTCCAAGAGGGTGAAACCACCCCTCAAATATTACAATATTTTTTATTTAAAAAACGGTCAAGTTTCCGAAAAAAAACGATTAAACACGTATATTTTATTTTGTTTTTTTTACATATTTTAAGGTTTTTTAAAAATATATACATGGTGTTTCGAAAAATGGTCACTGATTAACCACGATCTTGCTGAAAGTGCTTGACGTAAAAAGCTGATTTTTGGAAAACAGATTGACTTTAGGGTGTAAGGGTCCGATAAGAAGGGATTTTTCGAAACTCGAATTCTAAG